CCCTCACCCCTTACCCCTTACCCCTAATCCTACAACTCACCCCTATTGTCCATTCACCCCCTCAAACATAAGACCAGCTCTAACAGCAAGGAAAAGTGGGCAATCTTCGACCTAAACGACCACCCCGTCCCGACCTTCCACAAAGGCCGGGTCGTGATCTCCGGCGACGCCGCCCACGCGACCTCACCACACCACGGCGCGGGCGCCGGCTTCTGCATCGAGGACACCGCCGTGCTGGCGACACTGCTGCAGGACGAGCGCGTGCGCACCCACGCCGACCTGGCGGCGGTGTTCGCCGCCTTCGACGCCAGCCGCCGCGAGCGGTCGCAGTGGCTGGTGCGCAGCTCGCGGTTCATCGGGGACTGCTACGAGTGGCGGGCCGAGGGCGTGGGGCGGGATTTCCAGAAGATCGAGGAGGAGATCAATCGACGGAATGGGGTGATTGCGAATGTGGATGTTGCGAAAATGGTGGAGGAGGCGCGGCAGGAGTTGGGGAGGCAGTTGGCCGTGGCTGGGGGGAGTAAGGCTTCTTTGTAGGGGGGTTGAGGGGGCGTGAGCTGTTTGGGGAATGGGCGCCAGCTGTATACAATGATCTTAATTGGGGGTGTATATAGTAATGTAGATAGTTTGTGATTTGTGGCTTTGAGCATGTTTCAATTCTAAATTGTATTTATGCAAGGCGGCTGTTTGTGAATATGTAGATTTACTTCTTATTCATACTGTGACATCAGTCTGAATTGATTTGTGAAGAATGCTATAAATAGAAGTGATGTCTTGTTTTGTGTGTGATTACTTTGCTGTCTGGAACCAACTATGATCAATATCTATGTTGATACTCTATGAAATACTCTCGGAGACATGTCGGACATGCTGCTGGGGCCGCACAAATATATTGTCAGACATAGTCAGAGTTAATTCGAATGAATCTGAATATTGTCTGTCATTCCAGAGCATATGATCCAGATGATTCAGTGTCTGAGAACTTGCAACCCCAGCTGACACCTAGAATCACTGGTATTTGCACGAATCTCAGTTCCTGTCCCAATTTCCTCTCCCATGCATCCAACTGCTTTCCCATTGGCTTCCCCGCATTCAACTGCCGGGCGCTATCCGACATTTGTCCCATTTGCCCTATTTGATCTGTTTGCCTACATTTCGGAAGCGGTCAACAGCGGCAAGAGAAGGGCGCATCCGAAGGGGCGGGGGATTTCCCCTCATCAACTCCCCAACTTCCGAAAGCTTGTTTCACTCCGACTCCCCGAATTTGAGGGGAATATGGGGCTGTATGACTCGTTCATTTCAAAGAAAAGAGAGGATGGCCTCGCGTGGGCGTGCTGGCTCTGAGCTCCGATGATTGCATCGGAATCCAGTTAGTATTTTTGATGACCTACAATCTAACGTGATTGGTCGTTCTTCCTCACGGACTGCTCCCACCCGACCTCAACCAGCTTCGGTGCCTTTGATCACTCGGAGAAATGCGCCACAGTCTGGAAATGCCTGTCAGCAGGCGCTCATTTCCAATGCAGTGGAACCAACCTTTCTCACTATAGAATTCCAGCCCAAGACATTTGGTGCGTTGACTGGACCCTAACGTGGAGGCCGAATGTTTAGACTCGTGCGAGAGGACACTGGTCGCGCTGTCCATGGAGCCGCGCCGCGACATGCCTTGAAATATGAATTTGACCTGCTTCGACTTGGCGGTAGGCGCTCCAAGATCGCTCACTGAAACGTATCAGCCGGCTTCAGACAACCACGCATTACTCTTGACATACTGGGTATGTCCATGAACCTCGCTCGCCGGGAAGTGCCCGGAAAGGAAGCGAAGTACAACAGCGACAGACCCTATGAAAATTGGGTCTTCAAGTATCTGGATTGCTTCTGCCGAGTTAGAGTGGCAGTCTGTCGCATTGATGGATATCTTTCTCGCGTCGATACAGGAAATGACCTCCCGGCGGAGCAGAACTACCTGAAAGGACTCAAAGTCTGTGAAGGTTAGCCTAGGTGCCTGATCAGCCCTTAGCCCGTTCCGAATGACTGTACCGCTCATGTCCTGGAATTAATAATTTGGGCAAATGTGGTATTGCGTGATCGTAAGGTGGTCTTCGATCTTTGTCGTGTGCGAGCCTTGAAACCAGACTCCGAGCTGGGCTGTAGTGACTCGTCGGCTGGGAACGTAAGGGAGCATGGAGCTCTTGACCGTGGATGATCCGCAGATGACTGTTCGGAGTGACCCTGACTCTGTCTTCAGACATCAACTGCTTCGATCGCTACAGGCTCGTTTGTTTGCGAGTTGAAGCAAGCAACGAGATTGCACATGAGAGGACGGTGTAGCACACGTTTTGGGACGTTTGGGTCGGGGAATTCTCTACAATGGAAGAACGGTTAGTCAGAGACTATTTGGATCTGGGGAAAGCGAGAAGGAAGCAGAGCATATTGACGCGAGCACGTACAGCCGCACCGGATCGCTTGTCAATGAAATCCTTCTGTTGGGCATCGGCATCGAAACCACCGACTGAGGGAACCTGACGGTCAAATCTGACTCTGCGGACCTCTGTCGAGATATGGGTCCTGATATGCGGTCATCCGGAGAAGGGGACTCCTTCGAAATTGATGGGTAAGACAGTCCTGGCGGGTGAAGTTTCAAATCATCAGCGTTCGTATTGAAGGCGTGAACGAGTTGAAAGTCAAGCCATTGTCGGAACTGTTCCCATTCCTCGGCTGTGTCGTTGATGGAGTGGCGTGATTTTGTTGAGACTTGATATTTTTGATAGAGATCATGGTTGGGCACAAGATCGTGTCCGTATCCCACCATCCCCAAAGCATCGCGCACATCGTCGCTCACTTGATGAAGGAAGCGCGATATAGCTGCGACATCGAGTGTATTGCTATCGTCACTATCGATCGTATGTGGAAGCCAACCAGATCGGGACTGTGGTGCGAGACCATGGGGATCGTAAGTGTCGAGCCTCCGAGCGAAATTGCCTAGTCGCTCAGATATGTCCCGGATGCAATCTAGAACCTTTTGATACTTTTGACTACCCACCTGGCTGAGCACGTTGTTGTTCTCGGGTATCGCACTCAGCATATGCTCTGACTCCAGCAGAGCTCGCCTCAGTCCGTTCCCACGGTGATTCGGGTCATGAGCGTCAAAGGCATTGGTCCCCATCGAACTGTCGAGCATACATCGCCTCAAAAGTAACGAAATCTATGATATCATGGTTCTTTCCAACGTTAGCATGCTATGCCATGACTGCATTTCCTCCAGGGAAAAAACGTACTTGATGGACTTACAGCATCTCGAGATTCTCCAATTGATTATTCTCCGTTGCCTTCATGAAGCCGAATGTCGCATCTCGCGTTTCCTGACTCGATTTTAATGTCGCAATTTTCAGACATCTCTCTAGCTTCCGTCGGAGCCTTTCCGCTCCGTCACGCTCTAGTGGCCAGGTAACCTTTGGATGGTTGCTTTGGTGCCGAAGCAGTTACGCCGACCCTTCACGGCCTTTTCATCCTGCGTCAATTGCCAATGCTTATGTACAAACTCTGCGCATTCGTCAATCGTCTGGTTGTAGAAGGCCCCCAAATCTCGTTCGCCCTTGATGGTCGCCTGCTTTGTCTTTTGAATTTGTTCTAATAATCCTTTAATGGCCCCAAATTCTTGCCGAAATGAGTTATAGTCGGCAGAAGCACTTGCGGGTCCTTCTTTGACATTCTTGTAGATGGTCCAGACAGTAGTAACGGCTGTCATGACATCTCCAAGACCTATCTGGGGAAAGCTCATTGCTTATTACCTGTCCTCAAGGGCATTCTTCAGAACAAGAGGTGCTTCATTGTTGAAGATCTGGAATGCACAATCAAGCAGAAGGGAATTGGAGCAGAATGAATATGTGTCTGCAGGATCGATCACCGCATCCCGGCGCTGGCAAGTCACAAGGGACTTTGAAATGCCACGAGGCTGAGCTACCATGGGAGGAGTCAAGTGCCTTCGCTTCAGTCTGGTCAGGCCATAGTTTGTCGCCGAGGGCAAATGAGCTTCATAGGGGTGTGCGAACATGACTGCGCCCACTATCTGGCCTAGGATTGACACAATATCTTTATCGTCTTCAGAGCTCTGACTCTTATCGCCTCAACCACATGGTAGGCACCCTGAGCTTTCGATTGTGAATACCTTCATGGGTCAAGGTCTCGTGGTGGCGGTGTACGAGCCCCTTAGCACCGGTCTAGTTTCCCCTTCTAGACCATCGAGGAGCTTTGGTCATAAACGTGCTGAGGTGAGTCGATCAATTCGATCTGACGTCCAGACGTACCACTATATTATGGCTTTCAACACGAACCTGAATGATAGCATCCGGAGGCTGCTTTTCATATCGTCTTTTCTTGTCTGCTTGTATTTGAGTAGTGGCACCAGTGCCTTGTGAGACAGAAGAAATATGGCCCATCAACATCAGCGGCTACCGCCCTCCTGTCAGCCATGCGACCTTGCAGCCTCACAATCATCGTATACCTATAACTGCAGGGACTGATCTGCGGTGATATTCATTCTGACTGAGAGAAATGAGTCCGCAGTCTAGAAAAAGGCCAATCTATTTCAGCCTTCCAACTCGGTTCGTACGCAGATGGAAGGTGCTATCAGAGGCACTAATTCAGAATTAGACTAATCAGGTTTTGAGCTCCTGCCAGTCTGATCGATTGCTATGGGTCTTTTCCTCCAGGTCAAATTGTACCTGAATCCGTGGGGAAACTACGAAGACTTCAGACATCATGCTGTAGTCATAACCCTCCTCTCGTCATTTAACGAGCGTTGAGTACTTTGCTGACTCGCCTGTAGCCGGCCCAAAGACACGATTTTATTATCAGTCGTTTAGAGAAAGCGAGGAAGGGAAAATGGCTTTGGGATATCGTAGTGGCTGGTACCGGCTTCTTCGCAGATGCATACTGTGTAAGTGAATTGAATGTCAAGCACATATCCGTGACTGACCTTATAGATCTTTTTGCTCAACATGGTCACTCCGATGCTTAGTGCGGTTTACTGGAACGACATCAAGCTCAAGTCTAACACTTTACACAATTATCAGGTTGCCCTCGGCATTGCCACCTTGGGGGGTGCGCTGGTGGGCCAGATCCTGTTTGGCATCGCCGCTGATATCTGGGGTCGCCGTCAGATGTATGGATGGGTACTCATCATCCTCATCTTCAGCACTCTCGGTATGTCAATGGCATCGTCTGGGAAGGATGACTCCATGTCCATGATTGGAGTTCTGCTCTTGGAGATTCTTCATGGGCGTGGGGGTGGGGGCTGACTATCCATTGTCAGCCGTGATCTGCTCAGAGTATGACCCTTTTGTTCTTCTTGTGTGCAGTATGTGGCTCAAGACAATTCTAATGGTGTTCCAGGCTTGCTCCGACACACATAAGAGGTCGCATGCTGGCAGTTGTGTTTCTTTGCCAGTCTCTTGGAGAGGCAGCAGCTGCCGTCGTGGCACTCATTGCCGTAGCTGGCTTCCGAAACAGCCTCCCAGATGATGCCAACAGTCTGAAGTGTACGGGCTCCTGCGTCCACGACCTGGACAAGATATGGAGGTATATTGTCGGCTTGGGCGCAATTCCGGCATTTGTCGCGATTTGATTCCGGATGACCACCATTGAATCTCCACGATACACTGCCAATGTGATGAACAATAGTCTGCAGGCTGCCGCCGATGTCTCCCAGTTCTATCGGTCAACAGATTTATCAGCCACATCGGTGTCCAGTCTGGGAGGGGATTTGATCTCTCTCACACAGACCCGTACACGCGAACATCGCACTATCTCGCCAGTTGTCTCCCGCGATTCTGGCTCTAGAGCCAGCGAGAATGGCACAAAATCCTGTGTAAGTATGTGGAAGGATTTTACAATGTTTCTCAAACCGAATCACAACCTCCGCACTCTGATCGCGACTTATTTGTGCTGGTTTTGCCTCGATCTGCCGTTCCATGGCCTGGGCTTGATGAATGCGGAGATCATCAATACCATCTGGTATGGGAAGGCCATTCAGCCAGCGGGCGTCTACCAGTATCTTTTGCGCGTGTCATACCAAAGCATTGGGGTCGTCTCATCTGGTGCCATTGTCGGCAGCGCAATCGCTGTCATGACGGTCGACCGCATTGGCCGACGAATTCTGCAGCTCTTGGGCTTTGCCTGGTTGTTCGTACTAAACGTGATTGGGATACTGAGACCAATGGCTTGCATAGGCCGGTTACTGACGGTCTTTGAGGTTTAAATCGCTTTATATGGCTCCTGTTTGCTGTGATACCTTTGTATTCCTGACCTTGCTTATGGCCCTATTTTTCAGCAGTGACAGAAACTCACCCAAGTGCTGGACTCATTCAATGCTCCGCTTGGATTCACCCATAAGGAGACGTTTGATTTTTCGAATCAGAGCTTCCGCTCACGCATCGCCTGCGGCGTTTCTGCAGGATTCATTCATTTTCTCCCCACCCAATGAGTACTACTTTCGTTCACACACCGCGTGCAACCTGCAAAGCTAAGCTATTGTCTCACTTTCATCGAATGTAAATTGTCCTATTGTTGGAAATCATTAACTCTACGACTAGCTGTGAATTCCCCGAAGGTGGTCTGGCTTCTTCCTCCACTATTTAAATCTCCTTCCTCTCCCTCTTCTTCATCCTCCTCTTTCCATCCACCACCCCATCTCCTTCCATCAGTCCATTTTTTTCATCTCTCATCCTTTTCCTTCCTCATCTTCCATCACCCTTCTCTCAAGCCATCATCCTGATTCTCGTATATACTGCCTACCATCCTCATCTTCTATCATCCACTCGGTATACTGTTCAAAACATGGAACGTGGCTCGGCAACATGGGTCCGTTCCTCAAGCAGACAGCCATCCAGCCTATACTGAGTGCACGCTGTGCAGCCTTGTACGAGCATATCGGGCTATTCCCTAATGGTCTCTGGTGTTGGATCACTGGGCAGAAGTCCCTCAACCCGGCTACTTCAACCCGGCTACTTCGCCTGTGACGGGCGATGTGTCACCACTGGGTTCGTTGCAGATCAAACGCTCATGGCAGACCCCCTGAGCAGTCTGTTTGTCAGAGGCTCCCAGTAGATCTTGCAGGATGAAGAACGATCTTATCCCAAGGAGCTTGTGCGATGCCCACGCAGAGTGGAGTCCTTTGCAACAGCTCTTGGTGCGAGACCAAATCTCCTCTCGCCCTACCAAAAGCTTCAATGTTTCGATTAGCCGCATGAGAACCTTGAAAGACAAGTTCAACCACCAGTTTATTGACTCCTCGACCGTGCGAGACTCTGTCAACACTGCCCCTTTGGCGTTCTTGAATATCATTTTATTTCTGCATCCCTCCTGTTATCCTCCCGTTATCAATCCGACTCTTCAAGATGCCTGATTAATCTATTTCTCAATGCCAGATTGCGGACACAGCATGTTATTCAAGGATAGGAACGTTGTTCCTGTTGGGATTTGACGATGGCGCTAGCAGCAAATCGGTCGACAAATAGATCAACTCCACGCCAAGTGATTACAAGGGATGGATTAAGAGCCAGGGCGAGAGCGAGGACTTCAACACACTACAGCTCAAGCCCCGGGCGGAACCCCTCCGCGATAAGAAGTCAGATGTCATCATTTCGTCCAGATCAACTCAATTCGGCGCATCCACCCATCTTTGGGTAACAAGTCACGGATCCAAGCTTTGACAATGAAAAGCAGCTACTACCGAGCTCTGACTGGGCGTGACTAAATGGTAGGTACCTCATTCTGATCTTAGGAAGCCTAGTACTGATCGCGGAAAGCTGTTATTTGCCGGTACGCTCTGAATCAATCAAAGACCCCATCAGTGCCTATTTTCAGCATAGTCACAGATCCAAGGGATTGGAAGAGCAAGGATCAAGCGGTCCTGATGACCTGATGTACTGGATCATTAAATTCAAGGCTCAAGGCTGCGCTGTCTGTGGATTGGACTTGAATTACAAGAGCTTTGATGCTGCATCAGCAAACATTTTTCAACTACATATGCCAGCTAAACCGCAACATGAAAAACGGCAACGAGAGTCACATCACTCTACGTGTTGATGCTAACTACGATGTCAATGAAGGCCCAGAGGAGAATAGGCATAAGCAGGTGAATGTGAAAAAAAATGCATGCCTCGAGGAGACGGAGACGGAGAACTTGTTCTACGATTTTCTTATCCTAAATCCTCGGCCTGGGATCCATATAAGCTATTCGAAGAAGCTCGTCTTTTCGAGGTGACTGTTCGACATCTGACGCCTGGTTCAGTTTCTCAGTCTCAATCGCAGTCATCGACACCCACTAGGAGGCGTGGACACTGAGGACTCCCTTCAAAACTCAAGCCCTGTGCTCGCAGCGAGGGGTTTCAAACTTAGCTACTGCTTCTAGAGACGAATGATCGAGCGCCACTGTTTCTGCTAGGCTTGACTCCCATATCTACAGCTAGGACACCCCAAAAAGAACTGACCCGGCACATAGCAGACGCCTGGGCTGAATGGGTCGTCCGTCACACTAATGACCGTTCTTTCTCTGCTGTCCGGGCTGGCCAATCGCTACTCTATAGTGCCATGCACTTTTCCCGCTACTCTTCAACTTACTGGACTCGGCGCCATATCCGATGCCCTTGTTGGAAGTTAAGTGGACCAACCCGGCTGTGTTTCTAGAGCTCAACAATCTGGGACTTGCCAACGGAGACATCAACGCGGACTGGCTGAAGCATTGGAGAAGAAAGGCAGCCGAAACAGCTATGGCCAAGATTAAGCAGTCGCTCGAAATTGAGGAGGCAGTCTTTGGTTATGCGTCGTTCAGGAAGCGTGACAGGCCTGTGTATGAAGACGGTACTCCCGAGAACGATCCAGAAAATGAGAATGACCACTTGCAGATGGAATGGATAAGTCAGAGCTGCGAGCCCGATGCAGAGAGCTCCTAGCCGCGGGGCCCATCAGTTCATGCGGAACATTGTCGGTTGCCCAGCGGTAATAGAAGGCCTCATCTATGGTACTGTTTACAACTTCCTGAAGCTCGTTCTGGGCCACGAAGGATCTCGGCGGGTTATTGAGCCTCTCAAACGCCAAGCCGAACCCCCAGTCGACAGTACCGGTGTGCCAATGGTCATCAAGCAAATCTCACAGCTGGCAGACTCATGTTGAGTCAATCATTTTCTACTGCCAGGTCCATTCCAAACGTACTATTGACCATAGATTTTCAGGGAACAACCGGACTGCTAGCCTCATGCAATAACTGTTCCGAATAAGACCTAAGCAATGGTGCCTATCAATTTTCAGTTTGCTATAAGGGACTGGAGATTATGAAATCTATTACGACGGGAACCTTCGAGACCACATGAAGCAGCGGGTTATCTGGTCGCTGAGAGTCACCTGCAAGCCCGACGTGAGGCCACATGCCGCCAGTCTCTTTACCAAAGTGCACCACGGGGCCCAAGATGGCGAGGTTTAATGTCTTAAGCATTGCCTCCTAACGGCCGATTATCTTCAGCTTTACTTGCGTGGCTTCCATGTCTCGGATGAGGTTGGTAAGTTGCTTCTGATGTACCGTGACAACGTCGCGCAGTTTCCTCACTTTCTGTGGTATCCCAACACCGGCGGGAAGGGTGGTTGTGCAGGTCGGACAGTTGTGTCCACGGGAGTCTAGGTCCCAGGTGGACTCGGGTGTCCGTGTCTCCTTCGAGTCTTCCGATGACTATGCTACTCTTCTGGGCTACGCCTCCCCTTATGCTGAGGAATATCTTGAGCAGAGCGCTAATGTAATAGAGGCTGGCCTGAGCCGCCTCCGCATGATGAAGATTCCCGGCGCCGGCGACCGTCGCTACTTGGGATTTTTGGAGTTTGCGGATACCGAGTATCAATCCCAGGTCGGGGACAGGTTCGAGATCAATTTTGACTCTGATGATTAAAGCTAGGACAGGATCGGCTTTGTGTTTATGTGCAGCCCAGCGCCCTGCTCCCCGGTGACCAGCACCACAGTCATGCTGACTCGCCCGTGGAAGTCCGAAACTGGCGAATGGGTTATGCTGGATGAGGGTCTAGAGCTCCGTCCCCCCTCCCCCCCGACGGTGGAAGAATCAATTCGCTGCACCCATGATCGAACAGCACAGAACGGCGACGAACAGACGGGAAGCTCCTACAGATACGGAGGTACATGTAAGCAGAAGCCTAAGGCCCTGACACTCGATGCATCCCAAGGATCGGAGGCTGACTGCGTCAAAATTTCTCTATGCAACAATCTCAGTACGACAGGCTTCCTTCGCTCCAAGAGAAGGGTGAATGTGATGACCTCGTCCATTCTTCAATGCTGTCGCCACAGCAGCAGCTGTATCTATGTCCCCGTTGTTTAGTCATTACACTCCCTAACTAGCGTCGATACTCGGACTGAAACCGTTATAGACCACCACGCACAACTACAGTCAAAGAAGCAGTCTGGAGTTTCGGACATCAATGACCCGAACGTATGTCGTGTCGAGCACCAACTGTGACATGTCATGGTATTCTCAGGATACTGCTCATCGATTATGTTGGCCTTCCTGAGTAATCCTGCCCACGTGATTAGAACTCAGATAGTTCAACCAATCCAACCACCAAGAATTCAAGAACACGTTCCGAATAGCCCACCCCTGAGTCCTCGATTTGCTGACAGATTATAGGAGGTGAACTTGCTGTTAGACTGGCGGCTTTGCTGGCGGCTTTCAGATACACTGGTAAGCGAGGAAACTCCCTCCATAGAGGTATGTCGCACAGCTTTCGACCGCTGACCAGCAAGGGCTCTAGTCCTCGTCACATATAGGGCCCGTGCAGCGGACATCCAGCGCGATCTCCAATCAGGTCCCTCAATATGGCGACCTGGCGCTATGCTCGACGAGATGTTCCAGCTGGCGTGGCCGTGGGATGAATTTGATCTCTGGGACAAGTGGAGGATTCTGGCAGCTATAGCATCCTGCTTCGGCTCATCCGTCGCTTACACAATTTCCACCTCACCTGCTACGAACATGGCCCCCTTAAAAGTATGATTCCCGCGAACTGGCCGCGACTAGACATCTTGCAGTCACGGCCTAGCGGACTGGAACGTTCGTCGGCTGTGCTATCTTGCCCGAACTCATCGGTGGGGCGTGTGCGAATTGCCATTGGAACTCTTTCGGCCGCCAGTGCTCGCTCCATCGAGAGTAACAACGTCGCTCCGTTCGTCAAATTGACCTGATGGACAGGGAAGGATCTCCTGTCCAAGCGGAAGGTAGATGGTCTACCTCATATGAGCGAGGGCTGGATGAACAGCTCCATGAGGGTATGTATCCTCGTGACTAGAGCTGAGGCATACCTCCTCGGCGGAGGTATCAACTGCACAGCCACTGACACATGAGTCACCTCTTCTCGGGCCACGTGGAAGGTTTTCTACGAAGGAGCCGTAGAGAGCTACGGTCTCGAGCGCAGATGAGAAGGAAATTTGCCGTTTCTCCAGTCTCTGTCGAGCTGGGAAAGCATCGTGAGAAGATTACAAACAATATCGATTTTCTTGGTGTCGATGGGAAGGCCCGAACCTGCCTGCGCCCCAGTCGCAGCCGCGAACGTCCTCCCCCGCACGGCCACCTACGTCCGGGGGGGTTGCGTACAACAGTTGACTATAGTCAACATCATGGCAGCCCCCGCGGTCCCCGGGCCCATAATCTCCGGACCTCCCCCGCCGCCAGCGGGCACACCCTGGGCTGACTGGGATTAGCCGGCGCCCTGCGATCGGGCCAACGACGAGGAGTGGGGATGCCACCCTCTTCGTCGAGCTGCCTCCTGCGGCCAGGTTTGCCGGTCGCACGACGGCGGCAGCCTACTTCATCATGCTTCGATACCACTGAGGCTCGTCTTGCCGTTAACTTCGCAATAACTCTTTGCCAGAGAGGAGACGTGCTACTCCTCTCTCCATACAACGCACAAAATGCCATGATCACGGAGCAGCTAGCGAGCCGATACTCAGATGCTCAACACAAGTCTGGGGCGTACAAGTCTTCAAGGACATGACCAAGTACGTGTATAAGGACCCGGACCGTACTAAACTCTACTTCAGAGCGGGAGACGAGATCGAACAGTATCTAGAGAGCCAGTATATCGGTCCGACTGAGGCTGCTGTATGGCTTCTCCGTTTCCGTGTCCACGAGGAGTATCTATCCTCGACAACCCTGTTTGCGGAGAAGGGCTACACAGATAGCAGCCAGAATGAATCAATTCAAATGTGGATCCAGCTGGTGAGCATTTCGGCGGACCGCGACGTGAGTTGATTGAGCGGCTTGCCAGAATCATCTGGCGGACAAAGAACATCAATACCACAACCAATAGGCCCTACTAACAGTGCAGACAAACCTCAATGCCAGTGTTATCCTTTGGCTAGAAGTCTCAGCAGCCAGTGGTAGACTTCATAGTGCAACTACTAAGAATGCTGGAGAGCCTTCCCTTCACCTTGCCCTTTTTTAAGGTCATCCTGCGGAAGCAGGGCTAGTGTGCAATTGACGCGCAGGCAGCGAAACACGTTTTACGCTATCTCAAAGGATCTACGTTTGATGTCGTATACGGCAGTGGCTGCAGCAAGCAATTCGAGGTCTACGTCGACGCCTCATACGCCGATGATGACGACAGGAAATCCATGGAAGCGTACGTTATCACGTACGCGGGATCGCCAGTGTCATGGGCCACACGGAAACAGGCGATCATGGCATCCTCGGCCACGCTCTCGGGGTATATCGCCTGTGGTGAAGCCAATCGCGAAGCCGTCTTCCTGCGCGAGTCCGCAATGGAACTGGGACTGCCCGTCGGTGACAAGGTTCTTATACACACGGATTTCAACAACGCAGTCGCCCTCGATGCTATTTCGACACCAGACAAGAGAGCTATCTTTCAGACGGCAAGACAAACTCTAATTTTTTGCCAAGGCAGCCTCTCTTCCCGAAGATATATCTGAATCTTCAGTGATTCGCCTGTCCCCCTCCCGCCCGGCATTCCACCGCACAGCTGCAGAGGACATCTTGCAGCTTCGGCGAGCGAGTATCCTCTTCGAGTTGGGGGACATCACCAAAGAGGAGCTACAGGACAGATCCAGAGCAGACCTCTACGGGACAGATACGGTATATCCTATTTTCCTCAAAAAATCTGCTTTGCGGACTTGATTGCGATCTTCAATAGTATGGGGGTAGATACATCTGCTCAGGGCTGTAACCAGTGGTTTCCAGGAGGGCCAGACCCACTTCCAGCAAATGCGCTCCGTATTTGGCGATTGGTTGACTCATCTGGAATGACTCTGTCGCTCGGTTACTACTACCTAGTTATACTCTAGTAGCGACTGCATCGGCTGCGATTTTCTAGATGCAGTTACATCAAGAGTGAGTATGGAGCTTATCGGCGCACGCCCATGACTATCGCCTGTCCCCCGTTTTGCGCTTGTTCTCGTTAGCCAGCCGATCCTTGCGCAGTCGATGCTTCACCCGGACATTGGAGACATGGTCGTTATCTCCTCATGAAATACTGTCGGTACCTTATTCCTGCTACAGCTATCGTATACCAACCAGCCTCATGTGGGGTTGGATTGTATTGCATCCGACACTTGCAAGGATACACTCCAAGCTGTGGTTGTGTGTTGGGGATTTGAAGCTGCTGCTTAGCCGGGTGAGAATTGACATCTGAATAATATCGATATTCAGGCAATAATCAACACATATGGGGAATCGTGTGAGGAAGCCTCCGGCGACTTCTGGAGTGCCTCATGGTTAGAAGCACAACGGTCTCATTCATCAGGCCATTGGTATGTCTTCTCTTTATGGCCTTTGTCGTAGTTTCCCGGCTGCGGTGGCTGATAGTTCGATTATTCTAGCTTGATGAATCGCTCTTCCCACTTCTTCTGTTGCTTTTCCCTGTCTCGTTCAAAAAGTCGGCATGCACACGTAAAAATGCTATGACTGAGGCAAAGGACCAGCCCGCATCGGAGCATCAATCTTCAGGCCGCCTGTGGTGTGAATGAAAATGCCCGCGCTTGCCAACTTTCCCCATTCTCCTGTTTTCCAATACCAGCTCACCCTGTCCATCTCAGGCCAATTCCTCAGTCATTTCCTTATTCCTTATTACCTCGTTCCCTATGCCTCACCGTTGCCAAAACAAAAGAAAACACGCACTGTCCCCACCGCGGAGACTTTTCAGGCGATGCATCAAAAAAGAAGCCATAGGCTACGAACTAGGAAGAGAGAGTATTGATAGAGCACTCGAGTTTCACAATCTACCCAAAATTTGCCCTGAAACTGCCTCGGGCCCCGGTTCAAACCTTGATTGACCACCACCAGAAATCTTACTTCATAACAGTCAAGACCAAACTCCAGTCAACGCCGAAGGCGAGAATCCCGCCTCTACTCAAGTCGAAACCGCAGAAATCATCGACCCCACCCGTCCTTCCGTGTCACGAAATTGGCATGGCCGGAAAGAAAAGAAAAGTCGCCACCTAGGACGACGATGATACTGCGATCCTGACCGGGCCCGACCCCAATGATTCTATCCCCGGTATCAAACCAGAGGTAATTAACTTTGATCCTAAACAAACGTCGATCATCCGTCTTGTGGAAAAGCACACTATATCGACTTCACTTCTGCGTTGTATTATGCTGTGCATGATCTGCAAAGGTCATGAAATGGTGCTCTTATCTTAAACCCTGCGATGCAATGATAGGGAAGACATTGAGGAGGAAGGGGAGGTAAACAGTGAGCTACTGGACACCGATGAGCTTCCCGCACGTCGTCCAATGAATCCAATGAGAAGTACGTCTATCGAGTGCTTGATCTAGGATCGGATAACATCGAAGCTCGACAGACCATGTCTATTTACCGACTTGAGGCTATTTTGGGACAGACCTGGACTCTAGCACACCAGACCCCAGAAGACAATTTAACGAACGGCAGCCCATCGACAGGCGGATATAGGCTATCTTGGCTAATACATTGGGAAAATTCTTCTCCGTGTGATAGTCAAGATTGAACAGACAATCCTCCCAGTTGTTTGTACAACAATCGGTGGTTCAAAACCGACCCGAAAGGAAGTGCCTCTTCTCCCAACATCTATCGACTGGCTTGACATCTTTGATAATGGCTTGCACAAAAAGACACCGAAACCAATGAGCTACCGAAGAACAGTATGCAGGTAGGCCATGTCCATGTGAATAGGTTACTCAAGTATAAGCGAATGCTATATTGTACGTGTTTATTTCATTTTTTTCACCATCGGTTGATGCAATCAATATTCACTACCTATGTTGCGCCTTATACCCAAGAGGCCTGCTTTTCTGTCTTTTTTCTTCTGATGCATATGCAAGTCTTGTGTTGTTTTATTTTCTCCATTATTGTTATCCTCCATGTGTTTTGCATATGCAATGATCTGTTTCTTTGATATCTTCATCCTCTTAATATATACCCAGCACATGCTAATCTTAGGTCTTTTTAGATCCTTTTATTTGATTATTATTCTATCTACCTTCAGTTTATATACTCTGCCTACGCCTTGCACATACCTTGCGTATACCGTGCATACGCTCTCAACATGTCCGCCATAGCGCGTTTGTGGGCGGAGAATGACATCAATAACCCGGGGATGTTGAATACGGTTAATTCGCGTTCGCAGTTTAGGTATTTTCATAGTAAATATATACTCCGCCTATTCAGTTTATATGCTAAGCATATATAGGATCTATCCCTAATCACAGTGCCGGATGACAACCCTATGCGTTCCGTGCGCCTTGCGTGTCCGCAGAGAATAACAGCGGTATGTGCATAGCCAGCACACATGCGCTGCATATGCTGACGATATATATAGCTACGCCTAATGAAGGTGTCCTTATCAGTTCTGTATCAGGCCTTGTGTAAGTCTATGAAACGCATATCCGTAGCATATGCTAACCCCTACAGCTGCCATATAGCAGTCTCGGGTGGAAACGATATGTGTGGCCACTACTGCCTGGCCAGACCAGAGGACATCCATCGCAAAAATTAACAATGAAGAAGCGCCTCTTTATCACGATCAATGTGTTCCTCGCGATCAACGACCACGGACCACCCGCCGCCTTTGTCTTCCTGAACTCAAGACATCATGGGGTGGGATAAAGCGATGCCGCATCCTGAAGGCCTGCCTTCGGGATATCAATTTGCTTTTGCTCTTCTTACCCGCGATGCCAGAAGTCACCCTGTAAAACTCTAAATAGGATAAAGATAATGAGCCGAAAGGCTGATAAAGACGACTCTGAAAGAGATAGAAGACAGAAGCCTGGCTTTCCCCGAGTGCTTGGTACCTGAGAGGTTTAAAAGGGCTGTTAGGTGGTGTTTTGGCGGCTCGAATTATGGGCGGATGATTGATTTCACATATTCGAGTCACAACTAAATTGAAACACTGGTGCTAGATAGAGGTGGTAACAACTTGTCACAATCGATATGCGGTTCAGCTCTTTACATACAGTTCATCTCGATGGGTCAGGTTGGTCGGAAGTGTTGTGAGAATGCACGTGACCCCTCACCAACGACTATGACCTTCCTAAATAGGCAATTCTGAATCTATCCCCTTTTCCATCAAACAACGCTTCTAGAATCATCATTGCAGCAAATACACCCCTGCTGATAGTCCGGCCGATGCATTTCTCGCCCGAGACGCGATAATGCTATGGTCTCAAACGTTGGACCCTCGCAAAGGAACAACACCCCATCAGCACGGGAGATTGCGCCATCGGACCACGGCTTTCGTGATCGCCCGCCAACGGCAGCATAACTGGCTCATCCAGGCATTGTGCATCCAGGCACGCCATCCTCTCCACTCTTTGCAAGTGCAGGGAAGAGTCAATGATCATCGCGTGCAGGAACGATTTCTGGAACCATGGCTGGACCGATGCGCCGATGCGCCGAGGGGTAGAGGGGTAGCGGGGTTGCATGGCAAGTATATAACCCTTCCCCTCGCTCATCCAAGCTGCGTTTCTGATCCTCCACTGCAGCATATAAATCCAAACAGACCTCTATAGTCCCTGTCCACGGACACAAGACCACTAGCAGTCCCTCACAATGGCTCTAACCCAACAACCCCCGACCACTATCCCCCTAGACATCTTCCCGGACGGCCTCAAAACCACCGGCCAACACCCCCCGCTTTACGAACACATCCACCCCTTCGACCGCTTCCCCAAGGAAATCACCGGCCCGACCGTCTGGAAGCCCGAAGACTACCGCGAGCACCCGGAGAAATGGACCCATCGGTTTACCCCGGAAGAGGTCGAGGAGCTCTCGACGGCGGCGGATGCCTTCCTGGCGAATAAGATTCCGTTGACGGGTATTAGCAAGGTGAGCAGGGCCTACCACCACCACCAGGACCATTACCTCTCAAGAACCAAAGCTAACCAAGCGAGAAAGACCAACTTCCCCCTCCCCACCCTCTCCACGCGGCTACACACCCTGCGCGAAGACCTGCTCAACGGCAAAGGCTTCATCCTCTTCAAAGGCCTCCCCGTGCACGCCTGGGGCAATCACAAATCCGCCGTCGCGTACATGGGCCTAGGCACGTACCTGGGGTATTTTGTGAGCCAAAATAGCCGCGGTCACGTTCTGGGGCATGTCAAGGACCTCGGCGAAGATCCCACGCAGATCGACTCGGTGCGCATCTATCGTACGAATGCGAGGTAGGCCTGCCTTTCCCTTCATCTGGATTCCCCCCGCCCCAGAACGAAAGAGCTGACCATGTGCTCGGGACGGGATAGACAATTCTTCCACGCCGACGACTCGGACATCGTCGGCCTGCTCTGCATCCACCGCGCGCGCGAGGGCGGCGAATCCGACCTCGTCTCCTCGCACCACGTATACAACACGCTGGCCCGGGAGCGGCCGGACGTGCTGAAGACGCTGACGGAGCCGATCTGGTACTTCGACCGGAAGGGGGAGACCAGCAAGGGCGAGGAGGAGTGGATCCGCACCAGTGTGGTGTATTTGGAGCGGGAGGGTGCTGGTGGTGCCGAGCCGCGGGTGTATACCAAGTGAGTCCTGCCCTACCCTACCTTTACCTTACCCTATCCCCAAGCCCAATTCCAAGCCGTACCCCTGTACCTCCAAGTCGACGGCCAAGCTAACTGTCATAAGGTGGGACCCGTACTACGTCCGCTCGCTGACACGCTTCTCGTCAACCGGGTTAATCCCCCCGCTCAGCGCGGCCCAAACCGAGGCCCTCGAGGTGCTGGAAGCCACCTGCAACCGGCACGCGTTGCACATGATCCTCGAGGTCGGCGATATCCAGTTCCTGGCGAATTCGCACGTGCTGCACGCGCGCACGGCGTACGTGGACCACGCGCCGCCCACGCCGCGGCGGCATCTGATGCGGTTGTGGTTGGCGACGCCGGAGAGTGAGGGCGGGTGGCGGTTGCCGTTCTGGGATAGTAATGAGAAGAAGCGCGGGGGCATTCAGGTCGATGATCAGCCGCCCGTGGCGCCTTTGGATGCTGAGTAGATTCGTTTTTGGGACTTGTGTTGTAAGATTTAGCCTGGTTTCTCTGTTTGTTGGGAATGAAATACCATTTGTTTCTCTAAGGTAATAGTCATCTGGGGCTTAGTCATAGTGTGTGTGTGTGTGTGTGTGTGTGTGTGTGTGTATTAGGTTATAGTCATAATTCGTACATTCCTCTCTTCTCCTCTTCATGCTGATGCTGGCTGGGAAAGGGCAACTGCTAGTTCTCCAGACAAAGGGATAGAACATAGCCATGGCTTCCCACCTACTGCGCCTTGATCTTATAATTCCCCCCACTCACAATCTCCAACTTGCCCTTGGCCACCATCCCCGCCAGAAACTCCCGGAGCTCCTCGTTGCTGAACGGGAACCCCCCGGGGACCGCAATCTTTAGCATCATCACGATCCGCTGCAGCGGCATGGCGCCCTGGTTCGTCAACATCCCCACGATGAACTGCCAGTACAGGTTCATCTTCTCCATCGCGGCCGCTTCGGCCGATTCCTTGGCGGCGGCCGCTGCCGCTGCCGCTGCCGCCTCGGCCGCGTCCTCGAAGGCCGGGGATGTGCCCAAGTTGGATGGGCGGCGCGGGTGGTGCATGGTCGGCGTCGTCGGGGCGGTTTCGGTCTTGGGGGAGGTCGCGGTGGATTGAGCGGCTGGTGGGCCGCCGTCATGCTCACCAGAGGAGGAAGGCAGGACTTCCAGCACGCGGAAGGTGTCGCGCGGGTGTTCGTGGAGGATGCGTTTGCTCACCCAGAAGAGGCAGGCGGAGCGGACGAGGGTGGCGGGCATTTGGAGTTGGTGGGCGAGGTCGGTGATGGTTCTGGTCGTGGTTCCCGCGGAGGATGAGTTGAAGGCATAGATGACCGTGGCTTGCCATGTGGTGACGTCGTCGACGAAGACGCGGTCCTCCAGGTCGAGTTCCACGGTGACTTGGCCGAGGCCGTTGAGCCAGGTGAGCTTGCGGGATTGTTTGAGGGAGCCGAAGCCCTGCGCGTAGCGCTGCTGGAGGGAGGCGATGGGCTCTGGAACGCGGAACTCCGGCCCGGGGAGGTCGGGCCAGAAGAAATGCGACAGAATCTTGGCGTGGAGGGAGGGGTTCTCGGGTTGCTGCTGGCTCTTCGCTAAGCCTTGGTCATTGCGGATGACGCCGTCCACGCGGCGCGAGTCGAAGATATCGCGGAGCATGACCTCGCACGCCTGCAGCGCGTTGTCACCAAAGCGGACCTTGAGTAGTTCCAGCACAGACATCTCCTGATCGAAGTCGGCACGCTTCTGGAGGAGGCGCTCGCCGAGCATGTTCTGCATCTCTTTGACGAACATCTCCTTCGAGTCGAAGAGGCTGATCAGACTGCCGATCACGTCGGACGTCTTGGATTTCCGGTAGTCCGGCGCGGCATCCACCGGGTCCGGCATCCAGTTCATGTCATCCCAGTCGAGTTCGCCGCTGTCAGCGCGGAGGGAGTTCTGGTGCGCCTTGGTGAGCTCGGCGGATAGTTCGACCAGCGTGTCGGGGTGGTGGAGGGATGCGGTCTGGCCATCCGCATCGGCAGGATCGGCCAGTAACCCGCCAACAATGACCTTGATGGTATCGTCTCGATCACGGAGGTATCGACGGATAGGGCGGGCAATCCGATCGAGGAGAACGCCCTTGGGGTCAAGTAGATTAAAGGCGCGGATGATAGAAATGTAGACCTGGAGAATCTCGATAGTGGATGCCCCCGGATGCAGCAGTCTGAGATTCAAGGCTGCAATGAAGGACTGTGTCAGATGATATCGCGCGGCTGGATAGGTTGTGAAGTGCCGGAGATCCTCGATCGCACCGCTGCTTGCAGGCCACTCCACGATCACATCAAAGAGCTCGCTCGTCCGTAACGCTCCTAGGCGGGCAATGCCAATCTCTTGCCACTTCTCCACATCGCCCAGCGTCACGTCAAGATTGTCAACCTCCTTTTCTCCAGATTCGGGCACATTAATGATTGACAGGACCTGGACAACGAGCTGCGCAAAGACGTTCTCAATCCACTGCCGCAAGTGCTGCGAAGCCAGCGACGGGCCCTCCCACTGGCCCGTATACGCTGTTCGAACAAACTCGGTCATCAAAGCATCCATGACGCTCGCGAAAACCTTCTGTGCCTTGTCGCCGCCCATTCCCACGAGCTGCAGCCCATTGAAGAGCCGCAGCAGCCGCTCTCGCGCAGCCCCGACCTGAGAATCTTGTTCCGTCAACATCTGCATCCTGGCGGAGGGCGAGGGCTCATCGCGCCAGTCCTGGTAGGACACGGAGCACTGCCGATCCACATCCATGTCATCCACATCGTCAAGCCCGTCCGCAGCAGCCCTCTCCCGCAGGGCATCGATCCCCAGAATGACCAGCGCCTCCTTCATGACTTCGCGACTCAGCAGCGCAGACGCCTGCGACCACGGCAGTGCATAAGCCACCATCATATGAAACGACCGACACAGTTTCCCATACACACCCTCCTGCTCACCCCGATACAACGCGGTCAGGATCTCCGCCAGCGGCTCGAAGTAGATCCCCCGAATGACTTGCAGACACACCACAATCCTCTGCAAGAGACCATCCTTCTCCGGTCCTTTGAGCGTCTGCAGCAGTAGAAGAGTCAGCAAAAAAAGCACATCTACCCTGACCCTGGTTCCCGCCGACCCGACAAACTAACCTCAACCAACCCACTTCTCACGTTCCTTAAAAAGTGCCTTCGGATCTCAAACCCGTACCAATCCAGGATGCTCTTCTGCAGCGCGTCCCTTTTGTGTCGCACCCTCCTGTGGCCGAGAAACGGCTCGAGTAAGCACACGAACGCTTCCAGGGTCTCCTGGTCCGCCGTGCGGTGGCGGTTCCACAGCCGCATGAAGTGGGACTGGTCCATCTGTTCGCATCGGAGGAGTGTCGCGAAGCCTTGGTCGGGGACCGCGAGGAACTTCGTCGCGACGCGCCAGGCGCAGTCCCAGGTCGCCTGCTCGGGCCAGAGCCCGTCGTTGTCGTCATCGTCGGAGGTTGCGATCTCGGTTTGCTGGGAGGTGGTGGAGGTGCGGAAGGTAGGGTTCTCCGGGCGCTGGGAATCGGGTTCGGGGTGGTGGTGCGAGCGGTCGGAGGAGCGGGAGAATAGGGGAGGGTGAGGACCGAGTGTGTGAGACTTTGCGGCCAGGGGGAAGTCGTCGAGCGAGGCGGGGGGAAGGACAGAGGAGAAGACGCGTTTGCGCCGGCTGGTGGTGGGTGGTGCTGTTGTTGGTGGCATTGTGGTTTGATTCGAGCCCGGATAGTGAGGGATCAGTCAAGGGGGATCATAGTAGAGCGAGATGTGAGTTATGGTCGCTGCGCGCCTTCATCGAGGCGGCATTGTAGTGTAGGGACCCTGTTGTGGATGTTGTAGTGATCGAAGGAGTGCAGATTGCTGGAATTGAATTGACGGTGTTGATTGTTTGGAGATGAGCGGCTGAGTCAGCTGACTTATCGATAAGGACCTTCCCGATGAGGAAATCTCCAAGCAAGACAGAATATAGCTACGTAGCTGAGGCACAGCCAGAGCACAGAACTAAGTGCAGTGGAAGTGCATGATTCAGTTGAAGAAATGATGTAAGTTGCCACAGTAGACTGAGTCCTACAACATTACAATTTGAGCCAATCCTGTGATGCAGAGGTAGCACAGGGAGCTTTTGCTTTCATGTTACATCAGCTTCAAAGAAAACATTGAACCCGTAGTACGAGAAATTAAACGCAGTGACCGCGTCAGATCATCGGATGAAAGGCACTAGCTAGTCATACGGGATAATCCTGCCTCTAGCCGATCCTTACTCTCGGACAACCTCGTATTTGCTGTGCAGTATGGAAACACGGCCTGCAACCGCTTTACTCTGGGTAAGAGCTTCTCCGATATTGGTACTACTGGGGGCTTATGATTTCTCCGCCAGTTTGTTGAACGCCAGTGTGGTAAGAGACCACTTATATGCCCCATGGGTTATTCAAATACACCGAATAAGTCTAACATGATGATACGTTGGCAAATCATCAGTCTACCGGCAAGGCATGTTCTCTAACGGGTATCTCGTCGGTGCGAGGAAAAGACAAGGCCACTCAAATACTGAACATATGTATCTGATCCCCACGAGACAGATGTATTGGAGTCTGTTCTGAGGGTTGTATAGGGAGGTGTAACCAAAAAGCAATTCGAGCCGGGTCTGGGGCCCAAGATGTAGCTGCACCTGCGTGGTTGCATACCTAGGCCGCCTGGTTATCGTCCACCTTCTCCCATTCGCTATCGGTACTCTGGTAGCCCGAGCTCTCGCCGCTGACGCTGAGACGCTTCCGGATTTCGCCTTGCGCCTCGGGGAGCTGGAGGGTGGCCGAGGCAGTGGTGGAACGCGGAGCGGAAGTGGGCACTGGTGCCGTCTCCTTGCGCCCTGCGATTTGTTCAGTCTCCGTATCGCTATCGGTGGCGTCAATAGCGCCAGGAGTCTTGCGGATGCTGCTGTCGGGCTTGTCCTCGGAGCTCTCGTCCTGTTCCTTATCCGCTTGCTTCTCTTTCTCCGCCTGCTCTGCTTGGAACTGCCTTACTTCCCGCGCAAACCAGTTGATGGACCACCAGAGAGCACCGGATAGGAAGGATAGAACCAGGAAGTGAATGCTGTAGGTAGCCAGGAGGAGAGACAAGAGCAAGGCCTGCAGAGCTGCAAAGGTGACGTTGGTTGCGACAAGGAGCGTGGGGGTGGGTCCCGGAGTGAAAATGCTGGACCAGAGGTCCTCCATGAACGAAGCCATAACGGGGATCTGCTTCAGCTCGATTGGCCGGCCGAATGCGGGGGAGACTGCAAGGGTAGGTTGGGTGAAGCTGGGGGAGGAAGAGGAATGACGTCGCAGCCGGAAAGTGGAATCCGTTGTAGCGGTGGTGGATTTCTTTTTCTGTGCTTATTTCCCCCCCTCTCTTTCAGCCGGTTGATGGCTCGGTATGAGGTCGCTGACTTGCGTTGAAAGACTAGATGGCTCTGCAGCTAGCCAGAGATCGGGCGAGTACAAATGTCCAGTCTTCTGTGTAGGACAGCGAGTTGGAGGAGGGTTGAGGAAGATGGAGGGAAAGTCGGCGCAGGGGAGAGTCGCGGAATGTTTTGGTTGCGGGGGAGGATCGACCGATCAGTTTTGGCCGGTCGGCGTTTGACTTGAGCCGATGGTGGGGAATATCACTCAAGGAGACTTTGGTAGACCAGGAACTGAACTAGCCACAGTTTTACCCCGTGGGGGATCGATCAGTAAAAGTGGAAATAGTAGACGAAGGTGGATAGAGGGAACTGGGGAAGTAAAGAAAAAGGCTTTCATGAAGAGATGGAGAGAGACGAAAGGAAAGGAAAAAGAGGGGGAGAGAGAGAGAGAGAGAGAGACAGAGACCAGCTGCCCGCTCTGGCGGTGGGCAGCAGAGATGAGGAAGCAGCAGCAGCCCAACGACCGCACCAAAACACCAACACCGCTCAAAGTCACCCTCATCATCACGGGATCGAACGGTCTGTCAGGCAGGCAGGCAGGCAGGGAGGCAGACAGGCACTTACAGCACAGCATATCCCAAAACGTCGCTCTTCCACTCTCTCCTCTCCTTCTCTCCCTGAACCCCTCCGGCTATCGTCAGCTCTCCGTCTCTAACTACCCATTTCCGTTGCCGACTTGTCTCATCCACCCCCTCCCCCCCAATATCCCCGGTCATTCGCAACCCCCCCGATTGGGACAACTCTATTCAACGCGTGATTGGAAGATGCAGTCATCATTTTCACTTTCTTTCTCGTGCGTTGAGAGATGCATCTGTCATCTCCACGGCTGAAGAAGTGATGACACGGTCACCCTCCCTACCCGTGACCCATAGATATCGACCAGGTCGGAGGGATCAGACTGATCAGCCTGCAGTCTGAGAATGGGGGCCCTAAACAACTCTGTTTGCTCGTACAAACCCCCACGGAACTTCCCCGACCTGGACTGAAGCCAAGTCTGATTCCGTTTGCATGTCCGGATTCGGCGGATGGACTCCCATGCTGTTACAATGGACGACGGCACGTGCTGCATCGCGATGACAAGCACACACAATCAAGGAAGATCGCACAATATCGACTACGGATGCTAGCTGGTGGTCTGACTTGATTTTCAGATTCTTTTCTGTTCTGTTGTTGGGCTTAGAGAGTCTGATATCTGATAAGACACCAACCTGGCAATTCGATCTTGTTCCATTCCCAGTCCGCTCTCTTCGATGGGATTCGCCGCTTGGCCGCTTGGCTTCGAAGGGAGATGCTCTATCCCCGGCCCACCTGCATCCCCCCTCTTCTATTCGACAATCCACCCTGCAGATCACCGCATTTAGGGTTATTTTCTTCTCCTCTCTTCTGCCTCATGGCGCTGGAACCATCCGGGGACAACAATCAGGGCCTGGGCGAATCAAGTCGTACCGGTCCGCCCGCCGTTACCCAAGGCTTTTGGCTGCCTCCGACTGGTTCCAAGCTTCGATGAGATTCACTGCCCCCGGATTCTGTATGACTATAAGTAACACTGTAACCTCTCTCTGTAGACATGTAGACTTCTCTCGTAACGTCGATCATCTGCATCAAACATCCTTGCTTTTCCTCTCTCCGTCCCACTCGGGATCACTCCCCAAGCACTTCTCTCCTCCTTCTTCCCCCTTTGTTTATCCTTCACGTTTGTGGCAATGGCCACCAAATCTGATCAACCCACAAAAGACCTCATTGCAGATGGTCGGTCCTCCATCCAAGGGGTCACCCACCATGCCGAAGATATCGTCGACGGCCGGGAGCCCTACGGCCCACCCGGGATCCGGGGTCTCATCGCCAATCCCTTTGTACTCCTGTGTGCCGGATGCTCAACCCTGGGCGGTCTGCTCTTCGGGTATGACCAGGGTGTGGTCTCTGTGATCCTAGTCATGGAGCAATTCCTGACTCGCTTCCCCGAGGTAGCCGAGGGACACTCAGGCTCCGGGTTCTGGAAAGGATTGATGACCGCAATGATCGAGTTGGGAGCCCTCATTGGCGCATTGAACCAGGGTTGGATTGCGGATAAGATTTCGCGACGCTACTCCATCATCGTGGCAGTGATCATCTTCTTGATCGGTTCTATCCTGCAGACGGCGGCGATAGACTATGCCATGTTGACAGTTGCCCGGTTTATCGGTGGTCTGGGGATCGGCATGTTGTCCATGGTGGCCCCATTGTACATCTCGGAGATTAGTATGTATCCATTATTGGAGGCGGACTGGCCTTCTTGATGCTAATGGTTGCTGCTGCGCATAGGTCCCCCCGAGTGTCGCGGTACCCTCTTAGTGCTAGAGGAGTTCTTCATTGTGCTGGGAATTGTCATCGCGTACTGGATCACCTATGGCACGCGATACATGGCCGGCGAATGGGCCTGGCGCCTGCCGTTCCTGCTTCAGATGGCTCCCGCTGTTATCTTGGTGGCTGGTGTCATTGTTCTGCCTTTCTCGCCGCGGTGGCTGGCCTCCAAGGGAAGAGAGGAGGAAGCTCTGCAGAGTCTGTCGCGACTGCGGCAATTGCCTGCGACAGACAAGCGCGTGCGCCAGGAGTTTCTGGATATCAAGGCCGAAGTACGCTTTCACCAGGAGATTAACGCGCAGAAGCATCCCAATCTCCAGGGTGGTGGACTTAAGAGCTCGCTGCTGTTGGAGATGGCCGGCTGGGCCGACTGTTTCAAGAGCGGATGTTGGCGGCGAACCCATGTGGGTGTCATGCTCATGTTCTTTCAGCAGGTATGCTTCCATCTAGCGCTTTGTTCCAGACTATTTCCCGGTCTAACATGATAATAGTTCGTGGGAATCAATGCCCTTATCTACTACTCTCCGACACTATTCGAAACCATGGGTCTAGACTACGACATGCAACTTCTCATGTCTGGAATTCTCAACGTCCTACAGCTAGTCGGTGTGGCCACTACAATCTGGACGATGGACAGCATTGGCCGTCGCCCGTTGCTTCTCTGGGGTGCAGCCATCATGGCTCTCTGCCACATCATCATCTCCGTTCTGGTCGGCCTCTACTCGGACAACTGGCCTGCTCACCGGGGACCCGGCTGGGCCAGTGTGGCTCTTCTTTTCGTATACATGATTGCCTTTGGGGGATCAATTGGTCCTGTTGGCTGGGCTATGCCGTCCGGTAGGCAGAAACCCCCATTGCTCGACACGCAGAAAGAAAAGATGCTAACAGCAACCCGATAGAAATCTTCCCCTCTTCGCTCCGCGCCAAGGGAGTGGCTCTCTCCACTTGCTCCAACTGGCTCAATAACTTCATTATCGTAAGTGAAGCAGCTCGATTTTGTGACGTGCTTCCATTAACGTATCCCGACAGGGCCTGATCACTCCACCCCTGATCCAAGACACCGGCTACGGTGCCTACGTCTTCTTCGCCGTCTTCTGTGTCCTCACCTTCCTGTGGACCTTTTTCTTCGTGCCCGAGACGAAAGGTCGCACCCTCGAGCAGATGGACCACATCTTCAAGGACAATTCCAGCGAGGCCGATCGGGACCTTCGACGGGCGGTCGAGGCTCGGATACTGCAGGAGGAGGAGGAGGAGGAGGAGACCCAGGGCGCTTCTGTTTGAGCAGATCTGTCAGTCTTTCCCTCTGTCCTCGTTTCATCTAGGATGAGGTAGGGTGCAAGTTTTCTGCGGTGCCACATCCACTGGTGGATTGATGCGCAGCAGCTTCAATTCTTCATACATAGCATTTATTAGGTAGTACCAGGGTTATGAATTACGATTTCCAGTTTTCACGATTGTCCTATCTGTGCTTATAATGTAGACTGGTTATTTTTTCGAGCGTCCCCTGCGCCCGAAATGATACCACATGAGTATAACCAGAGATCCTAGCTCTGATTCATGCTGCTGCTTCGTGGGTAGGACAAAGACCATAATGCGCTGCATGCAGTGTAACCGTAGATCAGCCCTGCATTATGCGGGGGGAACAACCACAAAAGGTCGCCTTGTCCCCGTCCACTCCCGCAACTTTCCAGCTTCGCTCACACCCATTCAAGGAGGGCATTATCATCCAACATGTGGTCCAAGCACTTACTTCTACTAAAGGTCATTCTCGACACGGCCCTTGCGACGTCAAGTCCCAAAACATTCGATGCGGCCACCCTCGCTGAATTCATAGAAAAGGAAGCCCCAATCGCCTGGCAGGGAATCCTCAATAACATCGGAGCGGAGGGAGCACTGGCCCAGGGCGCGTATCCGGGCATTGTGGTCGCCTCGCCCTCGAAATCAGACCCCGACTGTAAGCCTCATTCCGATCCGATTCCTTCGCACACATATGAACAAGCTAACGATTCTTGGCAGATTTCTACACCTGGACCCGAGATGCGGGACTGACCATCCCCGCCATCACCGCCCTTCTGACCGACCTGACCGACGACGAGGAGAACACCCGGGCCTCCATCGAGCGCATCCTCCAACAATTCGTCACCTCGCAAGCCACCCAGCAAACCATCTCCAACCCCTCCGGCTCCCTGACCGACGGCACCGGCCTGGGCGAGCCCAAATTCCACGTCAACATCACCGAGTTCACGGAAGCGTGGGGGCGCCCGCAGCGCGACGGGCCCCCCCTGCGCGCCTCCGCCCTCATCGCCTACGGAAACCACCTCGTCGCCCACGGCAAGACCGCCCTCGCCAAAGCCAACATCTGGCCCATCGTCCGCAACGACCTGGCCTACGTGGCCCAGTACTGGAACGAGACCACCTTCGACCTCTGGGAGGAGGTCAGGGGATCCTCGTTCTTCACCACCGCCGTCCAACACAAGGCGCTCGTCGAGGGCCAGGCGTTCGCCGAGGCGGTGGGCGAGATGTGCGCCAGCTGCGCCGCGATTGCGCCGCGATCGCGCCGCAGATCCTGTGCCATCTCCAGCAGTACTGGGACGGCACCGCGGCGGCGGTCATTTCCAACATCCCCAAGAGCGGGCGCTCGGGGCTCGATGCGAATTCGATCCTTGCTGCCGTCCACACCTTCGATCCGGAGGCTTCATGCGATGATGGTAGTAGTGAAGGTGGTGGTGGCGGTACCTTCCAGCCGTGCTCCGCCCGCGCGCTGTCGAATCATAAGCATGTGGTGGACTCGTTCCGATCGCTTTACAAGGTGAATCAGGGCCGTGGGGCTGGCACGGCGGCGGCGGTGGGGCGCTACGTTGAGGATATCTATCAGGGGGGGCATCCATGGTGTGTGTCGTGCTGAGTCGTTCCCCGTCTTATCATTAATGAGAAGCTAGGTACCTCACAACCCTCGCCGCGGCCGAGCAATTGTACGATGCCTTGTACCAGTGGGACCGCCAAGGCGTCATCGAGGTGACGGCAGTGTCTGCGCCTTTTTTCGTGGATCTCATCCGTGACATTGTCCCGGGGTCCTACCCACGCGCCTCGGATGGATACGCGACCATCTGCGATGCCGTGAGGCGGTATGCGGACGGCTTCGTCGCAGTGGTCCAGCAGTTTACCCCGGCGGATGGCGGGTTGGCGGAGCAGTACGACCGCATCACGGGGCAGCCAGTCTCGGCGGTCGATCTGACGTGGTCGTTCGCTGCGTTCCTGACGGCGACGGCGAGACGCAGCGGTGCCGTGCCTCCGTCGTGGGGGGCGTCCGCGGCAGAGCCGGCCCCGGCGACGTGTAGCGCGACGAGCGTCCGGGGGCAGTATGCTACGCCGGTCGTGGGGTCCTGGCGGGTGCAGCTGCACGACGAGCTGAAGTGATTGGTCTGGCCTCACCACGCGGCAATTTATACCCTTTCGGGAGCGTGAGCAGCAGTGATGTGTGTACCTGATTGAAATCTACGAGCAGGACTTATACCAGTCAAATCGTAGTGTGTCTTCGGCCGAATGTACCCGAGGCATCGGTCTTCTCCGAGCCCTTCGGGGGCAGCAAGTATATTCCATGGGAAGCTTATCTGGAAGGTCATGGCTGAAAATTTCTGCATAGCATAAATGTCAAGGGTCGGTTGAACAACGTACAATTCTATGGCCATTGTCTTCGCCACCCTTCCGGAAGCATTCACGGGGGGGGCAAGGCTGGGGTATCTCATGAAATCATGACTTCTTCCATTTTTCTGGCAGATTGCTCGAATTAGTCTAGCTTGCATCTGACAACCGTTCTCATTGCACTTGTGTAGCATCTCATTGGACTGCGGGAAGCGAGCTGTGGTCAACCCATGGAACGCAGAGATGCTCCCGCCATCCCCGATCCAAAGTATGGAGCCCGATCGAACCGTTGTCCATGGCGTCGGGGAGGGCTCGGGTCTACTCGGGCTGACTTTTGTAGTCTAGACTCTTTCATTTTCATATCAATTCAAATTTTGAGGATACGGAAGTTCGATTGATATAGAGACAGACTGCCGGACACGCAACACACACTCCGCTCTCTTAGAGAAGTATGCACCATGCAAGTGCTGGCCTTTCTGGTCTCGCTCACCGGGCTAGCGACCATCGCGGTGGTTCTGCGCTTGTGGACTCGGCTGCGTCTGCGGAGTGCGGGGTGGGATGATCTGCTAATTGTGGTGGCTTTGGTAAGTATGCAGTGAAGCTCCAGTGCTGTATACTTCTTCCTTCCGAGGAACAATGTACCTGTTTCACTAATATACCACTACAGGCCGCCAATCTCGTCCTCTTCTCCTGCAGAGTCGTAGGCAAGTCTTCTCGCCCCCCATCCCCCTCAACCCAAAGAACCTCACAATCAAGATCAACATCCCCAACCCCCAAGCTAACATCCAACCCCAGAAATCCACCACGGCCTCGGCCACCCGGGCGAAACCCTCACCCCCGACGTCCTCCAAACCCAACTCAAAGTCCGTCCCCAGCATCCTCCCCCCCCCCCTTCACCCTCGTCCCCACTAACCAAAAAAAAAGGGACTATACTTCTCTCTCCCCTTCTACAATCTCACCCTCCTGACCAGCAAACTCTCCGCCCTCGCCCTCTACACCCGGCTCTTCCGGCTCCGCCGCGTCCTCCTCACAAGCTACAGCCTCGCCGGCCTCTTGTGTGTGGCAGGAACATGGATCGTCCTCAGCGCATTCCTCTTCTGCCTGCCCGTGCGCGACTTCTGGTCCGTCGCCCCGGACCACGCACCCCACTGCCTACCAAAAAAAGCGGTGTGGCTGAGCAACGGCGCCTTCCAGGTCGCGACGCACGTGGTCGTGCTGGCCATCCCGCTGATCGTGATCCCGAAGCTGACGCTGCGGCGACGGGTGAAGGCGGGGTTGTTCTTGTTGTTCGGGCTGGGATTGGTGTATGTTCCCCCCTTCCCTTCCCTTCCCTTCCCCTTTCCCTTGCGTTTCTTTGGGTTGTACTCGGTAGGGATGTGCTGAAGATACTGACAATTGAGGTAGGGTGGTCGTAATCAGCATCGTCCAGCTGATCACGGTGGTTGAGATTCTGACGAGAGGCGGGGATTTAACGCGTGCGTTGCCTACCCTCCCCTACCCTGCCCTGCCCTGCCCTACCCTGCCCTGGTCTAACCTACCCAACATCAACACACCACAATCATCAGCATAGCGCTAACCCTGACCCTGTGGGCGACGCGGACAGACAAATCCCGCACCACCGCCCTCCTCGCCAGCACCGAGGCCAGCGCCTCCATCCTCTGCGCCTGCATGCCCCCGCTCTACCCGCTCTTCAGCCGGGCGTGTTCGCGGTGTTTGCGTGTCGTCCATGCGCGGGTGGGCCGGCAGGGTGCGGCGCGGCACTACCCGCAGACGGTGAGTATCCATCTGACGCGGCCGGTGATTGAGAATCCGGTGTTCTATGATGGGTTCCGTGTCGGGGGTGGGAGTTATACGGCTAGTGTTGAGGTTGTGGGGTCGGGGGTTTGAGTGCGGGGGAGCGGGAGCCGGGGCGGGAGCGGGAATGGGAATTGGAGCAGGGGGTTTCGGTGGTGAGGACTGTTGATGTTGTTTCCGGGTTCGGGGAGGATTCGGCGGATGGGGACATGGAGGGACGGCATAGAGGGGTGCACTTGGCGGATCTGGGGGAGAAGGGAAACGGACACAGGGGGAAGATGGTGAGTTTCGAGGAGTGAAGGACTCCTGTACTGTGCAGTACTGTATATATTGTCTGGAGTGATGTGGCGTGGGGAGACTGCCCGTGTCCTTGGATATAGAATTTTTACATCTGTATATAGATTTAGATACCATGCTGAGAGTTCAGTTGCCTTCAGACGTTTCATAGTAGATTGAATGAGCTTGGATGAGTCGGTGGTTGACTCTTATCTAATAATGTACTCAGTTCTGCACTGTTTATACATCCGGTCATTGCATCCGACCTCCTTACTGAGTCTGTGTGTACAGTAGTCTCCATCAATACATCTTGTCAGCGTAGATAGCCTGTGTGAACAGTAGTTGAGTAGTACTAGCTTAGGGAGTCATTTACTATGATCCCTCTTGAGTTTGTTAGCTCAACGACTTAAATAGCTTTATCTTTCTGGGATGAGAAGAACCCCTTCGACGCAAGAAGCTCAGAAGCTCAATGACGAGCATGCTACTGAAACACCCACGTGTAAAAGGGGTCTCCTGGGCCCTGCGCACACCATCGATCCTGGATTCAGTCGCACAAGCTGAGACGAGACCTCTCCACGAAAGCAGCTGCACAAATCGTAAAATCGATCTACCTCCCCGAAATTACTGCCCGAGCATCCACCCCATCCAGCCAGACGATATCGGTCCCCCAAAGTTTGTCTCTCCGGGTTGAGTCGGAGCTACAGTGCTGACACTTGGGACCTGGGAGTTATGTTATATGAAAGCCATTAGCGATACCCGTTGTCCTATCAGCTTGTGAACCTGTTCTACGGCCGCGGACCTGCCTTCGAACCTAGGGTATTGCTCCCCCGCAGCCGAAGTGTACCACCTGAGAAGCCGAGTTTCGCCTGTATAGCATAATGGAGATACCCCCTAGGCTTTGGTGCGTTCGAGCCCCAAACAATCGCACCGCGATCCGGGAACATCGAACGGCCACGCGCGAGCGAGCTCCCGTCTCTTCTTTCGCGTTGCGCGCATGCGCCCGCACAAAGTCATCTCTCACCTTAGAAAAAATTCGTTCCAGCTCCGCGAATTGCGCAACGAATCCCCGGGCCTGGAAGTACGGCTGCCGATCATATGCTGCACGTCTCCCATCAGCGCCATTGCTGCCGACGCGCCTGCGCTATCACATTGGATCTTTTGGAGCACATCGTGCGAGAACGTAAGCGACGCCTGTGCCTTGGTTCCAGTCCCCGAGATACCAGCCCAATTCTCCTCTTGCTGCTTGGCGAGGAGTCCGAAGTAGGTAGCGTCGCCGTCGACAAGAAGGTTCCGTGCGAACAGAAGTAGGTCGAAGCAGTCGGTCTACCGGATTGTCGGCCGCAGAATTCCACGAGAGAACTCTGGGAGCTGGCGTACCGAGGACGTTGCTCATCTATCTGTTGTTACCAACTTTCGTATATTTCCCCACGACAAAGAAGGGAGGAGTATGGCATAGGAAGTCCATAGTCGCGACTTTCGAGGCGGTGGTTAAGCGCGGAAGCCCAGCATCCGGATTCGGAACTTTGCCCACAGCTTGGAACCCATTGTCCATGGTGAAGCGTAAAGCCTTGCTGTGCATTCCGTCGGCCTGTTTTTCCAATGGCGATACACGTCCGCGGCCCATTTACTTGCAGCCTCTGCGGCCTGGACGGCTAAGCGGGCGAGTTCATCCATGTTGGAACGGATGTGTCTCTTGGCCAATTCATTGTTTTCGTCGGTAAGGAATTGGCCGCGGGTGAGCTGAAAAAAAGGGTTCATCGTGTGCTGCTGTACGCTTATATGGTGATGAGGGTTCAGTTGTCGTAAGCTGCGGCCATCATCAGTCGGGCGGCGGGGGCGGTACCGGATTCTAGCGAGCAAAGGTGTGAGCTAAGCGCAAACTTGCGAGCCGGCGAGTCATACATACTGGAGTATCTCCAGTTCGCCAGCGACAGCCACATGAAGAGCAGCCGCTGGAACGAATACAGAGACTGGGGATTGGGGATGGGGATAGTCGACAAGTTGGGGAACCTCGGAGGAAGGAGGAGCGAAGGAGAAACTGTAAAACCCTTTAGTTAGAGCTTCCGCCGATGACTACACCCCAGCCGTGCAGCTTAGCTTCACTCGCATCAACTATCCGTATCACATCAGACCTATCCTTCAATCGCTACTCACTGCGTTGTACATTTTACAGTACAAATAGATCTACGGTATTGTACAACAGTGCATCCATGATAGCTGGCTGATAGCTAGGGCTCCTACCCGCGCACAGAAGTACAGTACTTACATGTACATAGTAGAACTAAACCCCCCACCTATACCCGTCCCTCCCTCCCTTAATTCCCATGCCCCCCCCCACTATGACCATGCTTAATTGCCCTTCCTCCCTCCGAACGAGGCGACAAAACAGGCGGCTCTTTCTGAACTCCGAACCAGATCGGGGAAGATCAACGACCGACCAGCTAGTTTTGAACCTGCATCACCGTACTCCGTACCTAGTCGACAATCATCGCTTCTTCCCGACCGGGTATAGTTACCCAAGCTTTTTTCCTCTTGCATTTTTCCCATAGATCTAATTTGGCACCCACTGATGTTACATAATTACCACATCAAAAACATCAGTAGGACTGGGTTAATTATAGATAATCTGGCTAAATTATCCAGTGCTGTGCCCCCGGGGATGGAAAGCCGGAAGGTGCAGCAAGGCTTGGACTATGTTCGTTTGGTCGAGACCCAAAAAAAAATCCAGTTGGCTAGTAGTTAGGTAAACTAGCTAGCTAATCAGCCAGCGACTGCGTCATGCCTTCGTTAATCCTGAACAATCGATTGTCACTGGATCAAATTAATCAAAAGTGGCTGACAGACAGCCCATCTGGCACATGGCCACATGCCGGCTATTGACACTAACCTGTGCTTGGCGGCTGGAGCTCCTCAGTCTCTCTCCTGAGTGGGGTTGGCGTCCCACGCGTGGCGTCCACACCAATGGGAAAAAACATGGGACTGGCGCCGGAATCACTGATAGGACTGGTCGTATAGGGAGTTTTGGAATGATTGGTTGGTTCAGCTGCTAGCAGGCAGGCAACAACAGGCGCTTAGACGAAGATGGCGAGGGCAGCTCGTTATGGTAGCGGATAGGCTCGTCGAAGTCTTTTTGGTTCTGGCTCAGCCCGAGCGCTCAATCCTGGCGCGTAATTGGATAGATAGCGGTGGAGAAAACAGAACGAAAGGAAAAGCAGATTATCGAGGAAGCTGTCCAGTGGCTTTTGAGATTAGATGGATTTCGAATTTCCGAACAGCTCGGAACCGATAGCTCTCAAGGACAGAATGAGAGAAACATTCCAAATCAGGGACCCGGGATGGAAAGCTAAAACCCCACGAGGGCAACAAGGAGTTGGCCTTTAATTTCACCCAATCCAGAAAGCAGCAGAGCAACATCATGCCATGGTTCGTGATGACAGTTCATGGTGATGATAATATTGTTGTTGTTGTTGTTGTTGTTGTTGTTGTTGCTGTTGTTGATGATAACTTGCTTACCTCCCAACCCGACCATCCCTGCTAAGCCAACCAAACCCCCTACTCCCCCCCTCCACCCCCCTTGTAACCCTACTAGTACATACTACTATATACGTAGTAGTCCTGTACACTACCCAGGGGGGACAACCATGTGGCATGACGGCTACTACCCACCACGACGGCACTCATTTCGGCCGCATGCGGCATCCTAGGCAGGATCATTAAAAGTGCCACAGCACGTGGAGAATGGGCTTTAAGGTCGATCGACAGACAGATCCCGGACTAGTCGCGCCGTCGAGTAGCATTCTGGTCGGGTGTCGCGCAGGTTCGTTCTTTGTGCCGTCGGAGGGTCTGTAACGGTACTACTAGGTACCTAGTCCTCCGCGAACCCTCAAACCTGTTGTTGGTTGGCTCTTGGGCCTCTTGAGCCTTGCGGGCGTGCCAGGAAGAGAAAGGGAGAGGAGCGACTCAAGACAAGCGCGTGCACCAGCCGAGACGCCTTGGTGCCTAAGGATTGCCGAAGCGCTGGACTGTGCACAGCGACGCACCACCCACCACGAGGCAATCAGACACGGTGGAAACGCCTGTCCAAGATGCACAGCGCTTCGGATGGATGCCGCCGAGAAACGGCCCCATTTAGTTCCTTCCAAAGTCAATGTTTCCCGGTCAAATTGTAAAGTCACAAGTGCCAACCAAACCACACGACAAACACCCGACATCCAGACCACATCATTGGCATGATCCCTAGTTGGTGGAGTTCAGCTCAGTCGCAAACTAGGCGCTGTTCGTAAACGAAAAGGGGTACGTAGAGGTAGAATTGGCCGCAAACAAGATCAGTCAATCCTCCTCATCCTCCTCATCCTGATTGTCAATCACAGCCTCGCGACATGTCGCTCTGGAACGGCACAATAGAGGGGCCATTTAATTTGGGGATGTCTCTCAATTCCGTACTTTGCGCTCGCTAAGCGTCTATCTCGTCTCAACTATTCAACACTTCGGCCCAGATGCGGGCGGAAGGGTGGATCGCAGGCAGTGCAAGGGATGCGAAGAGATATTATTATTATTGTCATCTTCATTTGAATTAATTATTGAAGAGAGGGGGGGAGGGGGGAATGTTGGTTCCGATCGGAATACGAGGATGGTGGGTAAAATAGGAAGTTAGGTGTGGTTCTTCGCCTCGATTACGGACCGTCCTCCCTGTTGACAGCAGGCGTGTTTTGGAGGTTCTTGATCCTGGCCGATCATTGCCGTGGCGGTCAACAACCTCCCACACAATCACAAATCACGGGATCGGACCATCGGGCCCTTGCCATGCTCCGGAGATGGTATCATTTCCTGATTGGTAATGGTGGATGCGATCATAACGGATCATTTCCCATCTTTCATCTTTCATCTGCTCTCCAAACTGCTCCCCTCCCCACCCGTCGGCGGCTCTGACCGTCCGTCCGTAGTCTCGCCTGAGGCGTTCCCAATCTGGTCAATTAGACTACCTACCTTCCACTTAGCTACCTACCTTACCTCACCACCTATACTCCGAACTCCGTACTGGGTATACTTTGCGAGCGCTTTTGCACGAATAGTACGAACTCCGTACTGCGGTCACTGTCCAAGGCAGAACGAGGTCATGATTCATGAATCCGGGAATCCTTCGGATGTGACAGCTCCGCCAAAGGAACACCAGGCTTTTTCTCCGCCTCAGGCGTCATTGCAGAGAGGGGAGAAGAAAGTGATGCGGAAGCGAAGCCTCCAGCGGTTGCGAGATCACCCCCTCGTGGGTGGACAAAGTGCAGGCTATGCGAGCCTGCGAGGCCCATGTGTCGTCACTTGTCGTGGAATCGGACGATCCTCCACGCGCGACAGGCTTTCGGTCAGCTTTGGGGAATTCTAGAAGTACACGAGTACTGCATGGATGTATCTTAGCGGACAAGCTAGAGCAGAGCTTGAAGCAGAGTCCGAGCAATAATACGCACATACTCCGTAAGATGTGCGTTGAAACTAGGTAGCTGCTGTAGCTGCTGCCTTAGCCTGTCAGCGCCGTACAGTACAGTATCTTCCGGACAACCATGTCGAAAATCACCGAAAAGTGGACTCCTGGTCTGGAGTGCGGACTATGCGTATTGGGCTAGCAGGAAGGTGGGGAGGGAGAGCCTTGTCATGATGTGATGTCTTCAAGCTAAAGAACAATCCAGAAAAAAAGGACCAAGAAGACCCTTGGTTGGAAGATCCATGCTAAATCAATCGATTGATGAAGGGAGAAAAAGAAACGAGTGAACGAAGCCCCAAGGGCGGTCCCAAATCTGGCAAGAGTCGAGTTCCGCGGCGTAGCGTGGCTGGCGGCCACTAATGTCGTGGGGGCCAAAAACCGGCCGAAGCAGCAAGAAATGAAGAAAGAAAATAAATGAAACAGAAATGGAAGAAAAAGTAAAGTGAGAAGGAAGAAAAGAAGGAAAGAAAGAGTGCTGAGTCTGAGGTATGAGGCAACCAACCCGAAGACTGCACTACTCAGTACCAGTACAATAACATTGATCAACAAGTGATCGATAGATGAAGTGTTTCCGTGGGTGATGTGAGCATAGTGAGCGGGGACAACTCTATTATACTTCTAGTATAGCTTTTGGATTCATGGGCAACGTACGGAGTACGGAGTACACTCGTACAACGAGCCCTGAGGCAAGCAGGCACAAGTCGATGAAACATTGATCGATCGAACGAGCCAATTGACTACCGGCCGGAATAAGTCGAGGTATGGATCCCCCTTACGATTTTTCATCTGTCCTGAGTCCTGACTCCTGGGCTATCCAGTCGGCCCAAACTACCATCCATGCATAGCCCGACCCCCGGAAAGGATGGATTTAACCGCTCATTGCTTATCGCCATGTGGTTTTTGGGATCTAACCAGGGCCATGCCTTTTTGTGTTATCATGACGATCGCGCGTGCTCCACGTTGAAAATGTCAGGCGGCGTTATCGTTCGCTGCTTGCGAAAAACCCACTCACCAGCGGTGGGTGACTAGCCTTGTAGACTCTAGCCTTGGGATGCCCCAGTTTGACGCTGCAATGCCCCACCTGGGATGGCCAAATCGGGGAATTGGGTTATCCTGGTGCTGAGCGGTTCCGGCCCCCAAAATCCCATTCGGATTGCAAAACGAAGCGTTGTTAGACAATTGGAACCTTCACCCAATTGCCCCTCTTCCTTCACTGCCAGACTACTAAATACTAACCATCTACATACGTACTGTACTAAGGATAGTACTAGATAGGTACAGTACTACGGTAGGTACGGTACTGCGTAGATACTTCTCTGCTTCGTACTCATTTCTCACCATTCCCTTGGGCCCCTTTCCCAACAACACTACGGAGGATGTAATAACTTAATCATGTTCTATTATTTGCTACATTTTCTAGAAGCCAGTGATACGGCACATCAGAGGAAAGCAATCCTTGTCAGCGGGAATGTCAAACAATCTATTTTCCCAAGGGGGCTGCGTCGGCATCGCGATTGATATTCGATCCTGCCAATTTCTTCCCCGGTGCGCCTCGATATTGGCTTGAAGGGTTGAAGAGCTAGCTCCAGCCGGACTGTTCACTATAGACTACTATAGTTACTAGGAGCTTGTTTCTAGACGTTCGAGGAGGCTTTCAGGCCAGGCTCCCGCGGCCTGGAAGATTTCCCCGAGCATCGACTACCCCTGTCCGAGCTCCAGCCTGACTTGCCCAGTGTGTTGGTATGGATGGGATGGAAGATCAGACATGTAGCGGATGACTGATGTCAATTGGTCTCTTCTGTTTTGACTTTGACTTTCTTAGATTTCCTTTCCCCCCTCCCTCCCCTCTTCGTTTCTCCCCTCCTTACCCTCCCCTCCCTCCCTCCCGTCATCTCGGGTGGAGTCAGAGGAACGGCAAGTGGCTTCCAAGGATCAGGCTGATGCGATTGAGCTACGTTGGGACCTTCCGACCTTCACGTGGCGATGGTTCGAGACTATTCCTCTTCTAGCCTCCTGACTCAGAATTGAAGGTCAGAACCGGGGGCAAACCATAGGCAAATGGCCTATGATGAAACGAACATTTCAACAGTCAAGTGGGTAGACCCGTGAGAGAGCGCAATTGAATTCATTTCATTGTCCTTGGGAGAGGGGAGTTGGTCTGTCAAGCGCCGCACTGCACTGTCCAAGTGGGCTCCTCAAACCTAACTTACCTTTCATGCCATCATTCCCCCCTCTCTCGTCTCTCTCTACCCCTCTACCCCCATTTATCAACCAATCCACCGATCCATGACCCATTCATCTACTACTACTTTCTCTCATTCCCACCCACAGCCCCGGCCGAACAATGGCCGCTAACTGCGCGACCGATGGAGACGCAAAGCCACCAGGGGTCGCAAGATCCATCTCTGTCAATGTTGGTTCTTTGGGTTCTGGATTCATTCAGGAGGAAGGAGATCGTGTCTCATCCCAGCCCGTGGCAGTGGAAAAAATAGATCGACCATCTATCATGAATGGGGACTTTGATTTCCCAACCTTGTTAGACGATGAAAATCATAAGGACGAAACGTCCAAATTACAAAAATTACACCTAAATAAGAGAGAGATAGAACAAAGTGATCGAAAAAAAAAATCACAGACACAAAACAAAAGAAATAAAAAAAACAAAAAAAAAAAAAAAGAACCGTAGCTCCATCGAGAAGAAGCACGCGAATTGCGCGCAGGGTCAGGAAAAATCCGACAGAAATAATTATGATAATAATAACAACTATAATAATCATGATGAACGAAGGACGGTAATTACTCTCCATAACTATTGCTCGACGACAGTAAAATACATACAACCCACATACAACCCATACGCCCATACGCATACCCGCCCACCATAAGCTGTCAAACTGGTGAAGACCATACCAGGGACGAACTACCCAGTAGTACTCCGTACCTACCTAATACCCAAAACCCCAAGAGTCTTCTTCGGCCCCCGTTCGTTACGCTTATTCTGGACTGATTTGGCTGCTGCTCCATCAGCAGACCGTTAAATACTCTTGTCTGACCGGTTCCATGGAATGGACTCAAGAGATCAGTTTATCTTTCCCCTCTGATGTCTATTGATCTATTGTTCTAAGGATTGATCTATTCACTATCTCGCCTCCCTGTCTACCTGTCTACATAACTGTCTGTCTGTCTTGTCCGTCGTGTCTGTCTCTCAACTACCCAGTAGTTTTTGGACGGTCTTACTACCCGTCCCGTCACCTCGTTTTCGGTGGATATAGAATGCGCTGTTGATTCCGAGAAGGATTCCCGTCCGTGGGTGCTAAGACTACTACTTTCCCACCACCAACCAAACTGTATGTCCCATCATCATCATCAGTGCTTCGGGCTTGTTCCAGTCGACTATTCGTTCTTCCTCCTCCACTTCCATTTCTACTATCCCTCACCCGGCGGCTGCCTCTGAATCATCTTACTTTCTCACTCTCAGTGCTGTTTTCTCTTCCCTACCTGATCTTCTCCGGTGAACACCCACTGTGTGTTGGTTATCTATTTGCCTCTTCTGTCTCTCTTGCCTTTCTGCCTCTCAGCATCGGATCCACGCAAATCTTCAATGCTCTCGAAGGGGATCCACCACTCACCAGGATATCCGCAGTTCTATCACAGGCAGCTCAGTGGCTCTTGCGCACGCAGCTGGAATCTACCGTCATCCTCATCACCATCTTCTCTGTCCGATCTAGCCAAACTGGACGATTTTCGCCGGCCTAGGTCCGTAGCGCCTCAGAGTTCAGCAGCTCCCACACCCGCCATTTCAGCTTGGTCTGCTGGTGTCCCACACCCTGGCTCTGCGTCTAACGCTCCTGGAAGCCTAAGATCGAGCATCAGCACAAACGAGGGACAGCACCATCTGCCCTTGCTGCACACCATTTCTGGTATCGCCAGAACGCCATTCCCGTCCGAGCTGGTCCCGCCCGACAGTGAACCGAGAGGACTTCCGGCATCCGGACTCCTGCGCAGCAGAAACCCCGAACAAGCCAGTTTTGACACCCCACGGTACGTTGGGCACTTGACTTGACCCATCTATAGCCCCGATGGTAACGATTACTAAACACCGATTATTACCAGAGCTTTGAGAGACTCATCACAATCGATGCATCCCGGATCAGTAGCCTATTTGACATCAAACATGGCACATAATTCACAGAGTAGGCCGGAGCACCAACTCCATGGTCTCCCGAGCTTTTGAACTGACAAAAGACAGACTATGGCTGGCAAAATCGGCTGCCTCAACCTCTTCATCCCTCCTCCATGTCAATGGACCAGCATCCATTTCCCCCAGCACAAGTTCTTCCGCCACATCCGAGTTATCCAGCTGGATATCCCCCTCAGCCTTCCGGTTCCCAAAGCTATTATCAACCAGGGCTTCCTTCGGCACAATATCTGATGCCACAAAGCCGACAACAACCTCGAAGGTACTGATCCGACAGTTGATGTTCAAATCAAGAGACGAGAAGGAAACTAATTCCAGGGCCTTCACAGCACCTCTATTCCATATTCGTATCCCAGCAGTTCCGTCTCGGGCAGCCCATCCTCAATTCCAGATCCAGCATTCGCGCCAGCGTAAGCCCACCTTACACTTCCTTTGAGCATCTCGATGCTAACCTGGCATCAGACCATCGTCCTACCTTACAAACCAACCGGACTACTACATGGCACCGAGCTCTTCCCTATCGTAAGTGGTCTGCTACTATTCAGTACTGATCAAGGTCCCGCCTAACATGACAACCAAGCAGACAAACCCCTAACTCGATACCACACCCGCAAGGTCTTATGCCTACAGGTACAGTTTACTCGTCGCCCGAGTCCGCGCAAAACTCTTCGGATCCGGAACAACAGCAAGTTCGTGTCATCAGCTTTCGGCCAAAACCCCAATGTTGGGATCACGGATGCAATGGCCGCGAATTCTCCACCTTTAGCAACCTTCTACGCCACCAGCGAGAGAAATCGGGCGTTGTAGCGAAGGCAGAATGTCCCAGCTGTGGTGCTGTTTTTACTCGGACCACCGCCCGAAACATCCATGTCGCTCAGGGGAAGTGTAAGGGCATCGCACGTGAGCCGTCGGCTGAGTGAAGTGTTGGGGGCGCCTCTTTCTTACCATTCTTACCACACCCCCAAAAAGCATACAGCAGGCCCTTTTCTTAGACTACGACTACAAGGGCCTGTCTCCAAAGCGCAGATGTACGGTGGTTGAAGGCACAGCCGCAGGAACGCTGTCTTCAAGTGTACAGCAGACTACTCTACGCGAGGTCACGGGTGCAGCTCGGCCAAGGCACCTACCAATACGATATCTGGCTGGGCGAATGACCCAAGCCAGTCTGGGCGTGAGGGGTACGCTGGATCTACCAATAGACACATTTTGGAGTGTCCATTTTTTGCAGTTCACGTTTTGGGAGCGATTATTTCTTGCATTGTTCTGGTTTTCATTTATCGTGATTTAATACCCTATGAGATTGTTCATGTTTGTGTTACTGTGATACACCATTTATATCTTCGACAGTACCTTGGCCCGTCATCTTACTCGAGCGACTTCGCGATGTCATCTAGACCGGATACCTGTTGCTAGATTTAGATCAGACAGCGATGTACATCAAATACTTCTAGAACGCTATTTCTCTTCGACTACTTCACCCCCACCAACAACCGTCCACCTCTGTCAACACAGTGTCTCACTTAGAACTGATAGTTCACGGGTGATACGAAATCTGGAGTCATGGTGCTGCTGACTGTTGGCGACTTAAATGCAGACTTCGTGTAAGGGGGGCAGTATGAAACGACCCGCTGCTAAATTTATGACCAAAGAATACCAAAGCATTGCCGATCAAGAAGACGACGACTGGGATAAGCACTAACGTTGTCGGGCTTCCTTGGATCGAAGACTATTGATATTTGCTATCTCTACCTGAAACAAACAGAAAAGCAGCTAACTAGTCTTACTACACTAGCCCCTGGCAGCCCAACCATGTGTTTGTTGGCCTGGAGGCTAGCAGGGAATCTGAGCCTGAGGCACTAAGGTTGACACGTGGCTGACTTCTACATCGAAGTCACCTGACCAAGTCGATGTCGTAAGGACCGCAGCTCTCCCGATGCCTGAATTCCCAGGACGCATGACTCACTCAACCCACGTCACACTCGCATCGAAGATGGTCTGTCTCCCTTGATCAGCCCGGTTGTTTCTTCGTTTACATATCTCCTGCAATTCGATTCAGAAAACGCATTTCTCACACGTCCCTTTGGCCAACTAGTGCCTAGTCTGTTGTCTCTAGCTATTGTATTCCCTCCCAAGATGCTTGTTACAGTATCGATCTATGGTCATTGCGAAGGACTACGTACATTAGGCTATACCAAAGCGCGTCGAATATAGGAACCTGCAGTGAAGCGACTCTGCTAGAGGCTCTGCTAGCATTATACAATTCGTGCTGACTGCTGTCCACATCCACACTTTATCGACATTACTCCGACTATCTTGCCACTGAATTCTACTAGACCACCATTCATAATGGCATCAGTATTCACCTATGACCCCGACCCTCCAAGGGTCTCTTCGCCGTGGTCGACATCAGGCTCCTCAACACCCCAGATGGCAGCGGCTACCAGCAACCGCGTGGTGCCTCGGACCCGATCCAGCACGACGCTGGACCGGGCCGACCCTGACCTGCTTTCTGATTATGGCATTGCAAAGCTGGAACCGGAACCACAAGAGGGTCCTACCGAGTATAAGTTGCATTTGCTGCTGCGTCCCCGTCGTCCGTTTGTCGCCATGTCCACGGGCCACCTGGTGGGGGGTTCATATCATTTCCGAGCGAGCCTCTCCAACGCAAGCCCGACGCCCTCCAGCTCCGAATCAGCTGCCAGACCGCCGCAGGCTCGCTCCACGGAGAGTCGTCAACAGAGACTGCAGCACCTGACTACGCAGTTACTCTGGCGCCTGCAGCAGTCGTCACCATTCCACTCATCTACGACTGCCAACCTGGTCCTGCCCGTGCTCCCTGACGCAGCTCCTCAGCTGGGGCCACCGCAAAAGCCAGCTAGGTTGCTCCCGGGTCTCGAGGAGAGTCAGGGAGCTCTGTATGAGATAGGGGTTGCCGACGACGGGACCTTTGTCGGACTCACCGTGGATGAGCTGGAAGAAAGTTTGTCCACTCTGCAGGTCATGGCGGCCAGCCTTGGCTGCAAGGTCGAGATTCTGCGTAGGGTCATTGTTGGCAAGTGCGAGTGGGTCGAAGACTCCTGCAGCGTGAATGCCGATATCGGCAAAGTTCATACGGATAGCCTCTGGGTGGCCGAGGCTCTCGTGAGTCCTGATTGGGAATTTTACCGGGTCAAGTCTCCGAAGTCAGGCGCAGGGGAGGACGGGTCTCCGACGAGTGCCCCCAAGAGACGGCCTTCGCTAGACGACTCTTCCAAGACAGAGCAGATCCGCGTCTCTATCTCGGGCCCCAGCGCAGCCGGCAAATCTTCACTTCTGGGCACGTTGACCTCGTCTGTGCTCGACAATGGTCGAGGGGCCAGTCGACTGGGGTTACTGAAGCATCGGCACGAAATATCATCAGGGATCACCAGCTCTGTTGCCCATGAGCTGATTGGATACGCCTCTAATGAGTCTAGCTCCGATACCATCAATGTGATCAACTACGCTTCTGGCAATATCGCCGCATGGGATGACATCCATGCCGCGTCGGAGGGCGGCCGACTCGCTTTCGTGTCTGATCTTCCAGGCTCGGTCCGGTATTTGAAGTCGACCTTCAGGGGTATCATCAGCTGGGCTCCGCATTATGTTATCCTCTGTGTCCCGGCTACAAGTGACGATGATTCAGTGGCGGATATTGCCCACGGTTCGTCTGAGCAGTCTACTGAATTATCGCAGGCCCTGTCGCACCTGGAGCTTTGTGCCAAGCTCGGGCTTCCTACGGTGATCGTGATTACTAAATTGGACGTCGCGTCCCGCACCGGCCTGAAAAACAACCTCGCGCAGATCCTCTCGGTCCTGAAGTCGTCCGGCAGAAAGCCTTCGATGTTGTCTGTATCAGCGGCCCCTGCTGGAGACTTGCAACATGTTGGGGTCAAGGACGCAGGTGAAGTGAAAAATCTGGTCGCTTCGACACAGAGTTGGCAGTCTACCGTACCTATTGTTCTTACAAGTGCTGTGGACGGCTCGGGGATAGCGAAGCTGCATGCTCTGCTTCGTTATCTCCCAATACCCGCACGGCCGCCTTTGAGAGACGTTTCTTTACCAAAGGCTCTCGCCTCTCCAGTGGCGTTTGAGACGATTTTTGACGTTGACGAGGTCTTTGCCATCCCACTGTCAAAGGTCCATTCTCTGTCCGGTGAGGAGCGACAGAACGAGACGCACGGCATTGTTCTTTGCGGGCTAGTCCGGTATGGAGCTATCTCGGCCGGTGATGAGCTAGTCATTGGGCCTGTCTTATACAATACTGCTACGGAGCATGGATCCGGCACTTCTCCCCCCAAAGACCGGACGGATAGACGCTCGGACACACAGCTTTCCTCGAGTTCCTCCCGGAGTAGGCCGCCATCCGGGGACTTTTCGAGTTCGTTCCCTCATGGCTCTCTTCCCGGGAAGACCCCTCTTGCGGCGCAGGCAAGCTGGCAGCGCGTGCGGGCCGTCAGTGTCCGCAACCTACGGCTGCCGGTGCAGAGCCTAACCCGGGATCAAGTAGGGACCATCGGGATCGAGCCCTGGCCACTCTCAACGGACGGGGAACGACCCCAACTCGGGAAAATCCGCAAAGGGTCCGTGTTGATCAAGATCCCGCCTGACTCAGCTCCTGCCCCGCGCAAGTTCCACACCGGTTTCGTGGCCAGTTTTGCGGCTAGCGAATTTGCATCTGCGTTGTCCCCACCTGTGCTGTTGGGTGGCCATGCGACGGTCTACGTCGCCAATGTCCGCTCGACAGTGCGGCTGACCTGCATGGCGCTCGCGGAAGATGAGGTGATTTCGCGCCCCCCATCCCCGACGGAGCCGGAGTTCTTCAGCTTCGATGGGGATAGCCCTGATCCGGAACGTGGGCGGGAGCATGGTGTGCACGAGGTGATCAAGTCCTCGGGTAGCTCCGAGGCCGGTGAGATCAAGATCACATTCCTTTTCGTCTCCTCGGTTGAATGGGTGGAGATCGGGTCGCGGGTGCTTCTGATGCCTGCAGCGTCCACGGGCTTGGCTTCCACTCAGGGGTCGAGCTCTTCTTCTGGGACCGGGCTTGAGGGCTTCGTTGGTCGGGTTTGTGATGTGTTATATGCGGGGGATGCGAACAGTAAATAAGAATGTAGGTAGGGCTGGAGATGGTCGTTCTTATCTCAAAAGTCGGTATAGTGGGAGGGTCTAGTGAATGTCTTGTGTTTCTTTCCGATCAGCTGTATCAGTCAACCTCTGATGGATTTAGTGTTCAAAGCATAGTTCATGATACGAAGAGAATCTGTATACCTCTGAAAGAAGTGGTGACGATGGGGAGCTGCTGGATACGATAAGATACGGGGGTGGGAAACGGCACTAGACCTGGATAGGATAGGCATGCAGCGCTCAGACCACGGCAGCTTTCTTAACCATCTTGACTATCTTAACTTTGAGTTAGACTGCTTTGGTTAGACTCAACTGACTTACTGCATGGCTGACGCCAAGTGGACAGGCTGAAAGCTGATCTTCCTCCTTCACTACTCCATCTTCATCTACTACTCCGTACATGCATGCCGGTCCTGAGCAAAGCACAGTTGACAACCAGTCGATGATTGGCAGTCTTGTTTCAAATTGCGGCACGGGTTGGGCTCGCTTGATCTGGTTCAGCTGTTCTTTCTGGCTGTGTTCCCACCCAGTCCCCATCTTTGCCTTCGTCTACCCCGGATCCTGTCCCGTCAGTTCCGCAGTTCACCACCAGCTCATCTCTCATCATCTCCTGACTATATTGTTCCCCTTCCCCGCCCCCCGGCCTTCTACTTGTGACAACTGCTTTATTTGACGGGTAGGACCTCTGGAATTCATTGAGCGGACTCTTGTTGTGGTCGGAGGTGACTGGCATGTCCTGAACCCCTCACCGCTCACTCTCCACGGACAGAGTTGTCAGACAGTCCACTTTCAACCAAAAACCGCCACCATGGCGGGACCCAGCAGCTTGAATCTAAGCTCTCGCGTCAGCTCCGATCTCGATGGTATCTCAGATGAAGAGGAGGAATTTGTCTCGAGTGCCAGCACAACCTCCAGCGCGTATGAGTCTCAGATGAAGGAATCTGTGAATGCGGGGAATGCGAGTCCCCAGCAGCCGCAAGCTGCTGGCGCGTCTCCGGAAAACAACACCAATAACAATAACCACAACAACCCGCACAAAACTGGGGGAGCGAAGACGGCAGTGACCTGCTGTGCTAGTCCCCATGCAGCTTCCAATCCGTCGGAAAGGAAGCCTTTGAACCTGCTTGACTTGCCCATGGATATACTGCAGGAGATCATGAAAGAGGTGTGTAACCCGCTCGGGTCACTTGATATCGGCCCCTTCAAACACGTCAACCATACTAATCAGATCTGGGATACAACATAGGTGACCCACACGACCGATCTCACATCCCTTGCATTGACCTGCTCTGCGCTTCATTCGCTGGCGATTCCGCAGATGTACTCCCGGTTCGACATCGTCTGGCCGGAAGCCCTCTCAACCTCCGACCATCCGGCTGGCGTGGATGCTCTGTCGTACGGGTTGGCGACTCTCGTGACCGGGGAGGATATATTCCGCGAGGTGCCTGGCCGACGGTCGTCACAGCCGTGTCCACATTGCGGGTGCAGCGGAGCGCCGCCCAGTCAGCATGCGGCGGGCGCACTACCGCGAGTCCGCCGCGGCAACTACTACGCGCAGTATACCCGCAAGTTCTCTGTCGGCAACGGGCCGTTGATGTGGGTGCAGGAATACGCGGTGACCAAGGAGACGGGCAAGATGCTGGGGACGCTGGTAGCTCTGGCGGTGGCTCGGATGGTGAACCTGGAGACCTTCGTCTGGGACATGCCCACGGGAGTCTTGCGGGATGTCTGGGTTGCGCTGGCGTCGCTGGCGACTCGCCCGGGCCACGAATGTCGTCTGGAACGCGTTTGGGTGCGCTGGCACGATAACTCCGACAATGCCCTGCGGTCTCTGGTAGCCTCAGGCCCGACTGCGTCCTCGGTGACCTTGCCTCATTCGCCGGCTACGGTTCTGGGATCTACAGGGAATACAGCATCGTGGCAACGATACGGACACGTCGAATACCCCTCTCTGTCGATCCTTCCACCATTGAAGAGTCTGAGCGTGTTGGACATCGACGAGCCGTCGTATTTGGAAGAGATGGGCGTGTTGGTCAAGCGATCGCGCGGTCGGCTGAAAGAACTCCGTATTGGGATTTCTTCCAAAGCGTATCCAGCGGCATGGCTGAAACCGGCAGGGAGCTGGCAAGCTGAGCAGCCAACGCCGCCGAACGGAATCGTTGGCTGGCCCCGATCTGGGGGCGTACTGGGGGTCGTCCTTGGCAGGTCTGAAGATCATCACACTCGGCCCGAATCACAGGCCCGTGTCTCTCCCACCAAGGAGGATTCTGTTGAGACGCCTCCTCCTGAAACTAGTCAGACTGCGGGTGACGTGCCTGTCCACGACGGGCCCCCGTTGACAGCGGGTTCTCCGCCCCAACCGAGCGGTGGTGTCACTGGGCTGGCCCTAAATATGGAACACACGCACATCGCCAGCCCGCCCGCGTCCTCCCCTCCAGAAACTAGACCCTCGCCGATCCCCAGCGGGCCATCGGGGTCTGTCACGGGGGCACAAACGACGCCCGAAGACGATCGCCCGCTGTTACAACTTGAGACACTCGAGCTAGAGCGCGTTGCACTGTCGATCCCGGTGGCAGTGCATGCGCTCGACTGGAGCAAGCTGACCACGTTGACGATCCTTCGATGCGAGAATCACGAGAAGCTCTGGCGGGCTCTGCGGCGCCAGTACTCCCCGTCGCCGTCACGGCCGAAGAGTGGGGAGGCTCCAGAATACACCCTCCGACTCAAGCACCTCCATACGGATGCCGTATCGCCGTACCTGCTGCTGTTCATCAAGGATACGCTAGCGCCAAATACCTTGGAGACCCTCTTCCTGCACGAGGCGCCGATGTCCGAGTCGATCGTCAACATCGACGCGATCTACAAAAACGCGATTCGTAATCACCACCTGAGTCTGCAGAAGATCCTGGTGGACAGCACCCAGCGCACGCCGGGGGGCGCGGAGATGGCTAGCGTGCGATGGTACAAGTGGATGTTCACACGCCAGATGATTACGTTCATGAGCAGTGGTCGAATGCCTCGGCTGAAGGAGCTGTCCATTGCTCTTCACGCTAAGGACTGGGTAAGATTGCGTCCCCTTTTCGCTTTCTCACTGAAAACGAAGAGCGTCGTCCACTAACACCGTTGTTATTAGCACTACTTCATCCAGAGGCTCCCGTACATGCCCCAGCTCCGTGCCCTGCACATCCCGCACATCGCCCGCCACGTCCACCGCGACCCGAAGGAACTGGCCATGCTCATTCTCGACGTGGTCACGATCCGGCCGGAGATCGAGCTGACCTACGTCGGGGTCCAGGACAAATGCTACGAGATCTTGGAGGGGAAGGACGGCGAGGCCGGCGGCGAGTACTACGACACGGACGACAGCCACAGCGAGGGGTTCGTGCCCGGCGGGGAGGACTGGCCGGGCTCCGAGACCAACGACGAGGAGGAGTCGGACGAGGACGGCGGGGCCAGCGCGATCCATACGCTGTCGGACTCGTCGTCGGACGACCGGGGCTCGTCGGACGGCGAGGATTCGGAGGTGGACTTCAACCGGTCGCGGGTGTCGTTCCGACTGCGGGAGATTTTGTTCTACGATGATAAGATCGCGATTTACAAGGCACGACACGGGGTGTTGTGATTTTTGGGGTGGGTGGACAGAGGCGTCGGTGTGATTTAGGTCTTAAGATACCACCCAGCGATTTCGGATTGCAATGAGATTTGAGATTTGAGAGTAAGATGTAGTAGGATGTAGACCTGTCTAGTAAGAGATATGCATGCATAAATGCCATCTGACTCAGCTTGCACAGCGGACTAGACCCACCTTCCAAGCTCCCCCACGTGACAAGGCGGTCAAGCAAGCTCAGCCTCTGAGCGCCGCCGCGATCTCGACATCACCGCAGCCAACCCACGCGAACGTTCGAAGGTCGAAGGAAGGATTGACCAGCAGTTTCCTTTCAGTGTCTGTATCAGTTTCGCGTTCTTGAATTCGAGTCTGTGCTTTAATCCAGCTGCCAAGATGAAGCTCGTCCGGTAGGCCGCCTACCACCCTCCAGAGAAAGGAAGAAACACTAACAGCCCCCGGTCCGGTCCAGGTTCCTGATGAAATGCGCCAATGAGACGGTGACGATCGAGTTGAAGAATGGTGAGTCTTCGCTGTCTAGCGTCTTCCTACGCGACGTGGTTGCATGCAGTACACTTCATACACAGCATCCACGCTCACGAACCCCAATCCCAATTCCAATCCCAATCCCACATCCCAAGTTCAAGCTCAGCTCAACCCCAACCCCAACCCCAACGCCCTCCCCCTAGAGAACCTCAGCTAACACAAACTCCCCGGTGGGTGAAAAGGAACCATCCTCCACGGCACCATCACCTCCGTCTCCCCGCAGATGAACACCAGCCTGCGCACCGTCAAGATGACCCCCAAGGGCCGCGATCCCATCGGCCTCGACACCATCAACATCCGCGGCTCCACCATCCGCTACTACATCCTGCCGGACAGCCTGCCGCTCGACACGCTGCTGATCGACGACACGCCCAAGCCCAAGAACAAGGCGCGCAAGGAGGCGGATCGTGGGGGTAGGGGGGGAAGAGGTGGGCCCCGGGGTCGGGGACGCGGGCGCGGGAGGGGTCGGGGACGGGGGTTCTAGATTTCTTTTCCAGGATGTCCTTTTTTCGGGCTTGTGGGATTGAAGTTGGGGTGTGTTGATGGGTGGATGGGGTGAGGAGAGGAAGTGCGGTGGTGAGGGATGGGATACCCTACTTGCTATTGGTGGAGGGTGATCTATTGCGTTCATTTGTTTGCTAGGTTTTTTTTTCTCTCTATCTTGAAAGTCATCATCATCATCGTCGTCATGGGAAAATATGGAGTTCGTTTTTTTTCGGATCTATCTCGTTCTTGCTGCTCAGTGTATTGGGTTGTGTAGTTTGTGGTAGTTCGAAATTCAAACACAATCCCTGAAGATTAAGTGTCAGTGTCAAGAAAGAGCAGAGCAGAACCCTCTATCAAACCATGCCATCATTCCTGAATAATCATAAATCATTATCTATCCACCTCCCCCCCCCCCCCCCGGCCCCAAACCCATATATATATATACACACAGTCTACCCCTCCCCACAGAAATCATTCCAGAAATTCCCGCCAAACCCGCATTATAACCAACTTCTCCCACCCCGCCTTCACCCCACTGAACCCAGCAATCTCCGCGGACCACTTCGTCGCCCCATCCAAACCATCCCTCCACCCCCGGATCCGCTCCACCACCTCGCGCGGCCGATTCTGCGCACACAGCAACACATACCCCACCCCGCGGGGACTCAACACCCGCGGCAGATCCGCCAGCAGCCGCTCCGTGATCTCCATCCCGTCCTTGCCGCCGGCATATGTTAAGGAGAGGAGGTAGGATTCGCGCTCGAACTGCTCGCTGCGCGATCCGGCCGTCACAAAGTCAGTGGCGGTCGGGGCGCGCGGGACGGCGTCGGTGGGGACGTAGGGCGGGTTGAAGAGGAGGATGTCGATGCTGCCGGCCTTGAAACTGGAGGCGAGGTTGGATTGGAGGGTGGAGAGGTGGGCGGATGTCACGGCGGAGGACTTCTCTTGCTCCTCTTGGGCGGGGGAAGACGGGGTGGCTGCGCTGTTTGGGTTGGGGCTTGTGTTTGTGTTCTGCTGCGCCGCAATGGCTTTGACGACGGTCTCGCGGGTCGCGAGGCAGGCGGTGCGGTTGAGGTCCGTGGCTAGCGAGAGCACGTCGGCGCGGCCGAGTATCGTGGGGCTGTTCGCGACCAAGAACGCGAGGACGACGCCGGAGCCGGAGCCTACTTCGAGGACTGTTGGGCTTGGGGTAGTGGCCGGGAAATGTTGGGTGAGCCAGGCGGTTTCAGGGGCGGAGGAGAGCGTGTCCAGGAAGAGGTAGCTGTCTTCGGCAGGTTCGTAGATCGTGTCGAAGGGGACGTGCGCGGTGCAGGGGGTGGGTAGCATTGTGTGGGGAGCCCGGTGGGCGTGATGGTGAGGAGGGTTGGGTTTGTGCAATTGTTGTAGTAATGGTGATGGCTGGCTGGCTGGTTGGTACCGATAAAGACCGAAATCGATATCAAAACGCTGCGGAGGGAGACCTGGAGAAATCTTCGCCATGCGATTGGTCGAGACCTCTCCCCGCCTTGGGATTTACCGCGGCAGTAAACGATTCGGTCCCATCCGGATGGCAGCCCGGGCAGTTGCTTCGACTCCATCATTATTGAGTCGGTTGAGAATATTCATCAGTAACAATGCGCCTGCCTTTCCATCCCACAGCCCGCCTCCTGGCGACCCCGGCCTCCATCGGCTCCAAGTCCAGCCTCACCGAGGCCCTCGCCCTCCTCCCCCCCATCCCCCTCTACCGCCGCATTCTCCGCGTGCACCGCAAGAAGCTCGACCCCCAGATGCGCCTGCTGGGCGACTCGTACGTCCAGAGCGAGTTCCGTGCGCATCGCAACGTGGAGAACCCGTTGCATATCGTATGTCGCCCCATATATTGTTGTGGTGGAGGAGCTGCCCCGAAGCTAACGCAGGGTCTAGATCGGCTTCTTGACGGAGTGGCAATTATACGCGCAGAAGCTGGAGGGCGATGCCTGGATTGGGGAGAAGCTCGATAAGGGCAAGTTGGATAAGATGAGTGGTGGGTTCTGTCTTTCTGCCAGAGGGGTTCTAGTGATGCGGGCTAATCCGAGTAGACCAGCAGATTGGCCAGCTGTACGAATTGATGCAGGCCATCAAGAATGAGGAGGGCGAGGGCGAGGGCGGGCATGGCAAGGAATAATCGAGGTTGCGTTCGATGCGCCACAGTGTGGGAATGTCTAGGGACGAATAAGATTGTAAGATTGTGAGATATACTGTATATAGACTAACCAACGAAGAATGTACGCTGGAAGGATAATGGATGATCCTTGCAGACTGTATCTGTGATGCTGCCTGATCGTAAGTACTCGGTAGTTATAGAAGATAGCATGTGTAAGCAAGCTGCGGGGTAGTTAAAAGGGCGAGAGCCTCGCAGCCCTTTCATCCTCCGCATTTCATACTTTCCAGACTCTAACCGAGTTGGACTCACAATGACAACCAAACCAGCAGCAGCAACCTCCCCACCCAGATTCAAATGCGTCTGCTGCAAGAAGAAGAGCTTCAAGACGGCCGAGGCGTTGAGCAACCACCAGCAAGCCCGGGCCCATCATCCTGTCGCGTGCCCGATATGCTCCAAAGAGTTCTGCGATAAGCACGCCGTGCAGCAACACCAACAGGTCCATCAACGAAAGGCAGCTGTCCTCGCAAAGCCTCAAGCTACAACTACAAGTACAACTACAACCAGCCCTACACCGAAACCCACTCCGCAGCAGCAGTCCATCAATGCCCACCCCAAGCAACAAGCAAACCCACCACCAACCCCAACACCTTCCCTAAAACTCCCCAAAACTATACACCACCCCTCCACCCTCCACCCCCTCGAACAAGACCTGCTATACAAATACCTGCTCTCCCGATGCCACCCCCGAACCCGCCTGCAAGCCCAGAACTACCCCACAGCATCACAGACCCCCGGAAGGGACTACCAGCCCACCCCACCGGCAAACCCCACGCAGCCCAAACGCAGAGCCATCGTTCTGACCTGCGAGACCGACCCACAGGCAACGGGTTTGACACATCTAACCGCCACAGACTTTTTGAGTAGTGAAGCGCTCCTGCATCTGGCTGTTGGTTTTGCAGCTGAGGGGATGCAGACCGACGGGACCGCGACAGTGACAGCAACAGCAACATGCACCGACAAGAGCACCCGTGCAACTGTGGCTGATGCCGACGCAGCGCGAATGGCACTGTGGCGGGTCGTCGACGCGGACACGGTCCTCGTGGGCTATGGGCTGCAGCGCGGGCTGCAGCTGCTAAGGATGGTGCACGAGCGGGTGGTGGATGCGGGGATCCTGACGGCGGAGGCGGTTTTTCTGGAAAGGTCGACGGTGTCGATACGGAGGGTGTGGGGGTTGGGGGAGCTGTGTGCGGAGGTGTTGGGGTGGGGTAAGCGGCAGGAGGAGGAGAAGGAGGAGGAGGGAGCTGCTGCTGCTGCTACAAGCAAGAAAGGCAAGCAGAGGAAGAAGGGCACATGTGACGGGTGGGCAGAGTGTGTGGCCGCCAGGGAGGTGGTGGTATGGTGCTTGCGGAATCCGGAGCTGTTGCGGACGTGGGCTGAGGGCAAGGCTGGAGGGGATATTGGGGATGCTCCGCAGACGAGCGAGACGGCGAAGAGCAAGCGAGGGAAGAAGAAGAGTAAGAAGAAGAGTAAGAAGAAGAGCAAGAGCAAGAGCAAGAAGCGCAAGCAGATCGAGCAGCAGAAGGAAGAAACAACCATCCTAACTACAGCACCACCAGAGCCAGAGACAGTTCCTACACATGAACAAACCCCACCACCACCACCACCACCACCACCACCACCACAGCCCGAAGAACCAGACGAAGATGAAGATTCTGATGAAGGACTCGAGATCGTTCAATGGCAGGATCTTGAGTGATGTTCTACCATCTATCATCTACAATCTACATTCCACATTCTACATTCTACGAGTACCATATTATTCGACAGTAAAGATAGATCCTCGGCATCCCGCGCCGACCCAGCCCAGCCCAGCCCAGCCCCACCCACCAACCCACCACTTTAGTCCAACCGTTAGCAACCAGTGAACCACAAAGTGAAATTTCCCCCTAGATCCCTATCTTATCGCCACCCGGTTATCGGGAAACCTGCCCGCTGCCCCCAAAAAATAAATTTCCCCTTCCCCTTCCCCGCGCATGCGCCGCGCCCTCCGATTGACATCGGCCTTCTTTTCCACTCATACCTTCCCCTCAACCGAGCACTTGACCAACTATAACCCCCCTCCTTCCCATCCTCATCCTCAAGCCAGTCCTTACCATCAACCCTTCTCCTCCCCAAACCAATCTCCCACAAGCCAAGCAACCGAAACGAAAAGAAAAATGCCCGCCCTCCTCGAAGACCCCCTCACCACCCTCCCCGCGCCGACCGCCGCGAAAACCGCCGCGCCCACCCTGACCCCCAAAAAGGCCATCCTCAAAGACGCCACGCCCGTCACCCTGTACCCCATCGCGGGGGGGCCGTCCACCGTCCCCGATTCGCTGATAGCGTACCTGCATAAGGAATTCAGCGCCGAGATCGTCCGCGGCAGCACGTACCCGATGGAGGAGCCGATGACGCTGGAGCACTACCGGAATTATTGGTTCGGCACGTTTGCGGTCGTTGCGTTGGTTGACGAGGACACTGATGGGCAAGGCGAAGGGGAAGGCCGGGGCCTGGTGGAGGGCCGGGATTGGGAGCGCGTGTGTTTGGGGACGTTTTATGTGAAGCCGAATTATCCGGGTATATATTTTTCCACCCACATTCCTTAAAAGAAAGAAGGGGGGAGAGGGGGGGGATGCGGGGAGGTGAAATCAAACTTTGGGGGGCCTGGGGGAAATGTGAATGCTTAGGCTGATGCTAACTTGGTGACACTGGACAGGTCGGTGCTCGCATGTCTGTAACGCCGGGTTCTTTACGACTCCGGCGGCTCGAGGGCGCGGCGTGGGGATGGTGATGGGCCGGACTTATTTGGAGGTTGCGCCGGTGTTGGTATGTTCCTTCCTCTCTTTTGCTTTCTTCGGGGTTGATGAGGGTGAAGGGTGCGGCTGGGCTAACCAAACTGACGATGCTGACGACGACGACAGGGCTACAAATACTCCGTCTTCAACCTCGTCTTCGCCAACAACACCGCCTCCGTCAAGATCTGGGAGAAGCTGGGCTTCCAGGTCATCGGCCGCGTGCCCCGCGCCGCGCGCCTGGCTAACAGCGAGGAATTGGTCGATGCGTTGATCATTGGCCGGGATCTGGTTTAAAGGACTTCTCTCACTGCACATATACCCCACTGGGCAACACGGGAAGCAACATGTAAATATCCTTGTTCCACTTGGCCTGTGATAGATACGATAAATATAGATGATTACTTGCCTAAAACCACACCACCATAAATGATCAATGCCATACATACACCGCTGAAAAAAATGCTTGAGGGGGATATCAATCTGCAAAGACACGCAAAATCGGCTATATCACCATACAAAAACCCCCAATCGCAATGCTCCAGTTGAATTACATGACAACGATGGAAAAAAAAGCAATTACCCGGAAGATGTGACGCGACTAGCCCCGCCAGGGAGGTCGCTCACCCAGCTTGCTGCGCGTGTTAGGCGCATTGTCCTTGCCGGTCCGGCCTTTGGGCAAGGGAATCAAGCTGATGCGACGGTTGCTCGCATGTCCGAGGGACGTTTCCGGCCGTGGCGTCGGAGGCGCTTTGGTCGGACTCGCCAGTGCGCGGCTGTGATCTTGCGAAACACTGCGGCTGAAGGAAAGCCCCGCGAAGCTCTGTCGGCTGCGGGGCGCAGTGGCCAACCCATCGGGTCGGCGCAGCTTGCTGTAAGGAGGAGGATCCAGAAGGGATCGGTTCGGGGTGGGAGACGCCACTCGCGACGGGCTGCGCGACGCCAGACGGCTGGACACCCGACTGACCGACCGCGCGCTCATCGGCGCCGGTGACACTGACATATCGCGGCGGTACGGGGTCATGGGGAGTGTGGAGGAAGGGCGCGACGTGCGACCCTGGGCGGACGATTTGCGGAAAGGTGTATGGAGCGAATTAGACTTGTATTTGTCCAAGTCGTTGGTGTTGGTGCTGGTGGTCCACCGCGGCCGATTGGCCAACGCTGGCGGCAGAGCTGGGGTACGAGGTACCGGCTTGCGCGCCGCTGGCGTTGGCGTAGCAGCCACGTGCTTCGTAGGCGAGGTCACCCCGAGCGACGCCTTGGGAATCGCCGATTTCTTCGCCGTTAAGGTGGATGTGACTTGCGGCAAGCCAGAATATCGTCGCACCTTCGACATGGTCGTGCGTGCCACCGAACTGACAGAGCTACCACGACGGCTGGAGTTGTTGACCGGCGTGGTGGATCGCTTTAATGCATTCGCCGGGGTCATGATCACCGATGAAGCTGGGGAGCTACCGGGAGTCTCCGGGACACTCCCGGTCAATGGGCTATCCATGGTGAGGATACTCGAGATCGAGTCGCGCAGGTGTTGAGACCGTGTGAAGCTGATATCCTCCAAGGATGCATCCATTACCCGGATGCTGGCCTTCAGAGCATCGACCCGCGATGTCATGTCTGACAACAGTCGTAGAGTCTCTCCGTTGACCGTAAGACGGTCATTCACACCCTTCTGGATGATCGACACCACCCGCTCAATCGCAGCAACGTAATGCTGTTTCTTAGCGTCGTAACTTTCGACCCGTTTCGTGAATTGGGCTGGGTTGTGCACCTGAGCGCTGATCTCGATGGCTTCCTGAAGCTTCCCAATGCTCCTCTCGACCGATTCGAACATCTTCTGCGCTTGGTTTCCCGCATTGCGGAACACAAGGATCCACCGGTCCTCGCTGAGCTCGTCCCGCAAGGCCTCTGCATCAGCTTCCAGCCCTTTGTAGGCCTTCTCAAGCTGACTGCGTCGATCCTCGAGCTCCTGGCAGGCGCTGGGGAATATTCGCACCGCCCGCGACTGGAACATGGACAGTCGCATGGGGAGGAAATCGAGCGATGCCCGTAGCGGTTGGATCCTGGCAAACAAGGCGATCAAGTTGGAGTGGCTGGAGTCGTCATGCGGCGTCTGTATGATAGGCATATCCAAGGTCGGTGCCGTGAAAAGAGGCTCCAGACTGAACCGCTTGCTGGTCGACATGCGGCCACCTGCTGGCGTTTCCTCGACGATGGTCTCCAGCTCATTGATGTCGAGTCCCGTAGCACTGGAATCTTGTTCACCCGCCATGGTCCAGTGTCGCTTTTCTTCCATCTCGAAGATGAGCCGACCGAGATTCTCCACCTCCACTCCAACATCGCCTAAGACATTGCTCCATAGTTCCTCCCATTCCATCGCCAGCTCCACTTGTTCTTTGACTCCCTTCAGTCGATCCTTGATTTGCGACCAGCTATGAATGATCCCGTCCATCTGTACAACAATCAAGTTCAATTGATCAGTGGAGACGTTCTCTATATCGTCGCGCATCTGCACGTCCTCGATAGCCTTGACGTAAACGTTGATCAGACTCTCAAACCGGGTGATCGCTCCGTCAACCCCATCCAACCCTTCTCGCCCGCCGGCAGCTGCCCATTCGACGTCGTCCTCGGCATCCAGCCCGCTCAAGACACCCGATGCCTTTTTGATCCATATTTGAATCTGGTCCGCAGCTCCCGTGAGGGCCCTTACGGCGGCGGCGGCGGTTGGAATGGAGGCGATACCAGCCTCGAGTAAGGATGGTTGGGGAAGGGAGATGGACGTGAGTTGCGAAAGCTGATTGCTAAAGGAAGCCCTTGAGAACGAGTATATAGATTCTGAGCGTTGTAGCCCGAGCGGGTTGAAGTAGGACTGCGAATTCGCGGATGAGATTGAGAGGGGGCGGGGAGAATCTTTCGGCGGCGGGGGAGGGGGGGCGGATTCATTGTCGCTGGTGCTTTTGAGGTACTTTTCGAAGTCGGTCGGGTTCGTGGACGGCATTCCATTCGTTGATCCGGGGCGGAGTGGCAGACGAGATCGTTCAAGGACAGCCATGTCGAGTAGTGGCTCTTCGATCGCTCCCTTGTCCTGCTGCACTTCGTCTTCTTCTTCTTGTTTTGCTTCAGCTGCGACTTTGGCTTCCGGCACTGCTTCGGCTTCTGCTTCTGCCTCCGTGTCTGCCCTTACTTCCGCTCCACACTCTTTCAAAGAGTCCCCTTTTTGAGAAAGCTCTTCTGGAACCGAAGCGATCAACAGCGAATGTAAGTCGGGTTGTAGAACCGAGGTAAGCACGTGCTGTTCTGAGACTTGCTCCGAAGGTTCCCAAGCTTCGTCTGCGTAGAGCTCATCCGCTAGTAGCTCTTCCGGGAGCACTGGGTCGGGGACCTCCAAGTGATTTAAATCGCACGATTGTTGCTGCTGCTGCTGCTGCTGCTGCTGTAAAAGGGACTGTTGTTGTTGTTGTTTCCTTTCTTTGTGGGCCCGGTGCAGACCATTCCACGTACGACCCTTTTTTTGAATCCTTATCGATAAGTCCTGGTGCAAGCTGTCCAACTCCTTAATGTGTTCCTCGGGGATGCGGCCCACAGCGCCCACTCGAGACGGGCTGTTGTTCTTGCTGCTGCTGTTGCTGCCGTCGAGGAGCTTGACGCGGGCGGCGAGGCCGGGGGACAATCGACGAAGGATGGATGGGCGAATGAGCGTCTTCTCGGCGTTGGCGTTGGCGTCGGGAGTGTCGTCAGGGTCGTCGTCGTACGTCGTACTGTTGCTTCCCAGGCTGCGGAGACTGCGCAGAGAGGATTTGGATCTGATTCGTCGCGTGAAGGACTCATCTGCAGCGGAAATGGAGACAGCAGGAGGAGGAGGGGGAGGGGGGGAGAAGAGCTGCGGCGACGACGACGAGGTAGTGGTGGATGTGTTGAGCCCGGAATCCGGGGGGTCGGCGGTCGCAGTGGTTGCGGTTGCAGTGGTTGCAGTCGACCCGGTGAACATGGCACGCATGGATGGGGAAAATCCACGAGGCGACTGCGGTCGGATGTTGTTTTGATTTGATTTAGGAAAAGGTAAGAAAGGGTATGTATGTATGTGTATGGGTATTGATTGAGGTAGTGTGGGTAACTTGCGAAAGGATGTGTGGGTGTGAAGGACTGAGTGACTAACGCACTAACGCAGTCGTGCAGTAGAGCAATGATGAAGGGTGGGTTCAGGAATGTGGTTGATGGGCTCAGGATGCGCCAACGCGGCGGGTGGACTAGGAGTAGTAGGCGTTAGGTATGCGGGCTACCCAGGTAGCTACCTAGTAATAGCTGTTATCCCTTCCCCTTATCCGGTTTCAGCACAAGCCTAGGTTTAAATGCGTCGGGCCCAAATAGAGATCCTCAACTTGTCAACGCGCTCAACAGAACCCAGTCCGGAACGTCCCGGTGACATTATACTGAGAAAATATGGAATTGATTTGGGCAGCAGCAGTATCAATGGTGAATGTATGAAAGGTTCAGACTAAAAAAAGAGGGTGATTGTACTGATTGTAAGGGTGTGGGGAAATTGAAACAGAAGACATGCTGTCCCTACACGGTAGCTTCGGCTGGCCTCAGGCTCCATTGTTGTGCCCGACCAGGCCCCGGGCTGATCCTCCGCCCCAAAGGGCCGATTATCTGCATCCTTTCTTTCTGTCTTCCTTACTTTCGGTCTGCGTAGTCACTACTGTGCTTAGGTAGTTATGCTGTTTGGTACTTGAGAGTTAATATCTGAACGTGCTTCAACTTATTATGAAACCATTGTATTGAAAGTAGCATTGAGGTTGAAAGCAGAAGAACGAATAAAGTATATTCCATCCTCTGCCTTTCGACTGGGAACTACACCACGCCTACCTGTTTTGACAGAGTGTCACAAGCTTCCACTAAAGAACTAGTCGTCAGCCGCAGTCTGAGCTGCCTGAGAAGCATCGCTAGCATAGGGCTCATGATCCTTACCACACAGTCTACACGACCCCAAGACCAACAAGGGTAAATAACCGTCTGGCCCATCCCCTTGGGATACCGAGCCAACAAGCGGCCTTCCCCTTCTTGTAGCTTCATCCTCCCTGGGTTCATGGCTCGAACACCACTCAAGCTCCTTCGCATCGTAGTCATTTCGCGGGATCACAGACTTCCATGCTGCAAAAAGCTTGTTCCAGTCATCAGCTATGTCATCCCCGTCGACAGGTTTCTGGCGCCGGTCAATCACCCACCACTTCAGAGTGATGGCCCCATCCTGTGGTGAAGAAGAAGGCGCATCGACCTCTGAAGAAGGCTGAGAGGGCTGCTGCTGCTGCTGCTGCTGCTGCTGCTGCTCACTGCTGTACAGGTCCACCGTCGAGTAGACGTCGACGCAGCTATAGACGTGCTTGCAGCACTGGGAACCGGACCCGCAGCTCCTTGAAAGCGCGGGCCAGGGCCAACGTGCAAGAGTCTTCCTGGACCTGAATGGACTCCCCTGCCTTGAGGTTGAGGAGGCTGGAATCCCACTTGATCGTGATGAGCCAGGTGCCGGGGCGATCCGTTCAGCGGCCGCAGTATACGGACGTCGAGCCGACTTGCGGGAGTAGTCGAGCCGCTCCGGCCGCTGCATCATGTCTGCAGACACAATACGTTCACAGACTGTAAAGCGTCCGCAACGGACGTCAGAGCTATCTAGGCTGTTCATAATTGTCTCGTTGTTCAGTTTCTCTAAAGAGACGGCCATTTTTTTTCTTTGGCTATCAGCAGGATCTTGCTGGAAGGCTAGAAGGGTAATGAGTGTTGATGAGAAACCGACGAAAGGACCAGGCTGCTCGCGGTCAATTATATAGTGCGGAGGAGATGTGTCCAGGTCAATTAAGAGTAGCGCTTTTTTTTTTGGCTCTTTGATCTCTAGTATCTTTTACTTTGATACCTTTGATCTGCACTGTTCAATTATGCCCATTAACTATGTTGTTCACGACTTTTGTAATCCTATACTTCATTGAGCTCAGCAGCTTCCACTTTGTGTGTACCAATAAACACAAAGTTTGGTAAATCCTCCGGCATCCATGGAACAAGCCCGCGCGACCCAGCCCTTCACCGTATCTTACTCCAACCTCCGACCGCTAGACTAGCCCCCGAGGGCAGCCAAATTGTCAATCGATGTGAGCGAGGTTTGAATCTTCGTAAGCAAAGATTATGTATTGAGAATGATACAAGAAAGTATAATCTGACACCGGATTGGGCACCCCCCTTCAGCACAGGGATATCGGCGACCTGTCCGACATTCGCCTGAGAGACGGAGTGTAGCCCATATTCCCGCGCCAAAAGTCGTATAGTTACAATGAAGGGGAGTGTCTCCCGTCCGAGATACAAGCAAGATCAAGCATATCGCGACAGAGGGGTGAAATGTAAAACACAATTATTTCCAACCTGACTGAGCTCAGACAAGCAAGGGGTATCAATGTGGCCAGAGCGGACAGCAAAATAAGCGCAAGAACGAACCCACCGACCATCCCGTCGGTCTTCCCCTTCCCCAATTCCCCTCCTCTTTCTTTCGGCTTCCCCTTCTCCCCTTTCCTTTAATCCCCCCCCCAAAAAAACAAGCCCCCCTCTTCCTATTCGTGACCATGATCGATCACAATTGACGACCGAGCACCTCCTATCACAAAGGACGGATCACCAGATCGTCACTAGGAAGGCTGGCAGCCGAAGCTCGCCGCTCCCGCCAATCCCGCACCAGCTCTTCACGGACTACCCTACACCAGGACAGCAGAGCGGTGTCGAACTGCTTCCAAGCCTCGTCGCTATTGCCCTGTACCACCCCCATCACATCGATCTCCAGCTTGGTTTCCCATCGTAGCTCAGCTGCCTTAATCCAGAATCGCAGGTTCTCTGCCATGCGATATGGCTTCCCGACATCCTGATGGTACGTCTTGATGTCGAAGACCGGCCGCTTCGAATTTTTGATTGCGAAATTATGGGCCCGCACCAGGTCTCGGCCGTCGCGCAGACGCTCCAGCATGGCAGGCGGCGGTGAGTTATCCTCCGGAGCGGTCCATGCGGGCAGCTGCGCGTCGGCGCCGATCAGGCTACGCAGGAACAACGTCTCCCGGTCCCGCTCTTTGCCTGTCCACTCACCTTCCGTCCAGATCCATGCAGCTCGCTCTTTGGCTTCAAATGATTCCAGCTGAGCTTCCCGTGCCAGCATGTCGCGTACGTTGCCCATCCAGCCTATAATGGCAGTACGCTCGTCCTCGCGAAGCCCGTCGGCAAAGTTCCGAGCGGCCCATCGCTTCATCACCTCGAGCACACTGAAGAGCTCCTTTCGGATCTCCCGCTTGTCCTTGATTGATGCCAGTCGCTCAGGACGCTCATGTGCGGTGTAGTAGATCTTCGCGGCCCGAATGGCTAAGGTGACGGCATCCAGGACACGCATGCCCTGAATCTCCTGCCATGTCTGAGGAACTGCCTCCGGAGGAGGTTGTGGTGTTGAGTCATCTTCGCTGTCGCCGGGTTCGTTGGATGAGAAACTGATGCGGGGCGGAATCATTTCCGCTGGCGGATCCTTCTGGGTGTCGAGGGAATTGATCGCGCGGTCGGCCTTCTCCATCGCCTCCATCAGGTCCTTGCGCAGCGCCTTTAGTTTCGGTGGGGACGGGATGTGGTGTGTCTTGATACTGTACGTGCTCACGGTGGGTGGAAGCATCACCTCGACGTCCTCATCCATCTCGGACCCATCGTCTTCAAAGCCGGAATCGCGGGGATCGATGCTTTCTTCCTCCGTAGGGCTCACCGTCAACTCCTCGATGAACCGGGCATTGGGGGTCAGCAGCAGCCTGGGAAGCTCTTCTGGATCCTTCTTCTTTTTCTTGTATGCACGGGCCTGACCGCCCTTCCCATCCAGCAAGCCTGTCCGCGCAAAGTAGTATTGCAGATGCGCGATGCTACCCAGGCTCATCACACTCTCTCGGTTCTTAGCCGAATCTGCGAACTCGGCCCCTTGGGTGCGAATGTAGCCCCGTCGCTTGGAGGCGGTCGAAATCGATGACCTGGCATCGGCAGAGGTAGCAGACGAGGCCGAGAGCGAGGACAGAGACGAAAAGGTCCGGTCTGGCGATGGACAGGAAGAGATGGCCGGCGTTGCTGGAACCGATGGAGAGGGAGAACCGGCGCGGGCAGGGGGGGTGATTGATTCGGGGTCGATAGAGTCATCCATGGCTGCGCACGTTATCCTTGTTGGCTCGTTCACTGGTGACGGTTCGCAGGTCTGCAAAAGATAGATCGTATTGGGGGCACGGCGGCGCGTTCGAGAGGACACAGATCCGGTATGAGGCGAGTTATACCTCTCACACTAAAGAGCAAAGGACAGGTGTACGCCGGGTAATGGGGAATGATGGAAATGACGCGAAAGGATCGAAAATAGGGACAAGGCGTAGGTTTGAGACGCGAGAGTTGAGTGATTAATTAGAGATGGTCAACCGATCATCGGGGCAAGATTGAATTTGGGAAGTTCGAAAGGGGGGGCGTTTTTTTTCCACTAAAAGGGGAAGCGGGTCGATAGCCCAGGGTGATTATCACACACGTCTGCATTGATAGTGCACCACCGGTATTAATAGAAGTGTCATTTCTTTCTTGTGCATCCGTCTTTTCGGGCACCGTGTGGACAAGCGAGCCCCTGAGGTCATTTGGAACCGGAACGCCGGAATGGCTGGTGCCTTCCAAGGCTACTACCCCATGATTGATGCTCATCGAACATGCGCCGTGTGGATATTGCACCGGATTCAAGCCTCTCTGTCTCCTGTTGAATGGTTCTGTGGTTGAGTGATTGCCACTTTGCCTTTTCTGGTCTAGCGTCCCCGTGCCTGAAAAAGCCCCGCATCCAGACTTTTGAGTACTTTTGACGCGAACCCCCTTACGGCTTACTCTACTCTTACTCAGTCGATTTTTCTCTGCTGCACCCTGCACGTCACTTTCAGGCACAAGCCTCGGTTGAACCCGTTCGGTCAGAAGCAACATGATTCATAGTCAATTCGTCTATTGAAATCTGAGGAGAGATGCCATTATTTACAACATAATAGTACAGTGCCCATTGGCCCGCTGCTTATCGAAAACTAACCCCCCCCCCCCGGCAGAGAGCAACCAGCACCGTCCACCCATCTATACATGAAACAAGATTCCTCCAGGGAATGATGAGTTAGCCCGTGGTGACAACTGCCCCGGTCCAGCCGGCGTGACACCAGATGTTCCTTTTAGATCACTTCCTCCCGCTCCCAACCAGTGGCCTTGAGATTATCAATGCCCTTGTTCGGATGGGGCTTGGATGGATCCTTGTACTTGGCCGCGTACGGGTTCGGGTCTGTCGCGTGGTCGAGGTTGCCTAGGGTGTGGTTCACCTCCCGGTGCTTGGCCTCGTCGGCGCGCACATAGAGCAACAGGTCCCGCATCGTCCGCTGTCCTTCCGGCATCTTCCAGTACTGCACTGCGATCTCGGGCGCCTCCAATTTTTCCCAGTGGGGCAACTTGCCGTGCTCGATGTCTTGGATCGCACGGGTGTACGTGATCACGGCCTCCTCCTCGAGATACCCCACGAATCGGTGGCAGATGCGCGGCGACATGAGGTAGGACAGGAAGAAGCCGTTGAAGAAGACTCCCTGGGCGCCGAGCACCATGAGTCGCATGAACCAGCCCGGTTCCGCGAGCTTGAGGAAGGTCAGAAGATGCATCCGCTCGTTGTATGCTTCCTCCAATAGGGTTTCGATCCTATTGCAGAAGAGTGGTTAGTTTGTGTTTTTGATACATCTATGATTTGCAGGCAGGAAGAAACGGCGGAGAACCTACCATCCATTGTCTCTCTTCATGCGCCGCAAGCTTCGCAGGTGTCGTAACATGCCGCCAACCATACCGGGCACACCAGCCACACTTTCCAGGAAGACAAACCGTCTCAACCACGCTTGCTCGGTCATCTGGAATCTGGCTTCGTGTTCCTTGCCCGCGGGAGGGTGGCGGTAGCCAGTCACGAAGTCCATGCCCCATCGCAGCACCCGCACGGTACCGAGTGCGATCCAATCGGCCCAATCTTTCGCGTCGCGATGCGCAACCGTGACTTGGTTCATCTGCTCTTCCGAGTAACTGTGGCAAAAATCAGCATCCTAGCTCCAATTCGTAAGATGAACGATCGAATGGCACGTACACTGGATGGACCCAGGCGGTCTCCACTTCTTTGACATGGGGAGCCTTCGGTGGCGGGAAGAACTCCTTGATCTTATCCTGCTTCTGTGTCGTCGAGATGAACCGCTTGTTGTACGTTTGCTGATAGTAGTTGTTGCCCAGGGTCGAGCTCCCACACCGGAGGCCGGTCATGATGATGACACTCGGGTTGCTTCGCATGGTGAAGCGAAGGCTTGCCTTCGGGATGGCCACCCTAAGGGGCGCCGTAGCTGCCATGGAGTTCATCGTAGTATGCGATCAGTGATTTGTAGATAGCGTTGATGTTTGGAGTGCTGTTGTAGTTGTTGTGTGAGCAAGCCTTCGAGTGAGTGCTTTTAAGTGTGTGATAAAGAAGTATGTAAATCGAAGTGATCCTGATTTGAATATGTACTGAAAATGCCACACCCCCCCATGACCGGTACCTATTTATATCATATCTCGAAAAACTCAAATTACACAGAAAGAAAGATTCACTTGTACCTGAACCTACTTCGTACCAAGTATGACTCCCCCCAACCCGGCGGTTCTGGTCCAGTACCTTACCTAGGGGACTGACTGAATCTGTTCTCGGCAGAAATCGGAGTGGCGCCCCGGAATTGCACGCAGCGGGACGGCGACGGAGGGGCCGCCCTGCGAAAAGTCACGCGGGTCGAAAACTGCAAAGCAAAGAAAAAAAAGAGAACCACATCCTTCGCACAGTTTAGTAATGCTCTCAAACTTGCTCAGCCACTGGGTTGGGTTGGACTATGCTGTTGTAGTAGGTAACCTATGCGATATGATATCATCTGAGAGCCTCAAAAGGCATGCCAGGTGGATGTTCTTCGCATCCTACAGGAATCATTCCCTGTTGCTGGTTATACGAGAAACGATACTTTAGTATACTTGTCTCTGGATCAGGCCACTTCTCGTTGAAGCTCAAGAGATATTATCTTTGAAAGGTGTTCGCGGTCTTTATTACTATGTACTCTGTAAAGCGTATCTTTATTCTGCGTGTGTATTGTTTAGAATCAATGTCTTAATGGACTAACTTGGGTAGAGTATACTCTAATCACTAGCGCGTATAGATCCCGGTCCGGTCAGTGGCACTGGCAGCTTTTGCCCTGCACCAGAACTATAGGTGGGGTCCGCTAGATGTACTGTCTGTAAAGAACCATGAAAGGGTGGAAGATTCGTAGAAGTCTAGATTTCTACTCATTACAGACGATCCATCCCTGCAACGCCCGTCTAGCAGCCCTTTCAACTGCCTTCCTCTGGGGAGGGAAAAGAAAGGAACTACAAACAAGGAACCTGGACGTACTCCGTACTGTACCGCTACATGCAAAGTAAAAGCCACCACGCAGCCTCCCCCCCCTCCTTTTCTTCACACTTAGGAAGATGTATAAAGAGACCTTCTTTGTTGGCCAAAACTAATCTCGTGTACGCCCACAAGAAAAGGTACAGTACTCATGACGGGGCATCTTTCATGACCGGTGAGAAAAGACAGGCATCGGCCCCCTCCTCCCCGCTCACCAGATGACCTGAAATGATAAATCTCCGGAGGGAGGGAGGAAAGAGTGAAAGGGCGCGGCGGGATTCGACGAATTCGGCGTCCACCGGAAGGCGAATTCAACTCGGCGCTGGGATATTGGGGTCTGAAAATTTCTTGGTTGGTTTTTGAACGGCATTTGATGGGATCTGGCGGCCCAGGATCGGCGATCCCATCTGTCGCTCCGGTGAAACCCCAGGATATCCCGTTGGTTTGGTACAGTAGCCTAGTCGATCGCTCATGTACTGTTCGGTTCCGTGAGAGTGTCTACTATGTGAAGGTTCTTCGCCACTGATTGGTTTGTTGAGTAACCGGCTTCTACTATACATATAGAACAACCTGACTACGACTTGATCAATGTCGATATCGTGTATCCAGAGACTATGTTAGTATCTTGTTTGAAAAGAGTCGGACTGAAAGGATTTGCGCAGGAATGCTTTCGTATTGCGCCGACGCTGACATAGGGGGTTATGAACCTTGGAGGGTTGATGGCTCAGCATTCTCGGGTGAAGCCGGGATGCCGTGTCTGAGTCTGGGTGAGTCAGGCATACTGAACATAACTCGGAATTGAGTCGGGGAGACCTGTTGGCAATAACCTAATCTTCGTGTCCAGGGCTGCGACGTCATAATCCTTTTGTCTGCTTCGGATTGGGGTGAGAATTTGTTGTTCCAATTTTGTTGGAGTGCTACGTAGCTTCGCTTTTCCGTGGTCTCTATACTTCAAGACAACACCAATTGAAAAAAGCGCTCTTACGAATAGGACATCTTATGCAACACAACGCTTTTACAAAGTCAGTCACATTGTATGCTATCTCTTATCCAGCACCCAGCACTGTTACTCTCTCAATTATGACGACCTCGTGCGTTTCTCCTTCTCAATGTACACGCAAGCGCAGACACGCGACCTACCATGGCATGCACGTGCCCTATACACAGCCCGACTCACTCAATGTTCGCAAACCCCGACTCCGACGTCTTATAGCATGAGAATTTCTCTTCGCCGTCCTTCACGCCAACCTCCTTTTGCTCCAGTTTGACAACATGTGCTAGACGGGGTCCTCTGTTGAGGTCCTTGAGCAGCTTCTGCACTGATTCCTCGGGTCCTTGAGCTTCCCCTTCGACCTACAAGTGCTCAGCGATAACAATATTGCAGGCCAAACGAGTATGGCATAAAGGCAATCCCAGGGGAGGATATGCCCGGGAGTACGAACCCTTCCGCAGTGCGTGTTCTTCACCCAGCCCCTCAAGCCGTACTCGGTGGCGCGCTTCTGCGTGAAGTCTCTGTAGGCGCAGAGAGGTTTGATCAGCTAGCGGTTCAACTTTGTGGGGGACCGGGTCTAGTCGTTGAAGTGATGGCGTACCTAAACCCCACTCCTGCATAATCCGCGAATATTAGCTTATGCTCGATCAAATCATGTGATAGTTTGTTACAAAAGAACAGGCGTCCCGGGTGCTGTATAGAGGCATACCTTGCACTGTCCCAGATACTTTGAATGCGATCTACTCATGTCAGTGATTGCAGCTTAGATATGAAGTTTGGATGACGTAGTGCGGTTAGAAGAGGTCCGCTCGTCTTTCGAGAGAGGGGATTTCTTGGGAACATACTCGTTGCGATGACATATTGATAGATGAGTACAATTCTCATCCAAGCCTGTAGTGTGAGATTATCAGGGATACTTGGTGTTGTATGTCTGTCTTTCAATCTATATATTGTCTGTACCTCAGCTCATCATGCGCCGCCAATGTGGTTAGTCAGCCACGGATGTCGCCGCGGGCCCGCCTTGATACCGCTTCCTGAACTGGAAAGGTCCCATTGCGGCGGGGGAGCGAGCAGCCTACCAGCATTAATGTTTTATGCTCCTGCACCTTCATGAAATACATTCAAAAGATAAACATGGCTGGTCGATCTATTCATTGCATTGACGTAGGCTTTACATGTGTGTCGAGGTGTATACGACTAAGGTATTATACAGTCTGGCTGAATACAAAAAATAGGTTTCATACAGTCGCACCAGCTTTATACACGATTCATCATGGCACAGGATATGATAACCGGCGGATCAGTTGCAGCAGTCGGCCACGCTCCGCTCCGCCCCTGAACCAAAAATGGACTCGGGCGATCGATCCCCCAGAGTCCCAGTTCCTCCTGCTTAACTCTCCGCACTGTGTCCACCACCTTTCTCTACCCGCTCACTTCGTCCACTCTACTTTCGAGGGGTTTGTCACTCCTCACGAGATGCTGGCGCCAGAATGACTGACTCACCGCTCGCCTGGTTTCGGCGATTATACTCCCTTGACACCCTCGACACTCGTTTCACGGCCTCTGCGACCATTCCCGCCAAAGTCGCCGCGGCTGACGCGCGACCTGCCTCTACCAAAGATCCCCGTTCTGCTGCCATTGCCCGCAATGCCTCGCCTTCGAGATGGAACACCTTCGAATTCTATATCTACTATATCATTTTCTTGATCGCGGTGCCATTGATGTTCACGACTGTCATTGGGGTATCACAAGGTCCGTCTCCTCTTGTGCACGTGTGAGGGCCAGATGCTGATTGTTCCGGCAGAGAGTCATCCAACTTATGCCACATACTCTCACTTACTCGAGGACGGTTGGATCCCCGGTCGCAAAGTTGTACGTTACTGTCGTTTCGGTTATCTCCGTGCGGAGCTAATATTACCTCGATGCTTAGGACAACTCCGATGCCCAGTACTCCGGTTTCCGAGAGAACGTTCCTTACCTCCTCATTCTCCTAGTCGGCCATCCATTACTTCGCCGAGCCTACAATCGATTTGTCAGTCCAACCAGCCCAGGCCTGGGCTCTGCAAAAGCCTCCCCGGCCGTTGCAGCTGGAGATGCCCGCCTCAAGCAGCGAATCAGTTTTGATTATTACTTCGCCTTTGTCTTCATCGTTGCGCTCCACGGCGTTTCCGCTTTCAAGGTTCTCACGATCCTTTACATCAACTACCGAATCGCCAAATCGATGCCTAGAAGATACATTCCCGCAGCAACCTGGACGTTCAACATTGCAACCCTGTTCGCCAACGAGCTCTGTGCCGGCTATCCGCTCGAGCGCTTAGCTACCTTCCTGACACCTGCTTTCGATGCTACCAAGGAAGTGCCCGCTCTGGTGCTTTGGGCTCGTTCTTTTGATGATTTTGGGGGTATCATCCCCCGTTGGGAGATTCTGTTCAACATCACGGTGCTCCGTCTGATCAGCTTCAACATGGACTACTACTGGAGCCTAGACTACCCCGCCGCGAGCCCCATTGAAGTAAGTCCATGTCTCCCCTGTATGAAGAACTCCTTCTGACCGCCATAAGAAGAAGCAACTCGATCCAGCAGCACTCTCAGAGCGGGACAGGGTCAGTATCCCGGCTGAGCTGTCCGCATTCAACGGTCGTTACTATGTCGCCTATGTGCTTTACGCACCTCTCTACCTGACAGGACCCATCCTGACCTTCAATGACTACATCTCCCAACAAAGATACGCCCCGCCATCACTCACTACCGCAAGAACAACCCTCTATGGAATCCGCTTCTTCCTTACTTTACTCGCGATGGAACTGATCCTCCACTATATCTACGCCGTCGCTATCTCCAAAGCCTCGCCCGACTGGTCGCTGTACACAGCCGGCCAACTCAGCATGCTAGCCTACTTCAACCTGCACATCATCTGGCTCAAGCTCCTGATCCCATGGCGCTTCTTCCGCTTCTGGGCCTTGGTGGACGGCATCGACCCACCGGAGAACATGATCCGCTGCGTCTCCAACAACTACTCCGCCCTGGCGTTTTGGCGCGCCTGGCACCGCTCGTTCAACCGGTGGATCGTCCGCTACCTCTACGTCCCGCTGGGCGGTGGCAGCGGGTCCCGTGGCAGCAGCCGCGACTCCTCCTCGTCCGGGGTGTCCGCCAAGAGCCGCAAGATCTTCAACACCCTCATCGTGTTCACCTTCGTCGCGCTCTGGCACGACATCAACCTGCGCCTGCTCATGTGGGGCTGGCTCATCACGTTGTTCGTGCTGCCCGAGGTCATCGGCGGCCTGCTCTTCCCCGCCAGTCGCTGGCGCTCGCGGCCCACCGCCTACCGCGTGATCACCGGCGTCGGGGCCGTGGCCAACGTGCTGATGATGATGGTCGCCAACCTCGTCGGCTTTGCTCTGGGCATCGACGGGCTCAAGGGCCTGGTGGCGTCGATCCTGGGCTCCTGGGCCGGCATCGTGTATATCATCACGGCGTGCGGTGCGCTGTTCGTCGGGATCCAGGTGATGTTCGAGATTCGGGAGGAGGAAGCCCGCGCGGGCATCAACCTGAAATGTTGATCCCCTCCGCTGCTGTTCGATTATTGCCTCCATCTATCTCATGTAGTACATTACCTATATGTCTCCGACTTCAATCGAGTAAAACCCCAATTCCAGACCGGGCTCTCTCATTGTTCTCTTGTTTCATTATATCTCGACTTGGGTGGTAGTGTACAAACACACATATAAAAAGAACCAGCATGGTATACTGTAACACAGGCATAGTAATAATGTCCAGTGGACTGGTTTCAAAAAAAACAATTAAATAAAAACGCCCCCAAAAATTAAGATGCACCCTCCGCCTACAATCCCCTTCAGACTTCCCACATTTTGACTCCTTCCATGAGGTGGAGTAACCCTCCTCAAAACTCAAAAGAAAGCCCCACACCTCGAATCCTCATGCACCTTATAACACGCCAGCCCGCACGTCCGGGCGTGGCAATTCTTGCACCGGATCTTGCCCCAGTACCCGCACAAGCAGCAGAAGTGCCGCTGCGAGCGGCGGGGCGCGATCGGCGAGCCCGCGCGGGCCGCGTGGTACGTCAACGGCGGCTCGGCCAGCAGGGCCTGCATGATGCGCTCCGAGGGGGCGGCGGGGAGATACGAGCGGAGGAGCGGGTTGGAGTCGTGTTCGGAGCGGATGAGCGTTGTGGTGTTTGGTTCTTCGGGGGCTTCTTCTTCTGGCTTCGGGGTGGGGTGGTCGGTTGTGGTAGCCGGGGAACCGGTGGTGGTTTCGGGGGCGGGGACGGGGACGGGGACGGGGGTTGTTGCTGGGTGGGTTGAGGCGCGGGAGGATGGGGGTTGTGGTTGCGGTTGTGGTTGGGAAGGGGGTATGGAGGGTTGTTTCTTCGTGCTGCGGTGGTGGTGGTCGCCTCGAGAGGAGACCGGGGTGGAGCTGCGGCGGAGGGAGGACGGGGTCGTTGCTGCTGTGCTGGGTTTCGTGATTCGGTGGATCGAGCTTCTGTGTCCTGTAGCACTACCGCCACCGGCTGCTGCCGCTGCTGCTAAGGAGGAGGAGGGGTTTGTTGCGCTGGTGTTTCCTGGCGTGGCGGCGGTGCTGGCTTGAGCGGCTTCTTCGTCGTCGAGGTAGTTGCGGAAGCTCTTTTGGGATTGGAGGATGCGGCGGACGTTGGAGGTTACTTTCGTGCGGGTTCCTGATCATGGTTTACGTAAGTTGTTAGTTCTTCAGGACTGTGGTCTGGAAGATGTTTGCTTCGCGGATTGTGAACGAGATGTCTAAGTCTCGGTGTTGCGGTGCATAGCAAACTGTTCCGGTCTGGTATTCCGCAGAGAAGGGGGAGATCGTACCTCGTGGGGCAGCGGGCTCTTTCTGTCTCACGGGTACCTGGATCTGTACATCGCGATGGTTCTCGCGGTCAAGTTCGGCCAGATGTCGGATGATCGCGTTGGTCTGTCGGGATGATAGATCTGTCCGGCCTGGGTCCCGGATGCCGCGTTTGCGACCGATGGTGGGCGTGATGGCTGCTTTGGCGGGGTCGAAACCTCGATCCGGGACGTATGTCCAGCCCGGAGTGACGTGGGTTGAGGACCCGGGAAGAAGTTCAACGCGATACATCGTGCCTCGTGTGGTGGGTCGTTGAGTTTCTGCGATGGCGCATGCACGATAATCGAAACCACCCGCGGCGAGGAGGGAGAATCGCGGCGATAAGAGCGAGAATACAAAATGAGGACTGGCAGGAAAAGGCGGTGAGCCTTGTTTGATAGGTTTGCACTGCAGGTCTATCCGATGACGCCGACAGTCTGTCTCGCCTCCCCAAGTCCAACGCGTCGTCGCTGAGAGTATGGTACAGTGAAGTAGGGAGGACATCGGCCTGTCTTTGGAAGCGACTTCATTTCACATTGTACATCCCTTCTGATGTAGAACCTACTTGCATGCATAGATCTGGCATACACCTTCAAAATGCAATACAGTCTTTTGTTGACTGGGTTTTTACAATGCTCATTCCCCGTAGAAACTGCATTTCAGATAGAAAAAAAATGGACCAAAAATGATATGCTAAGACCCGTGGCGAGGAACTCCTGCAGAAGCATGTTGAAAGAGAACAAACCCTTAATAAATGAAGAGAAGAAACAGACGACAGGAAAATGCAATGCTAGGTTACTTTTTCTTCAGTTGGTCGACCTTGGTTTCTAGCTCGCCGATATAAGTCTGCAGCTTCTGGGTAGCTGTTTGGAGAGCCTGGGAGCCACATCAGCGAAAAGTAAAGTCAAAAGGCAATTCGCAGCGAGAAACGTACGTAGATATCTTCGGTTAGCATCTCGTTGGAGATTCTGTACTCAGCCAATATGTAGTAATAGACGACAACGCCGGCAGCAACCGAGCCGGAGAGGAAGCCGAAGATTCTGTGATCAAGAGAATTGTTAGTCCAGCCGAAAGACGGAAGTTCGTCTCTAAGAACGTGATATTGATATGGGATGATTGCAGTACCCTCCACGGAATGCGCCCACGGGCTTCTTAGCAGGCAGCGTAGTAGCTGCTTCCTTCCTTAAGGGTGAGGCCGCGAAGCTCCGCGTCGGAATGAAGACCGGCTTGGTTGCGACGGCGCGCCATGCAGGCGATAACACTCTTCGTGTTGCACTCATGGTCCTGAATTTGAAGAGAATCTTGAAAATAAGTCAGTCAGAAGCATCGCAGTGCTGGCCACAGTACAAAGTGACTTTCCGAGGTCTTACGTGGTATAAGTAGAAGTGGAGGTTGAAGGTGGAAGTATGAGTACGGAGATGTTTTGGGGGGGTGTGGGTGGATGCGGAGGAAGAAGCTTGGGTGGAGAGAGTGACGTTGTTGGCCAGCCAGTTGGGCCGAGGGTGTTACGAAGTGTACGAAGTACTAAGTTATTGCTAACCTAAACTGCGGGCCCAAGAATAGACATCTCCGATTACTCTATAGTATTCATTTCACACCCAACTCAACTGCCGATTTCCAAGATGCCTTGCGAATTTCTGCGTATTATCTTTTCCGCTTCTCTAGAATGTCACATGATAGAATCCAAGCCACCTCATCTATTCACTAATGCTACTTTAATCCCTGGCGCGTACGGAACATGCGGATCGACACCTCCGACGCCCCCGACGCCCTGACGTCTGAAAATTAATGCTGGAAATGCCGTTTCTATCCCACAATACAGATATGCGCTGCTGTACGTGCGCATTGCCAGTCACGCTAGTTCGAATTGTAATAGACAAACAGAAAATATCATGATACACAGGCAGCACGCGAACAACTCAGAAACCCTAGTTGGCCATGGTGCTTTCATTAAAGATATCCGCCAACAGATCATTCACACATGCATTCAACTGTGGTTGGCCCATGCTGTAGGTACTTTCAAATGCATGAATGCTGAGCTGGTCGAAAAATGGCCGAAGCACCCGATCGACAATCTCATCCTTTGCTGTCTCACGGATCCAGTCCGCAGTAAGGCTCGGTTGTCTCGCTCCTTGGCTGGGATTGGTCGTTTCTCCAGCCCCATCATTCGATGTAAGCCCACGCATACCCAAGCTCTGCGAGACCTCATCCGCGAGGGCCATCGGCTCGAAGCCTTCCGGAGGGTAGATGGCGTCTATGGTGTCGGTAACATAAAGCCACTCCAGAAGTTGGAAGTCGTCTGGTGCAAGTACAAGTAGCGTGTCTAACAGTTTGCATGCCTGCAGCAAGGCATATGAGTTGTATACATCTTGTTGCTGGCCCAGCGGTACGGCTGATATAGCCTCTTGGAGTTCAGCATTGATGAGCGGCCAGAATGTGGACAACGCCGTCGCAGAGCTCTTGAGTGCGAGAGCACGTAGAACCATAAAGATCTCAGCCCGAGTGGTTGAAGATGGAGACGAAGTACTAGTCGCCCCAAGGAGGTCTTCCAACTTCTGCAAAAGGGCGGGTAGCTCTCCAATATAGTAATCATCGTTAGCAGACAAAACGAGGAGACTGATGCGGCGGAGGTTTAGTTGCGCTTTGCGGTCAGCTTCAAGGCGGGCAGCAGAGGCTCCAACACCGAACATAATACCTGCTGTACTTGGTGGCGGGAGGCGAGACAGCATCTCAGACAAGCGATCTTTATCTGCGAGCACCCACTGTCGCAGTAGACCCAGCCATCCCTCCCGAACCAAGTCCATCTGCATCCCGAAGAATCTAGTATCGTTAAATGCGTCGGCTATATCCTTCTTCCATACTTTAGCAGCAGATGATACTTTAGCTATGTGCTGAAACAGGGTCATGAAATTATGGTTGAGGTTGTTCGGGAAGAGTCGCGAGCGAAAGAGAGGTCCGATCACATTCGTTGAGATACCGGTTACTGCGGAAGTAATTCGGTCCGAATCTCCGAGCGTGATTGTGAATGCAGGCATGGATGCCGCAAGGATGCTAAGCATATCGTCAGGCCCAATATTCGGTGAGGGCGAATTGTCATAGTCGATAGAGCCGCGGCTAAGGGAAGTCTCTTGAGCAATGCCCATCGGCTTGCTCGTCCAGATTGCGGTGAGAAGGCGAAGCAAGACGTCCTATCAGATGTTAGTAGGTCTCAATGAGTTTGATTGTCCTTGATTATCGCGTACCCCGAGTTCTTTCCTCATCCGTCGATCTTCCCCAAAGCTGGTGTTCTCCAGTTTCGCTCCAAGGATCGCTGCAAATTCAACCAGTCGTGGAAGGATCTGCCGATGTGGGAATGGGTTGCTGAGCACATCGCGAAGAAATGTGGTGCAATCGGCCCAGATCTCATTAAGCACATCGTCATCCAGCGACCTCGCATATGCCACCAGGAAGCCCGCCAATTCAGACTCGGTCAGGCTTGCAGTTAGTGTCGATTTGCGGCTCGGCTCTAATGCCGCCGGATTGGTTCTTGTATAGATAGAATTGAATACAGCCGGGATAGCGATCTTCGGTCTAGATCCGTCCAGGGTGTGAAGCAGGCTCATAATCAAAGACGAGGTCTCGCTGTCAGATTTTGTCCACATCTCCACAGCTGTCTCTAGACATTCGAGTGCCTCTGCGTTGAACAAATGTTCGAGAATGCGACGCGATCTGTTCCTCATACGCAGAGACGTGTACTGGAATGAAGCTATCGATTCAGCGTCTTGTGGCAGCGTACTCCGCTCTACGGCACCCCAAGACCATATGGTAAAGCAGAGCCTCACGGCATCTTGGAAGCAGAGTAGGACAGTAAGCCGGTTGTTCGCTGCGGCCGAACGCGTGTGGTGCGATTCGGATGAGAATACCCCTGAAACCATGTTGCCAAAGAATCCATGATTCTGGTCAGGACTCTTGACAGCAGGAGTATTGGCCTCCTCTACTAGCAATCGCTCGTGGGCGGTAGCAATGCAGGTCTCGAGAGCGCTGAGAAGAGCAATGGTGGCATACTCGGATCGATCATCAGGCCATCCTTCTGTACGCTTGAATGCGAGTTGCAAACTCGCATAGCAAAGTTGGATCTCTTTACAGAGCGATTCGACAAGCATGAGTAGTATTTGAAAGATTGACCCCGCGTACAGTGGGAGTACTTCGCAAAGGAGGACAGTCCACTTGTCCACAATTCCCCTTGAACTCTTAGAACCAATGCCTTTGAGAAGGCATTCGAGAAGTTGTTGAGGTGGCTGAGGGAGGGCAGACAGCGCAGGTACCTTCTCTGGTTTGTCGCTTGTGAAGGACAAGATAGAGGGACTTGTCAAGCGCTCACGAGAGCTTGCCCGGTGGTGCTTCGGCCGTGGTGGGGGCGGTGGCAGATAAGCTTGCGCAAACCGGACCTTCAACGCCGCTAGAAGGGTATCTATTAGGTCTCCTTGGATTGAATCATTTTCACCATAGTCCAGGGCGCGAGAGAGCCTATCAACCAGGAACGAGTCAATTCCAGATTCAATCACCTCTTCGGCTCCTGGACCGAGAAGGAGCTGTCGCATGACTAGTAATGATGTCTGTTGCAGTCTGACTGTCTCCAGGTCATGAGTACCTGTGGCTGTCTGCTCGCTGATCAATTTTAGGCTGGCTTGGTAGATGATGGTATGAAGGCTCTGAAGCTCGGCGCTGTCTGTGCAATTGTTAGTCAAGTGTGTTTTCGGTAAGACTAGTCCTAACATGCCTTCAGATGCATGCACATCCTTACGCTTGTCAACCTGAGATAGCGTCTGAGTGAGAAGAGTGACCCAGCCATTGTGATCAAGTGTAGATATGAGATTGGAGATGGTCCGCAGCAGATAGTCGCATTCCTTGTAGTCATCTGGCGACAAAACCTGATTGTCGCTTTCCCGTTCACCACGATTTGACCCCTGAAAGAGACGATCCAGCCGTGAGACTATTATACGAAAGACCCTGCAGTTTGTGAGTGATTTATATGACGAAGAAACACCTTTGAAGATGTAGGGATAATCCCGTCGGGTCAAATTATGCCTTGTCAGGCTAGAGGGCACACATCTTACTTACTTGTGCATAGCCGGCAGGTCTTGAAGCCACCGTTGGACAACTCGAGAGTTTTCGTTCGAGGGCTGAGAGAGCAAGTCTAAGACGATGAAAAGCGGGCGTTCAAGCATTGAAGCTTGGTACACCTTTACTGACTCGATAGAGGTATACAAGCGCTTTGGCGGCAGCTCATAGTTGCCTTGATGACTGTGGTTCCACAGGACAAAATATCTTCCAAGTTGCTCGCCTGCCAGCCCTTCAAAAGGCACTGTAGGCGATGAACCAACCATAAGGGATGTTATGGCTGCCTCAACTAGGTGATCCGACCAAGAGACGGTGTGTAATTGCCACAAGCAACGAACAGCCTCGACATGGAACTTCGGGCTCATCGGGGATAGAAATTGCCACAGTTGTCCCACAAGCGCAGGAATGACGTCCGACACATCTTCGTAGCTAATATAGTATCCTGTAGTATTGATGAGGTACAGGTTCGTTACTGCGGACGCAATTGACGAGATGGTCGAGAAGCAGGCCGTGGATCTCTCAACTTGGTCGGCACGGACACGATCGCTTAACGCGATATACAAGCGCCGGTCGCGCAATATACGTGTTCGGGGGAGCTTTTTCAGTAATATGATGAGCAGGTTGATCCGATCGTGCAATTGCGTGGTGTCACCTTCATCAAGGGCTGTTATGGCTTGCTCGTAGGCATTTCGAATGATGAGCTCACCCAGCTGTCTTGGGACGAAAGGGACAGGCTGTGGGTCTAAGCTAGTCTTGCTTTGATTGTAAAATGTATGAATCACATTCAAGATGTCCGACCCGGTCATATCAGGATTGGTTTTGTCAGGTGCATCGGACTTTCTTGTGAACGACCTCTCGATCAGTAAGCCCGTTAAAGAATCCATGACCTTCGATAGCCCCGCTGAGACAAGCTGCAGCTGCTCCGGGGTCGCTGCGGAGCTGCTTAATGAAGACAGCTCCCTCATCTTCACAATGGTGGATAGTGTCAACAGAGGAATGTGAACCGCAATCATGTCTTCTTCTCGAACATTGAAATTCTCTAAGATGAAGTAAGCGAGCTCCAGGTTGCTTACTATGTCGTCGATCTTGGAAGTAAAATCCTGATGCTTCCAATCTATTAGACGGAGGAGTTCGGAGAAGATGACGCCGCTTTCGACGCCGTCGAAGAATGAGCTGGCGCTGCGGAAGACCTCCTCAAAATGGTTCTTCGAAGCTTTCTGTCCAAATGCTTGCACGCTTCGGATGATTGGCAAGAAGATCTCCGGTATGATGTATCCACCGACCTCCCATCTGTCCAACAACGATAGCGAGATCCGGAATGGCTTCGTCTTCTCTGCCGGTACAGTTGTGTCATGCTCAATCATCCGCAAAAGGCCTTTGACTAGTGGCGTTAGCCCGAATTTGCTGAAGTACTCCGAAGGCGAGAGCTCTTTGCGGTCGCTTGCGAATTGGGTTGTGCCTTCGGATATAGAATTGCGGGCTTCGAATGACGGCCGGTCATTGGAAGATTCGGGCCCAAGAAGCCAGGCCCAGAGTCTTCGGTTCAGACTCATGTCTCGCCTGGCAACGACTCCTACAGCTGCTGCAATGAGTCGCTGAAGATCGTCCTCTGTAATTTTCGATTGCAGAACCGGCGAACTGAGCGGCAAGTGGGTGACCAGTAAATCAAGGAAGTTCCGCTGGACGAGAACCTGCTCGTCGGCGAGACCGGTCGCAAAACAGCGTATGAGCAACCCGGGTTCGGGTACGATAACCGATTCTGCTGCAGCTAACATGCCCTGGTGAATGTCCATGGAGTCACTCGACTCGTCCTTGGACGGCCGACGGTCTGTGTTCCCTAGTTTAGGCAAGTAGCGGCCCAGGTAGGCGAGGACACCAGCACGTCGGCTGGGACTTGTGACCGAGGCTAGAAATAGACACTGCCAGAAATAATGGCCTCCTGGACTCGTAAGTCCTTCAGCTCTATGCTTCTCCATGGCGCTAGCAATATCGCGGAATTTATTGATCAATCGCAGTGTAGGTTCGAAGTCATCGCTCGTCTCTTCCTCTAAACCCGGTAGTAGAGCCAGTATAATGGCCTTCAAGGCAGGTCGAATCGCCCATGGTTCCAGGTTGCATATATGCGTCTCCACCAGCGTCAGAAACAGGGGTCGGACAGTGAGAGATGCGAAGGTAAGTGTGGGCGCAATGCCAGGCATATACAATGGTAAGTCATGCGATAGACCCTCCGGCTAGCCGACAATACCCCCAATTAGTGAACATCACTTTGGCTCTGCCACTAAGCGGGACGAACCTTGATCAAAGCAAAGATATACGAGTATACTTCCAACGCTTTCTGGTGAACACCCGATGGTAACGAAGGGTTGAGGCATTGCGCAAGCCGTTTGGCAACGAGCGCCTTATGAGGAACAATAGGGATATCCGCGGGGTGAGATTGCAGGGCCTATGAAGGTACCATCAGCATCGTGTCCTTGCGTGACTCCGGAGATCGTGTGATCGTACTTTCAGAAGTCGGCTCAAGAAGGAGATGTAATCTGCCCACTCCTGCAAAGCGGTATCGAACAACGACAGGGCTCGCTCGACAGTCGACGCATAACGGCGGTAATTCTTGTCTTTTCGTAAGGGCTCTAAGAAATCTCATGTCTATTAGTTCCTGGACGGCATGACTGTAGAACTGGTAAAGGGGCAGCAATGCGCGAATCACCGACCTTCCTTCCCCCGTAGTCGGGAGCGCGTAAGAGAGCTTTCGGAGCTTGCGGGGGAGTGAGACCTCGGGAACGAGCTCGGATCGAGGCTCATTGTGCGATGGTCGGATAGTAGATGATCTCCTGGGCAGGTATTTGTCGATCGCAGTTCGTCATGATTTGTTGTAGAACATCAAGACTAGTAGCATGTGAACTCTGGCTGGTGGAACAGTTGGCTCATGTTTCGTTTCCCAGGCCAGCAGGCGGACATGTTTCCGTTTATCTGGCGTCGGTCGCCCGCCTTTCGGTAGCTCCGCCGGGTCGATCCCGTGCTCCACGTCAAGTTGTGTTCCAGCCAGGCAAGCAAGGCACGTTCGTCATCAACTACCTAGTATTGACTTCTCCATCACCAACACCGCACCGGCCTCGTCATCGAAGCTGGGGTCTGCCACTATCATCATGTGCATTATCGTCCTTAGCGCATGTGCAGTAAATCAATTGGTTACAGCGACATAACGATTTGTCCCTCAACTTTTTAGACCCATCCATTTCCCATCCTCGCGCACGGACGTACCTCTCCCCCGATCGGAGCAGTTCTTCGATGCGTCGGAGCTGACGACGAACATGGTTTTGACGGCTGATGGTCCAGCGCAGGACGCAAACAACCCTGAGACCGAGAACCCCGCAACTCCGCCGCCACCGTCGTCTCCATTGCAACAGCCCTCCGTTTCCGCGGATCACGAATCCGAGGCAGCTCAGGAGGAAGAGCGACCCCCGCCCTTACCCCCGCGACCGAACACCTTGCGCCTCCTGGATGAAGGAGGCGCCTCGCTATGCACATCCCGCCCTGGAGCACCGACGAATCTCCAGTCCAGAGCTACAACAGCGGTATCCTTGACGGATATCGGTTGTCATGATGCGGGGAAAGAGAGTCACGTTGTGCGCGAAGGCTCGGAGACGCTGAAGGCCCAGGCGAGTCTCAATCACCTGACAAGTTCTCGCGGGAGCGAGACTGGAGACACGGCGAGTATCCGCAGCTCGGAACCTCAAGGGGATATCGGTGATGTGGAGAATGTCTTTGGGGACTTTGTCGCGACCGATACTGGTCTCATCCGCAAGCATAGCACGGGGCTCCTACAATTCCCGGAGTTCCAAGCGGATGACGTGGAGGACGACTTCGCAAGCGAGTTCGAGCCCGTCGGAGAGGTGGATGAGGAAGGGGGAAATGAAGGTAGGTTGTTGACTGCTGAAAATCCACACTTGTACCGGACAATACTGATGATCGTTCCCACAGAGCAAGTCCTTGCGAATTGGAAAGCGAAACGGAAACACTATCTTATCCTCTCGGCTGCTGGCAAGCCGATCTGGACACGACATGGGGATGGAGGACTTATATCCACATATATCGGTGTCATCCAAACGATCATCTCGTTCTACGAGGAATCCAAGGACCCTTTGAGCAGCTTCACCGCGGGGGATACCAAGTTCGTGATAGTAACAAAGGGGCCCCTGCACCTTGTCGCCATCAGCCGGATGCTCGAGAGCGATACACAACTCAAGCTCCAGTTAGAAGCTTTGTACATGCAGATTCTATCAACGCTAACCCTGCCCTCTCTCACGCATCTTTTCTCCATCCGCCCTTCGACCGACCTGAAGCGGCCCCTCCAAGGATCGGAGACGCTTCTATCCACCTTAGCCGACAGCTTTACGAAGGGATCCCCCTCCACGCTCCTCTCGGCGCTGGAATGCCTTAAAATCCGCAAATCCCACCGTCAAGCTATCAACAACACCCTTCTAAAAACAAAGGTCAGTAGCCTGCTTTACGGCCTGGTCGTCGCCGGCGGCCGGCTCGTCAACGTCGTCCGGCCGAAAAAACACTCCCTCCACCCCGGGGATCTCCAACTCCTGTTCAACATGATCTTCGAAGCCGAGGCCGTCAAGGCCGGTGGCGGCGAAAGCTGGATCCCCGTCTGCCTCCCGGGGTTCAACAGCAGCGGCTATCTGTACATGTACGTCAGCTTCCTCGATCTTCGCGATGACGCAAACGCTGCCGCCAACGATACAACAACAACCACCAAAGAGGAATCTGTCGCCATCGTCCTGATCAGTGCCAACAAGGAAAGCTTTTTCGAGTTGCAGGGCATGCGCGATGCATTCGTGGAGGTATGTGCATTCACCCCTTCAATTCACCATCACCACCACCACTCGTGTCAGCATCCAGAAGCTAATGGCTGTCGGGACACCAGCAAATGGAGAAAACCGGCAGCATCAAGATCATTAAAGAAGCCGTCGCGAAAGGCCGCCCCAGCACGACGGACATCGTCCCGGGGACCGTCTTGCATCACTTCCTGTACAAGTCGCGGGCGAATGTCCAGTTCACCATGTCGTCCTACGACCCTGAGTTTTCCACTGTCTCGCGCCGGCGAAGGTAAAGTTGCCCTGGATTCCGTAATATGCTGTGTGGCACCGTATTCGAGATCAAGAGTTGTAAATATTGACGGGAAAAATCACTCGCAGATTGATGTCAACCTACAATAACCTTCATGCGAGCATTCATGCCAAGCATACGCACGTCAAAGTCCACCATTGCGTGTCTCAATCGTCTAGCTCCTTCGCTTGGGTGACTCCGATGTTCGAGCTCTATTGCGTGGCGGGCGCGAATGCGAATCGCAACGCTCTGGCTCAGAGCGTGAGTAAGATCATTGAGTGGGTGCGACAAGAGGAAGAGCGGCTTTTTATCATTGGCGGTGCAGTACGTTTGTCAAAAGTGCCCAACATTATGAATCGCAGTCAAACTAACGCAACTCGCCTCTCTTAGGTTTTTTGAGTAAGATATCTTTCTTCAAGGCTGCAGACGGGAACAGACCATTTCGAACAAGCATCTTTGGCTCGCATATAGATGTATATAGCCTTTACGAGAGCTGCTCACGACACAAGGATTGTTCATTTGGTGTCATCTCTCATTGCCACGCATACCTCCGCTACTCTGATGGAGAAGCTCAGCTAATAATGATAATAGAGTCTTATATATAGCTATAATTCACTACTTACTTGACCTAGTCTAGTCAATGGTATCTTCCCTCATGGCAAACAACTGCTGGAACACCTCATCCGATTTCGCACGGATAGCATTGTGGTACATGGTATTCGTGATGAACTGCTTGATGCCCTTGATCTTGGCGGCAGTTTTCTGCGCATGGTCAAAGTGCACGTACATGTCGTCGATATACGTTGCCGCGTAGACAGGGACCTCGTTCTTCATCAGCTGGGCTTCATCGTAGAGCTTGGGCCAGTCACTTGTCGAAGCGATGATTTTTGCTGCTTCCTTAATTTGCTGGAGCTCCGTGTACGAGTCGAACATGTCTTGGTGAACCTGTTGGAGAAATTTGGTCTATCAGCACATTCTGCTGGCCATTGACAGGCTTCATAATGCTTACCGTTTCACCTGTGAAGAAGAAGTGAGATTGTTCCCAGCTGATGTCAAACATGGGGAGTCCGGCACGGTATTTGTCCGCAGACCACTTGGATGCATGTCTGTAGTCAAGGGGAAGTGCGTTAGTTGATGTTTCGAGGTTGGTTGATGTTGAGATCGCTCTCACCCCTGACAGTATATAGCCTCATGAAGAATTGCATAGATGACGTTGTTATCCATGCCGCCGTAACCGTCTATCGAGGTCAAGGTTGGGTGAGTAAGGAAGCCAAACACCTCGAGATCGTTCCAGGCACGTAGCACAAGATCTGTCTCATCGTTAGTCTAAGCCGGAACCCTTCAAATGGCAGGCAAATTACCGTGAATGCTGTCAAGACCCCCTGCGAAAATATCTTTTAGCAAATTCATCCTATAATGAGAGGTCGACGTGTTTTCTCACCATGCATGCCGAAGGCGATGCCTAATTGCTGAAATCGGTGGATAGTGAGCTTGCCGGAAGGCAGAGCAACCTCGTTCTCTTTCAAATACTCGACAATGCGCTTGACTCGCTTAGCGTCCTCGGGAAACTTGGCATAGTAGGCCTGATTCCTCTCGATCATCTTTTCTTCTTGGAATCAGCTTGTTTCCGAGGTTATATCTGAAAGGCAAAGTGCGTACGGTAGGTAAGTGCATACACGGGGTCAGGACCATTGACCAAGGGAGGCAGTCCACCGCAGATGAAAGCCTCTGATAGTCCTTCCGGACTACAATGGTGAAAACGTGATCAGCATTTTATGTTGCCTGAGGTATACTGTCCCCGAGTTCTTGACTTACAACATGGAAAGGTAAGATGTGATACAAAAGCCACCAAAACTTTGACCAATGACACTCCACTTGCGCTTGTCTTCGGGATAGTTGGCCGTGAGGCATCTTCGGACGGCCTCACAGTCCCGGACGATGTTGTCTGCACGGAAATGCTTCAGATACTCCGCTTGCTTGACTGCATCGCCTTTCTGCGCCAGCGTGCTCGCTGTGATGGTCGAGCTAAGGCCAGTGCCACGCTGGTCCAGGAACAGAACCTAGGGAGATGGTTAGCATGTGATTCTTGGAGAAAAGAGTGCAACAGAATAAGTACTTGGTAGCCTTTATCAAGAACGGTGTTGATCCAACCGAATTCTTGAGGCGGACGACATCCGAACCCTGGGCCACCCTGCAGGTACACCAACCACGGAAGCTGCTTGTCGTCATTACTGCCGGGGCTAGGCTCGACTGGAGTGACCAACCGCCGGACACTTCGCGCAAACAGCCTCAGAGAGTCCTCATTGGGCTTGGTGTAATTGAGAGGGACATCAAAGAACAGCTCGGCCACACGAAGCCTCCCTAACGAAGCAAAAGCAGCCCCCACCCGTCAGCACGTCTTGCTGGTAGAGTTACATAAACAACAATGGCAGAACGTACCTGGGACGTTGTGGAACTTCCTGTCAAGTAGCTTGGCAGCCATTGTTCTAGACCTGCGGGGGGAAATTTTATATAATTTTGATATTCCCAATCCACAAGTTGTAGAGAGTAGCACGATATCACGCAAGAGTTGATTTGAATTGATTCGAGTTTTGTAAAAGGGGGAAAGAGTCTGATGGCGGACTGCTATCGGCAGTAGTTTAGTTAGGGAGCCGGTACCAGGAATACGAAGAGGGAAACTACGAACCCAGTCACTTAGTCTAACTTCTCCCTCTCTTTATTCTCCGCTATCCGATCTCCACTTTTCCCCAACCTGAACGAATGAACAGACTTCGGACAATTGAATGCTTGACTCGGAGATAATAAGGCTTCCACGTTATGTGAGTTTAGTTATGCCATTGAAAGCCATGATATCCAAAGCTCATTCAAATCCCGGTTGTTCAGACACAGCAGGTACAGCCGAACCTTCAGATCCCGTCCTAGGTTCATAATATATAATCGCATCGGAAAAGAACCAACTCTGCTAATCGTTCAAAACAAACACCAACCCTCTATTCTTTTGCACGGAGGTAGTCCAGACTGGTTGCTTTTTGTTCTTCTAACGGGTGATATGATCGCCATGAATCTTGAAAATGTCCAGAAGACTGCGCAGGAGCAGGGCCGTCTGCAACAAGACTTGTGGAAGATGACTCAAACGTGGGAACCGGGCGTCCTACCGGATGCTGCTGCTCTTACGCGAGCCAGAGCGTCTCTGCCGAAGTCTCTCAGCGACGAAGGCCTGGGATTCGACCAGGCCACGCAACATATCTTGAACGACATGGTACCTGCTTTCAATCGTAGCAGTATAAGCCCCAATTACTATGGCTTCGTCACTGGCGGCATTACTCCGGCCGCCCTTTTCGCAGACAACCTTGTCTCTGCATACGATCAAAATGTACAAGTTCATCTCACAGAGCATTCCATCGCGACAGATGTCGAATATTCCGCTTTGGGTCTTCTTGTGGATCTTCTACGGCTGGACAGGCGTCATTGGCACAACGGCACCTTCACCACCGGAGCCACCGCAAGCAATGTCCAAGGGTTGGCTTGCGGCAGAGAATACGTCTTACGAGCCGCCGCCGAAAAGAAGGGCATCTCGATCAAGAGCGTTGGGGAGTACGGTCTGTTTGAGGTCATGCAAGCAGCCGGGCTGTCTGGGATCCAGGTTCTCTCAACTTTACCCCATTCGTCGATGGGAAAAGCAGCTGGCATCCTCGGTATCGGACGCGCGAACGTCAAGAACACCTGTCTGGACAATGACCCCCTTCGGTTTGACCTTGAGCAACTAGAAACGGAATTGGCAGCGTCCAACAAGGCTAGCATCGTCGCTGTGTCTTGCGGCGAGGTCAACACCGGACACTTCGCCACGTCCAGCTTAGATGAGATGCGGAGATTGCGCGAGCTTTGTGATAGATACGGCGCCTGGCTTCATGTTGATGGCGCGTTCGGGATCTTTGGTCGCATTCTCGAGCCCACGGCTGAATTCGCTTCCATCGCTCGAGGCTGCGAGGGGATGGAGTTGGCAGACTCCATTGCATGTGATGCACACAAGCTGCTCAACGTGCCATACGACTGTGGATTTGTCCTCTGTCGCCATCCCGAAGAGGCCATGAACGTTTTCCAAAATGCGAATGCAGCGTATTTGACCGGTGGTCAAAGTGGTGGAAATTCAATACCATCGCCTTTGAACAACGGGATGGAGAACTCCAGGCGCTTCAGGGCACTGCCAGTCTACACATCTCTCGTGACGTACGGGAGGAATGGCTATAAGAATATGCTCCAGAAACAGATCCGTCTGTCAAGAATGATTGCTGGTTGGCTGTACGACCATTCAAAGTACAACATACTGCCGGCAGCGGGCAGCAAAGATGCGCTACTAGATCGAACTTACATGGTCGTGCTTTTCAGTGCCAAAGATGATAGCCTGAACCAAAGCCTCGCCAAAAGAATCAACGACACTTCGAAGATGTTTGTCTCGGGCACTTCATGGGATGGAAGACCCGCTTGTCGGATTGCTATCTCGAATTGGCGGGCGGAGGAAGAGCGAGATTTTGCGCTTGTGACGGAAGTTCTGCAAAGCGTGGCCGACCAAAGCACGTAGGCTATGTACTGTACTACTGTATTGACCTTTTTGCGATGGGGCTGCCTGGTCGGGAAAACTTTAATTATAATAATCAAATGATTCTGTTCTGTTCATCAGCACCCGTCTTTCCATATTAGACATTTCTTCAGCCTTCTCCGTGGCTTAGATGCTTTATCTCCCTCCGTTGCCTCGAAGGATTCATGAGAATGTGATGAAAAGATTTCTTCTAACGAATATGAACTACTCCGAACCGACTCAGCTTAACGGCGTGTGTGAAACACGCCTCCAAGAAGTGCAGAGGAAATACGTACGCGGCACAGGCAGCCAAGTGTGGGAAATGATCCTGCAACAAGCGGAGCGGCAGGATTGCAGTGGTGGGTGGATGGATGGATGGATGGATCCCGCATCACTTAATGAGCCACTGTAACTCTCACGCTATTCCCAATCAGGTAACCAGCTGGTCGTGACGTTCAGCAGCGGACTTAACGCCCTCAATCACTCCCCTCGATCACGGAGATGGAAACGGCGATTAAGACTCTCATGGACTTAAGAGACCCTCTGTCGGTGGTTATAAAGCGAGCTGTTCTGCTGTTGTCGAATATGCATCCATTCTTATAAACCCAGAATCCAGCTACTCTACCATCTACATCTACAGTACACTTCTGCCGATCCTATACATTACAACCTACTATCTACACATACCGCTCAGGATGCCTACACTCGCCGGAAAAGAGATCAGCCAGAATGGCCTGGGGTTGATGCGTGCGTATAAACTAGCACATGATGCTTCTCATAGTCATTGTTCGTGTTATTATGCTGGGCATATTCTGACTGTGCTATAGGCCTGATCTGGCAATACGGGCCCACCCCGGATGAACAAGCCTTCAAAGTCCTCAAGACCGCTCTCGCAGCTGGGGCGAATATCTGGAACGGCGCCGACTTCTACGGCACCCCGGACAACAACTCCCTGCATCTGATGAACCGGTATTTCACCGCCTATCCGGAGGACGCCGAGCGGGTCGTCTTCACGGTCAAGTCCGGGCTGGTATCGATGAAGACCTTTACCATGGACTGTTCGCGCGCGGGGCTGCGCAAGTTTGTGGACAACGCCCTGAGGATCTTGGATGGGAAGAAGAAGATCGATGTCTTTGGCTTGGGAAGAGTGGACCCCAACGTGCCTGTCGAGGAGAGCGTGCGGGCTCTCGCGGAGCTCAGGGAGGAGGGTAAGATCGGAGGCATCCAGTTGAGTGAAGTCCGGGCGGACACGATCCGCCGCGCGGCGAGAGTGACGAAGATTGATATGGTCGAGGCCGAGGTCAGTCTCTGGTCGCGGGAGGTGTTTGGGAACGGTGTGGCGGAGGCATGCGCGGAGAACGGGATTGTCCTGGTGGCGCACACGCCTCTGGGTGCTGGGATGCTGACGGGGACGATCAAGTCGGTGGATGATCTGCCGGAAACGCACCACCGCACGGTGCCCCGCTTTCAGCCTGACAGCATCGCCCAGAATCGTCTGCTGGTGGAGGCGTTGGAGGCCGTCGCGGAGGCAAAGGGTTGCTCCGTGGCTCAGCTGGCGTTGTCTTGGTTGAAGGCTCAGGGTAAAAAGCCTGGAATGCCGGTCATTGTACCGATTCCGGGTGCGCGCTCCGAGGCACGGGTGCTGGAAAATGTACAGGATGTGGAGCTGACCGAGGATGACCTTGAGGAGATCGAGGTCATCCTCGGAAAGTATCCCGTGGCGGGCGCGAGATATCCCCCGGCCGCGGCGAGGTTGAATGAGTATTGAAAAGGGGTATCGTTCCAGGGATTTTCGTATGTTAAATTAGAAATTCGTTCCTCCCAAATTTGAGCCACATTCTCCAAACATTCCGTGAATCTTCGTCGGAGGATGCTAATATTTTCTTCACTGTGGCTCGTTGCCCAGGGGCTTGGATTGTCGACAGTCGAAGCATCTGGCCATGAAGAGATGACTCTAGATGACCCAACGGCAATCCTTGTGTTTTGACCACGTATAGATGCCAAAGTAGAGTATTCAAGGACAGGTCGCAAGGTTGCTGAGACGAAAGAACTTCACTTGAGCAGGAACGAAGTATATCTGAGGTGAGGTCGACGGCCTTCCGATTAGACTCGTCCAGCATGTTGTCAAGTGAAGTCTGATCGGCTGACGACACAGGTAGCTGAGTACCCTGCTCTCGCACTATCCTAGCTAATAAGAGACGAACCACACGAACATTGTTCCAGTTCGTCAAAGACTTGCAGTCAGGGTAGATGTCAGTCCCAGCAAAGGACATATTTAGGGGCATCGGGCTTTGTCTCCTTGAAACGAAGGCTGGTAGCCAACATGCCAACTCTTTGAGTTCGAGATCAAGCTGTTCTGCACTGAGTATAACTCCATTGGAACGATGGCCCGACGTGACAGAGTTCTCCAGCTGTACATAGCGCAGCATAATGTCCCAAAATTTCCACTTCAGAGATGATGTATCCACGGCATTGTCGAGCGCCATCCGCCGCAGAGACAAAAACTGCAGCGGGATGGCAGAGCCTCTTGCGAGACAATCGAGTACCACAAGCTCAGTAAGGTGCAGAAGCATGGTAGGACTGTACTTATCCGCGAACTGTCCTGTACCCCTTAAGGACATCAATTCACAGGCTCCACTCAAATGGCTGCGAGGAACAACCGATTCATCATTTTCAAAACTTGCGAGTCGTTCGAAAACACACATTAGAATGACTGAGAACAAAGTCCTGTCGAGCATGACCTCGTCTGGGATTTGGAGCGCCTTGCGAGTCATCCTCAGAGCTGATCCGTACATGGCCCGAGCGTGGTGGAGAGCGCCATGGCACCCGCGCGATAAAGAGAAGTTTACCATGAAGATAGCACGGGTGACCGTCTCTAGAAGCGGGATGTCATGAACTATCGGTGGATAAAAGATCTGCATGAAAGAGAAAATGCTTGTTGCTGGCATCGCGCCAACGTATTGCGAGATATAAAGGCCCTTTGCGCGCTGCATGACTGTTGGGAGCAGCCTAGTTGACAGCGGATCCGGAGAACTTGATTGGCGAATGGTCTTGTTCACCGACACTCGCTTGATAATAGCATCGGACTCATTAAGGATGATCAGATCTTTGGGATTATGATATCCAGGGCATGAAAGCCCAGCGCGTGAGCACTGAGAGCAGCCATCCTTTTTCTTGTCGCACTGTGTCGGTGAGTATCGTGGCTAGACGGAAACCATGAGGCTCTGGGCAGAGCGTCTGAACTGCTTACTTTGATATCACGCCTTCGACATTCACGGCATGACTTCGAAGGCCTGCCACGATACACCATCGTGAATTACTCTTCATTTCTGGTATGTTCCTTTCAAGAGTCTGAACTGAAGAGAAAAAGGGAAAGGATTCCTATGCTCTTAGGCGAGGGAATCACGTAATCAATCCCCAAATCATCGACTAGCTAGTCCAATCACAGACTTGTTACTAGGTGCTGAGGTACTAGGTAGGTACCCAGTAGTCATCGTCATTTACTAGCATCGCAAGAAGATATCAAATTAATTATCATGACATTACGCCTCGCAATGTCTGTTTGATATACTCTCATAGGCTTTTATCTAAGGTTACCTGCGTCTTCCAGCGCCTCCGGCATTGTCCGCTCGATCAGCAATGCTGACCACCTCACCAATACCAGCCTCCTCTTGCTCGTCTTCCAGAGCCATGATCTCTTCTCTGCTATCCCACCATTTCTCCTCTGCCATGTTGAATGCATCCTTACGAAGTTCTTTGATGTTCTTGTCCAACGAGACGCCTCTTTCTTTCAAAGTGTCCATCAGAATCTTTTGCCAATCTTCAGATGTCCGAGTAAAGAATTCACGCAAGCTCTCGAAAGGACGAGGAAGGGGTCTGCTATCCTGGACGGTTGGCTCTGACTCCTGCTCTTCCACATCAAGCTGTTCCAATTCCTTGGTCACCGATGGTACAGTAACCTCGGTCGGCGCAGGGGAGGCAGTGTCAAGGGACATGGCATCTTCATCACCTTCCTCATCTTCTTCAAGATCATCCTCATCATCCTCATCCATCTCGTCGTCGCTATCTGCTTCGTTGAGCAGATGCCAGTTCCCAGGTTCATCATAGTAAATCTCCTTGACCCCATCGAGCTTGACCAAATCAATGGAGTACAGGTCATTGAACGTGAACTCCCGATCTCCCTTCTCAAAGGTTCCACCAAAGATGAATAGAGTGTCGTCTTGCACCGCCAACTGCGCATTGAATCGTTGATGAGGCATTTCGAATCGTATCACGGCCGGTTTCTCTGGTTCAGCCGGCTCCTCATCGGCCTTGGATGCCAATTGCAGTTCCTCATCGTCATCCAAACCACGGATGCCTCCCTTGGCCTCCAGTGCTTTCAGGTTCTGTAGAAGTTCCTCTTCGGTAGCTTTGCTACGGTCGCGAGATTTGAACTGGTTTGCCGTCTGTTTCTTGCCTTGTGCCCTGGGGCGTCTCAGGGTCAGGGGGAAGAAGCGGTTACGGTCAGTATTCCAGGCAAACATGGTGTCAAAGAACTCGCTGTCAATTCCTTCCTCGCTGAGCTCAACATCATGAACACCACCGAACATGATACCTCGACCCTTGTGGTACGCCATGGTGGCACCGGCACGAGGCGGGTTGGGCGAGTTAGCAGGCTTCTTTCTGCGCTCCCAGCGCACTGTCGGGAGTGTGTTCACCGGAGCATCAGCAGGTGGAGGCGTGATTCGAAGGAACCAAGTATCCTGATGAACCATAGGTTTCATGGTCATCCGCTGAGGGCCGTTCTTCACTGGCTTTCCCCCGACACCGGCGCTAACTTTGACGCGGGAATAGCCACCGTAGAGAACGGCACCTGTGTCGTGCGGCAAGAAAGAGAAAGATGAACGTGGGTCAGGTTTCTGCGAAGCTGCTGAAAGATTCGGAGTGAACCAAGTATACTTTGAGCAATCGTAGATCCACAGGTCCTGGAGGTATTTGGTCTGTTGCGAGGTATCTTGAAATCCTCCAAACAGAATGATGTAGTTCTTCGGGAACATAAGCTTCTGGCGCATTGACAACGTCTTGATTGACACTAACCTTGTAGTAAGTCATTCGGTGACCACTTCTAGCCGGAGGCCCCTTGCCCTTCGTTTCCAGACGGGTCCATTCCCTTGTCGAGGGATCAAGGTGCCAGAAATCATTGTAGTGGTAGAAAGTTCCCTGTTTCGGGGAAGAGAACTCTCCTAGACACGAGAGTCAATCTAATTGAGTCCACCCCAAACTGCGAAGATCACTTACCTCCGAACAAGTAGACGCCTCCAGTGTTGCCGCCACGGCACCATGCATGTCCGCTCCGGGGGAGAGGACTGTTGGGACTGTTAATCTCCTTCCATTCCCCACGGTTGATGTTGTAGATGAAAAGGTTATTGAAGAACGTAGCTAGATTTCCATCGAAGTACTCTCCACCAAAGACCAGAAGTTCGTTCTGGTTCGACGGCGAGGCCAATACGGTGGCAGAGGACCGAGGAGTGGGAGGCCCACTGACAGTCTCGGTGACCTTAAGGAACCTGGCTTGCTCCTCTGCATATTGAGCAAGGATGGCGTCCAAATCGGCATCTTCAGCATCGCTGTCTGCATCTTTGCCCTTGGTCTTGCCTCTCTTCTCTTTCTGGGCAGCTTTCTTCGACTGTTTCGCTGCTACCCGCTCCTTGTGCTCGGCGGACTTCTTGTTCTTCTTGCCCATGATGTTGGCTCCAGTGAGTACTTGCTTACTCTGGTTGAAGAGAAATTGTCCTTGGCTTTGTTACTTCAGGGTGGCTGATAAGTCTCACCAGCTTCAGGATATTTTGCCTTATCGATAATGCTACGGGAACAGTATTTCTTCTATAGCGCGGGGCTTCCTCGGCCGCAAGAAAAAAAAAGATTGTCGAGCCATTGGCCCCTCCTAATATTACTAAATTAGGTAATAGCTTTACAAGCCCAGTGCCAGGAGACATGTAATTTATCAAAGAGCCGGGCTTCTGGCCGGAAACAATGCTTGCGATAAATAGCAAATATGATACTAAAGTAAGAATTTCGCTGAAGATAGAATTTCATCAATCTGTGCACATGAGCAGTACAGTTATATTGTGAGTTGACAGGATACGAGTGAATAGTATCGATCAATGTATGTGATGTATGCCCCAAGTACTAAGATTACCAGATGCCTAAGTTACTAGTTGGAAACTGCTGCGCCGAGAGTGTCAGTCACCGCCCACGTGATAGCGCGCGGAGACGCGTCGGAGTATTGCCCGTCGCAATGCTTCTCATCCATACAATAGATTTTGTTTCTAGCGGCTAGACTTCCATCGCCATTGTTATGTTTACCTCTCCTGAGAAAGCCATGCGAGCAAGACTACGGCCCTATGACTAAAAATAATCTGACAGCTCATCTCAAATGGCTGTTGCAGCAAGGTCCTGCACTCTACCCCTCTCTGGTTTCGTCCGAGCACGAGTATCAAAACAGCACCACTAGTTCCCGGAGCGCTCTCCCACTCTCCCCAGTTACGACATTGCCTACGTCAACCGCCCAAATAGATGGCCCATTCGCGATTGATGATTCGCAGCCTACTCGCGGTATCGAAGACCAGACCGTTCTCAACAATGATGGGGAGATAGACTCCGAATCGGAAGAAATGGCACGCCTGGTACTTACTCCGGGGTCTGGGCGTAAGCCGCGGATGCTCTGCCTCTCCAAGGATAGCCCCAACCAGACCCCAAAAGCGTCCAAGCAGCGTCTTGCGCCAGAGGCGCCTGCGAAGGAGCCAACTACCGCGACCAAGTCAATAAAAGGTGTGCGCTTAGATTCGAACACTCCTTACTATAATTACGCGCTACTTACGCTCAATAGCATCACAAAGTGTTCCTCCTTCCTCAGTCCGCAGCCCCAAGAAGACATCCGTGACGCCCTTCCGCTCGAAACAAAAACTCGAAGTCCAATCGCCATTCTCTGATTTCGATGTGGATACGATTGATTTGACTGGGGATTTCGATCCAACTGCCTTCTCGTCAAGTACCACTGATGGCTTCGGCGAGCCTCAACAGTTATGGACAGAAGAAGCTGCAGTTCGGAAAAACTCGCCCGAAAAACGTGGGAAGAAGCGGAAAAGTGATGATTATATGTCTGATCTTCTCTCGCCGAGAAAGTCTGCCCCTAAAGCGCGCTCTTCGTTGAAGGTTGCTCGAACTGCTGAACGTCTTCAGCCTGCTCCCTCACCCTCTCCGCGCAAGAGACTGCCACAGTCCACTATAGATAATTACCAGCGCACGCCTTCCCGAAACCTAAGCCAAGTGATTGCCGATTCAGATGAAGATGGTGACGACGATCTCTTCGATGACTGGGAAGCTAAGGATGACATGGGTTTGAATCCCGACGAGTCTCTGTACTCAATACTGCCAAAGGTGGACGCCCTGGATACTCATTTACCTGAAACTATTGTTCGCAAGCCAATGCAAGCTGCGCCCATATCTGGGATGTCAGAGGCCGTTCCCTCGACCTCACGAATCCTTGCTAGCTCACAGCAGCCGTCGCACATATCTGCAACTGTGGATTCATCACCATCTGTTTCTCTTGACAAGGATGTAGCCAGGTTTCTGTCTTCGTCTGCAGCTTCAATCGAAGGGATGATCGTGACATTCAAAGATACCCTCACGAAGAATTCTGAGATTGTATATGAGCGAGCAATGAAGGGAGAGCCCGCGCCAGAGTTGATTGTCGAGAACAAATCTCTTACTGAAAAGATCGAGGCCATTGAAAAGCTGAAACAAGAAAGGGCTGCCTACTTTTCATGCGATACCAAGAGACAGGCCTTGAAAAAGACCTTGATGCAGGCCATCTCACAAGGTGGCGATCCGCAGACGATGCCGGAACTTGCAGAGAGTCGGCAGTTGACTGCAGAATTAGAGGAAATTGAATCCAATATGCGGCATGCATTGCAACGGACTGATATCTTATCATCTCTTGACTCGCTGCACAAAGGTGCTTCTAGATCTGGTCTAGAACAGTCAACTTCATTCTCGCTTGCACCTCGTGCCACATCCTCTAATTTTACAGACACTGTTCGATCAAGTATCACAAAAGATGTTGAGGAGCCGGTTTCAAAGGGCTCACTACGACCGACAACCGGCTATAATGACGCACGTTCCGAGATCTCCACGCGAGTATCAGACCTATCGTTCAAAAACCCCAACGCGACCCCCAGTCGCAGAACCTTTGACTATGACGATACGACCATGTTGTCGGATGAGGATACGTTCACGAGGACGATGGGTTCTCCGACTGTCGCCACGGAGAAAATGGATGAATTCGATCTAGACGACGAAGACATGCTAGAGGCTGCAGAGTACTTTGAAGATCCCTCTACGAATTCGGCAAACTATCTCGAGCTTCAGAACCGTAAGGTCTTTGCTGAAACCTCAGGGAACACCCCGCGTATTCCCGCAACGCAGAAGCAGCAAAGCCAGAACACTCTGTGGACACAACATGCATGGACCAAAGATGTGAAGGCTGCACTAAGGGACCGCTTCGGACTCCAGGGATTCCGTCTTAATCAACTTGAGGCCATAGATGCAACGCTTGGTGGAAAAGATGTATTCGTGCTAATGCCTACAGGAGGCGGCAAGTCTCTGTGTTATCAGCTGCCCTCTGTGATTTCTAGCGGGATGACAAGAGGAGTTACCATCGTGATATCACCACTGCTGAGTTTGATGCAAGACCAAGTCTCCCATCTCAACAAGCTCAATATCAAGGCGTACGTTTTGAATGGCGAAACAAAGAAAGAGGAGCGCCAGCGGATTCTAGGCATATTATCTGATTTTAGGCCTGAGAAAGAGATTGAGTTGCTTTACATTACTCCGGAGATGGTCAACAAAAGCCAAGCCATTGTTCGCAGCCTAGAAAAGCTTCGCAACAATCGTAAGTTGGCTCGCATTGTCATCGACGAGGCTCATTGTGTCAGTCAATGGGGGCATGACTTTCGTCCCGATTATAAGGAACTTGGAGAACTCCGAACTCGGCTTCCTGGCGTCCCGATGATGGCGTTGACAGCTACGGCGACCGAAAATGTCAAACTTGACGTCATCCACAACTTGAAGATGGAGGGCTGCGAAGTATTGATTCAGAGCTTCAACCGACCGAACCTATCCTATGAAGTGCGGAAGAAGCAGAAGGGGTCTGAACTCTTGGCCAGCGTGGCTGATATCATAAACAGTTCATATCGTCACAAGTCAGGGATCGTCTACTGTCTTTCGCGCAAGACATGTGAAAGTGTCGCTAGCAAACTTCGTCAGGAGTATCGAATCAAAGCTGCTCATTATCACGCTGGCATGAGCTCCGAAGATCGCGCAGAAATTCAGCAAGCCTGGCAAGCTGGAAGGACTCACGTCATAGTCGCAACCATCGCTTTTGGAATGGGAATTGATAAACCGGATGTACGCTTCGTGATCCATCATAGCATTCCAAAGAGCTTGGAAGGCTACTATCAGGAAACAGGACGCGCCGGTCGAGATGGTAAGCGTTCTGGTTGCTACTTGTTCTACACCTACAAAGATACAACAACTCTGTTCCGCATGATCGATAGTAGTGATGGAAGCAAGGAACAAAAGGACAGACAACGCCTCATGCTGCGCATGGTCGTACAGTATTGCGAGAACCAGACCGATTGCCGACGAGTGCAAATACTCGGCTACTTCAATGAGAAGTTTCGCCGACAAGACTGCAATGCTTCTTGCGACAATTGCAAATCCGATTCTGTTACCGAACTTCATGATTTCTCAGACCACGCTGCCTCTGTGATTAAACTCGTTCGCTACTTCCAAAACCTGGATGACAAGGTTACCATGTCGTATTGCGAGAACATGTTCCGAGGGACAGTTAAGAAGTTCAGGTCACCTCAGCACCGCAATGCCCCAGGCTATGGCGACGGAAAGGGTGTAGCAGTGGGAGAAGTTGAACGATTGTTCTACACTCTTCTTAGGGAAGGAGCTTTGAGAGAGGACAATGTGATCAATGGTAGCAAATTTGTGATCCAGTACATCAAGCTGGGATCGCGTGCAACTGACTACGAAAGTGGTCGCGTCAAATTGAAACTTGACGTCCGCGTCTCACCAAGTGGGAAGGGTCGACGGCCCACGCGGTCTTCTCGAACCGATGGTAGCAAGGACACCGTACCGCAATCTACGAACGTCTCGTCACCTGTACAGGCCGCAAATCAGCGCCGACTCGCGCGTTTCCGATACCAAGGAACTGGTGATGACTCCACTGATGATGCAGATAGTGACGGATTCGAGAAGATTCGCGTCGCTGGTAGGCCCCGTCCAGACAAAAAGCGCACTCCCGGTCCACCTATCAATCAAGACCGCCGTTTCGATCAGCTTGACCCTCTTCACAAGGCGGTAGCTGAGGACTTCATGGTCTATGCGAAGAACTACTGCCAAGACGTAAGATTCCGTACATTCATTCTAAAGAGCAAAAACCAGGGCAACCACTGACAAATTGAAAAGTTGGTTCTTCAAAAAGGCCTGCGCAACCAGCCGTTTACTGATACCATCTTGCGCGAGATGGTCATTGTCTTCCCTAAAGGTAAGATTACTTTGTATCATCACTGTGGTCGGCGCTGATTGATGATTAGACCTTTCGGAACTTGCTGCAATCCCTGGCATTGATCCTGACAAAGTTATCCGTTACGGCTCTCAACTGCTTAAGCTTGTTAGGGATACGCAGCGTCGCTATGAGGAGTTAAGGAAAGAGCGTGATGATGCCGATGGCGTCGTACCCGATCCCAACCATCACAATGTTATCTACCTCAACAGCAGTGAGGACGAGGATGAGTTCAGTGATGGGGGATTTCTGGCAGACCACGCGTCTAACTTCGATATGAATGAGAGTGTCGTTTCCAGCAGGTTCTTTTCGTCGCAGCAAGGGCCGCATGCTACTGAAGAATCTCGAAACGGCGGCGAAGGGTCAGGCAAAGGCAAGCCCCGAAAACGCCAGACAAGTAAACGTCCACGTCGCTATAACACAGGAGCAAAAGCGAAACCAAAAACAGCAGGGGCTCGGAGGAAATCCAATGACCGTGCCGACAACCGCCCTTCTTCGACCTCAGCCCGAAAACTTCCCAAGCCGAAGTCAGCGACAAGTCGGATTGGAATGATGCCTGTCTGAGATACCTCTTTGCGTGCATCTGAGACATAGCGATTAATGACATGTTTACGATATATCAGCGTTTGCGACTGTGGTTTAATTGCGACTATTGCATGTATAGGCGTTATATTCGGGTGTCTCATGAGTATTGATAAGGATAGTGTGATAGGCGCACATGGCGCTTCTATGTTATAGCGCTATATAGAGCCCGCATGATAGTGTCGACGCGGCTGCAACGGACAGGTAGATGATATTATAGCGTGCGCCCAAAATCAATTAATCTCAACCTTCTCGCATCGCGCGGGTGGAACTGTGCCACTTTGGCTCGTACCAGAAACCTGGAAGCTGCAGATTCTCGAACGTTCACATACGAGGGGCTTGCTTCCAACAACTCATCAAGAAGATTGCGCATCTCGACTGCCGCCACCTCCCTTCGATTGGAGGTCCTTCCTTGCTCGTTCTGTCGAGGTAGAATCTCATCGATGCGTCGTTGGCTAGTACCTAACTCAGTTGTTTCGGCCTGTACTTTCGGCTTCTTCGGCTTGCCATGGCTGGTATAGCCCAGTTCCAAGGTAGCGTCTGAGACATCTGGTGCATCGCCTACAGTCGGTCCGCCGAGGGATTCTGCTGCAAGCATCGATGCAAGAGACCGATCAATAAATTCGTAGAGTTTGGTCTTTGTATCTTCTGTTGCCTTGTCATATTCGTCGTTTTCCCGTTGCTTCTGCTCCACGAGCTCCCGCGCTAGTTGAGAGCTTGCCTTCTTTTCCTTCGTGGCATTTTGACTCGCCACAGTTCGAATCCGTCGCTGCAGACCATCTTGAATGGCTTGCGCATCGCGCAGGTTCGCCTCCTCTGTCTTCGACCGTTGGCGCGTGTTAGAGAGATTCTTACCCGTTTCCGAGGCGGCGATCTTAGTCTCCTTCACCAGGCGGGATGTCTCCTCAACGGCCAGTAACGACGGCAACGGAGAACCGAGCGGTGGAAATCTCGTCTCCGATTTGAGGAGAGAGTCATACGCCTTTTTGGCCCGGCGCACCTGAGACACTCGGGCCCAGGTGCTGGTACCGATCCTGGAGAGATCGATGGAGTTGATCTCGCGTAGCTGGGGGCCGCGTATTAGCTGATGATGTCTGTTGTTTGTCTCTGTATTGGTCATAATACGCACCTTGCGCAATTCATCTTCTTGACGCTTGACTTGTTCTTGTAGCTCTCGCAGAGTTTCATCCAGTCTCTTGTTATAAGCCTGGATATTAGCTGGGCTTAGCGGCTGTGTGGCATGGCTTTCTTCTGTTTGTTGGCGTTTCTCTGCGAAGCGCTGGATTTTATCGACTCTTTCCTGTGGGACGTCCATCGCAGTGGATGATGACGATATAGCAAGGAAGCGTAGATTCGACGTCCTTCGCAAATATTTTCCGGAACAAGGTAGAGCTCAATACAGTCACTAATCTCGTAATCTGGCAGCGTGTGAAGTATTGTGACCTGTCAATATGCTTGATATACAATGGGATAGCAGTAGTTGTTGATGGCTTAACACGTGACAGCGGAACATGGGCGGCTTGACTGCAAACGGACTAGCGTGTCTCGTGCCAACAGCTCGCCTCACCAACTCCCGCAACCTCATCTCTTCACCGCGACATCGAACCCCCCCCGTTCCCACCTTCGCCCATCAACTTCCCCTTATCATATCCCCTTTCACATCCGTATCTTTATCTACAACCGCGAGCTTCGATCGGCTTTTCTCGACTGCCTCAGTTTCTCGAGTCTCTCCTCGTCCAATTTCCTGCGCTAGACACTTCCCCTCCGGCAGGTGATTGGGTAATCGACGTGCTGTACGTACATACAGCCTGTGCATCTGAGCAAGTCGCGTTTTCTGGCAGGAAAACAAGGAGAAATTGGGACTTTGGGAATTTTTTCAGGCTTCAATCTTGCTTTCATTTCTTCCCTTTCCCTGCCCCACCGTTATCCACCCTCCAGCATCTAAATTCGCCCGGACCCTGAACACACCTTCGTCTCCGTCCAACATCCAACACCTCTTGCTTCGTTCCATCGTGCCCGATTCGATTGGTTTCTTTTCCTTACATCCTTTACCTTGCCACTACCTCGCTTTGGTGAAGCTTTCTCTGCTCCAACCCAAGGCCCGTGACAATTCAGCATCCTTCCACACTTTCCTCCGTCGACCTCTCCTTTCCAACCTCACTTTCCCGCCACCATATTCACACCAGTCCTCCTAGTCATCCCAAGCACCAGAATTCCCTCTTCACCCGATCGCCAGCACCAGCAAGTTTTATTGGGAACTCCTGGTGTACATAGTCGATCACATAAAGCAGAAGACAGAGAACAAAAGAAAAAAAACAAGAGAGCTATTCTTGAGACTTCGACTTCCTGTGTAAGTGAAGCAAGACTGCAAAGCTTTGGGCATACAGAAATCATGTCTGCCTCTCCATCCGCGTTGCAATCGACCAAGCGTCCGTTGGAAGATCCTTCCTCGCCGTCGGGTCCCAATGACCAGCCCGAGGCCAAGCGTCCGGCTTTGGACAAAGTAGTAAAGGGCGAGGAGGCTGAGGCGTATACCGAGGTGAAGACGGACGCCGCAGCGGCTGCCAGCGCCAGCGCTGATGGCCAAGGAGACACCGTGGTTCCCGATGCTCCGACTGCGAAGGGCGCTTCTTCGGAGACGCAGCCCATCCAGTCGACTGCCTCTCACGGAGAGTCTGCAGCTGCCCAGTCTGAGCAGCGCCCTCAGGACGAGTCTAGCTGGATCCACATCCGTGCTGTAATCTCCAGCCAGGAGGCTGCGACCGTTATCGGTAAAGGTGGTGAGAATGTTTCCCAAATTCGTCGTCTGTCGGGAGCCAAGTGCACTGTCAGCGATTACTCCCGGGGTGCGGTGGAGCGTATCTTGACTGTCAGCGGCCCCCAGGACGCTGCTGCTAAGGTTGGTGGACATTTTATCCCCCAGAAACGTGATTCTCGCGGCCCTGGTTCAGTGATGCTAATTTGGACGCTAGGCATTCGGTTTGATCATCCGTACCTTGAACAACGAGCCCCTTGATGCCCCTTCAACTGCCCAATCCAAGACGTACCCCTTGCGTTTGCTAATCCCTCATATCCTCATTGGCTCGATCATTGGCAAGGGTGGTAGCCGGATCCGCGAGATCCAGGAGGCTTCTGGCGCACGTCTCAACGCTTCGGATGCCTGCCTTCCCTTATCGACTGAGCGGTCCCTTGTAATCCTTGGCGTTGCGGACGCCGTGCACATCGCTACTTATTATGTTGCCGTGACCCTGGTCGAGCAGCTGACCGAACGCTTCGGCGGACCGGCAGCCTCTGCCTACGCTACTCGCAGTGGTGGGCCCGCTGGAGCCGTGCCTGGAGGGATGCAGGTTGTTCCCTATGTGCCTCAACCCGCTGGCGGCCAATACGGTCACCCCGACACTTTCAAGCGCCACCACCCTCACCCCAACCGCGGCGCGGCCGGCAGCTATGGCGTTCCCTACCTCCACGGCCAAGCTGCACCCACTCCTGTCGCCCAGCCCAACATGCCCTACGGCGCTACTCCCCACACCCCGTACTCCGGAGCCGGCCCGCACCAGCCCGCGGCCTACGGCGGTCCGCAAGCTGCGCAGCCCCGTGCTGGTGGCGCCGGGGGTCCTGCCCCGGTTGCCCCTGCCGGCGGCGTCATGCCCGGTCAGCCACTGACTCAACAGATCTACATCCCCAATGACATGGTGGGCGCGATCATCGGCAAGGGCGGAGCCAAGATCAACGAGATCCGACACCTGAGTGGCAGTGTGATCAAGATCAACGAGCCCCAAGAAAACAGCAACGAGCGTCTGGTCACTATCACGGGTACTCAGGAGTGCAACCAGATGGCATTGTACATGCTCTACTCCCGACTCGGTCAGTTTTGGTACCCCATATTTTCATCCGATTTATCATCCACTAACAAGCCACGGTAAATACAGAAAGCGAAAAGCATCGTATCTAAACGGGTAGTATGGAGTTTTAGCTTGTTTAGTTCTTTTTTTCCTACACACTTTGGGGGTCTTCTTTTTTTTTTTTTTCTCTCTGACTTGACCACTAAAATCCATCCCGTCGGTCTTTTTTGCTACTCATTTCACCAACTAATGGGCATTTCTTTGTTGTGTCTTCGTTCCGGGTCTTTATCTCTAGAAAAAAGGAAGCAGCTCCGAATTCTGATCTCAATTCTGTGGCATAATCATCATCATCATCATCATCACGCCCAACCATACAAGCCCAGCCCTAAAACCAACCATACAAACCCGAAGCCTAAAAAGACCGACGCCACACAGATCTAATACCTTAAAGCACACACGAATACCTAGTTTATACCATTCTCAAACTTCCCATGCCTTCCCATCCCATCTCCCTCCATGCCCACCCCCACCCCCACCCCCACCCCACTGAGTCAGTTCACTCCACCCCCGCGAACTCAAAATGCTTCAATCCCCCCAATCCCCTAACTGGCGCCAACAACCGTCCCCTGACCTTCCCGATGGCCGTCTGAAACGCCTCTGTCTCCTTGCCCGCCAGATGCACCTCTATGCTGGCCCACCCGGCCGCCACGACCACCACAAACGCCTCGCCGGTCTCGCTCTGCTCGTGCGTCATCGTCCCCGGCCGCTCCACCTGGCCCATCGCAAAGGACACCGCCCGTTTCCCTTCGGGGAGGTGCTCCGTGACGGCGGCGCGCAGGCCGATCAGGTCGGCGTGCACGGCGTTGACTTCCTCGGGGGTGAGGGAGGTCGGGAAGGCGGGGGTCCAGAGCTCGGTGGTGGGGTTGCTGCGGAGGGTCTCGGTGGTGGTTGGGTTCTCGTTGTTATCGGAAGAGGAGGAGGTGGTGGAAGGGGTGAGGGTGGCGAAGATGGTGGTAATTTCGGGGTTGTCCGATGGTAGGAAGGGGGCGAGGGTCGTGGTCGGGTTTGCGCCGGTGTGGGCGTCTTTCCAGTCTGTTGTGCTGTTAGGTTTGTGTTGGGGTTCAGGGGTGGGGTGAGGTGGTGAGGGTAGAAAGGTAGGTAGGTAGGTAGGTAGGTAGGTAGGTAGGTAGGTAGGTAGGTAGGTAGGTAAGGATATTAGGGTAGCGTAAGTTGGCTTGGCTGGAGACAGAGAGGAGCTAAACTAACCAATCGCCCAAACGATCGAACTCTCATCCTCGACGGCCCGGCCCCAGACGGACCCCTTGTATCCGTTCTGGTGCTTGGTGTTCTGGAAGACCTGCAGGAGAGCGGCGCCCTCGTCGCTGTGGGCGGGGTCCTCGGGTCGGACGCTGTCCTTGACGTGGAAGTAGATGAACTCCGTCACGTTTTGTTCCGACATATTGTGCGCGCGGCTATCAAGTGATTATGGAGGTGTGATGTAGAGGCCCGTGGCTGCAAACTAAGCTGGGTGGTGGTCTGTTGGACAGAGAGGGGACGAGAATCATAAATACTGCGCAGATCGGTAAGGTAAGGCTTATCGATGGTGTTCCATGTTGATGTCACTCCCACTTTGGGCGGGATGATGTCAGTGAGGAGGACTATAGTACCTTGGTGCCTCAGGCTCTCTTCACTATCGAATCATTCTAGATCATCCGTATTCCATTTCCAGCTCTCCGTACACCAACCTAGGTAGCCAGCCCGATTATTATCCTCAAAATCCTGACCAATACCTGGATGGACGTATTTCTCGTACAAGCACGTGCAAGCATTACAATCGAGACCTATGTACAGTGGAGACGGATGGGACGCGCTACCTAACATTCACATCTGCCTGTGTAGAACAGAAAACCAAAACAAAAGAAAAAACAAACCCCGCCAGAAAAGACCCGCTGTTTTTCGTCGACATGACTTTCATAGTAAGTAGCCATCAGCAAGATTGTCCTAAGACACAAGAAAGGAAAACATAAACACTAGTTTTACAAATCATTCACCGTCCGGACTCGAGACTTCTTCGCCCCAATGGCGCTCCTCAGACTCTCGACAATATGCTGTTGGCGTTGCACCTTGGTCTTCCATTGCGCCGTTTCTTCTGAGCTGACCAGGTCCTGGACTGCCTCCACATTGCGGAGCCGACTAGCCCTGGCTGACCCGTTAATGCTGGATCGGAAGTTGATGGCTCGGCTAGCCGAGTCGGGAGTGTGGTATGGCCCGTCAACTGACCCACGGGATCCCGGCGTAGTGGGAAATCGGCCGGTGCTCTTCCTCGGCGTCGCGAATGGGGACCCTTCCCGGCTGGCCGCCGGAGCGGTTGTGTCGATTCCCAATCTCTTGAGCTGAGCCTCCAAGACATCGATATCGGTGCGCTTAGTCTCGGCCATCTCCATCATCTTTTGGATCGTAGTGGTAACAGCCTCAACGGTGGGGCGTCTTGTCACATGGCGAGAGCCACCCGAAGGGGGAACGTCAGCAATCTTGGCGCGGAGAAGAGTCACGGCAGATTCTAGGTCAGCTAGCTTCGCCTGGATCTCGGTGGATGCCGACCGCAGGTCTTGCTGCAGGTTGGCGTGCTCCGCGGAAAGAGGTGCGAAGTGCATTGTGGTCGTGTCGGTGTGAGCATCAAGAGTCTTGCGGATGCTCGCACACTGACCCCGAAGAGTGATAATGTCTTTACTCAAAAGCTCCCGACAACTCTCAAGCTTCTCTTCCACACCCTGCACGCGCTGCTGTTCAAGAGAAGCAGCAAGCATGACGACAGCGTCATCAAACTTCTCAATCTCAGACAAAACCAGTTCTTTGTCCAGAATGTCGCTGGCATTGTCCTCCTTGAGCGTGTCGACCCATTGAGGATCTCTGGACGTCTTTTGGTAGAGAAGGAAAGAAGACAACGAACGAACGTTAATGCCCAAGGTGTCCACCATAGAGTTAATATCACGGTACAGTCGTTCAATTTGGCCAGGAATACCAGGTTTACTTGTCTCGCCAGCATAGTCTTGGTGAGGCAAGAAAGGATCAAGGGTAGGAACAGGTTCCAGAGGCAGTGCAAGATCCGCACGGAGTCTCTCATCCTCATCGTCGTCGGAAAGAGCCTGCGCTTCCTCCTCCAACTGTCTCGCGCGAATCTCCTGTTGCGAGGGTTCCCTCAGGGAAGGCTTCGGCTTCAGTTGGCTCTCGCGTCTTTGGTGTTCAGAAAGAGAGGCTTTCCTTGCAATGAGAGCGCTGCCCGGACTTTGAGGAGCGCCGAAAGTTTTCTTTCCATCACCCTTGAAGAGGCTCTTCGGCGCGGCCCCTCGTACTGGACTGGGCGACCTCGGAAGCTCTCGGTTCTGGAGTACAGGGAATGTCGGATTGCTCCTATCACCGAACAATGACCTTGAAGGCTGTGGTTGCGGTGCTGGGGCAGGCTTGGAAGCAGGGGAGAACAGGCCGCCTGCGAGCTTCGCGCCGGGCTTGAAAGGTCCAGGGAATGCCTTAGGACTTGGCTCATTGGACTCAGACTGGCTGATATCGTGGGTGATATCCTCTCCACTGTCAGCAAAATCCGACTCTTCCCCTTCCTCGCTCTCGCCTTCTTCAGATACGTCTTCCTCGCCTTCGTATTCATCCCCATCGGATTCGTCTGGGACTGGTGCAACGTCTTCGGATTCTTTACGTGGCTTGGGGATGCTGAAGTCTGGAGGCAATGGAGCCTCTTCGGGTTCTGCCTCTTCTTCATCGTCTGTCTTCTTTCCATTCTTGAAAGTCGTGAAGTCTGGCGGTAAGGGTGCGTCTTCTGCAGGTCCCTTAGCAGCGGGCTTGCTTGAGGTGAAATCGGGTGGTAGAGGCGCGTCATCGACAGAGCTCTTGGAGACGTTCGATGAGGCAGACGTATCACCGGGCCCATATGATGCCTTGCTGATAGGGTCTGGCGGTAGGGGTGCGCCCTGTGGTGTAGCACTAGGCGTCCGGGCATCATCCATTTTCGATGGAGTCTGGGTGTCTGCGGGTGTAGAAAAGGAAGATAAAGGCGACTTGGCAGGAGTTGTATTACCGAACAGTGAGAATCCAGGCTTGCTAGCTTGTTGACCGAAGGGATTCGAGACCGGCTTCTGAGAACCAAAGGTCGATGTGGGTGCAGAACTTGTAGTCGTCGAAGGTGCACCAAACAACGATTTCGGTGCAGAAGCTGTAGTCGTCGACGGTGCGCCAAACAACGATTTCGGTGCAGAAGCTGCAGTCGTCGACGGTGCGCCAAACAACGACTTCGGTGCAGAATCTGTAGTTGTGGACGGTGCGCCAAACAACGACTTCGGTGCAGAATCTGTAGTTGTGGACGGTGCGCCAAACAACGATTTCGGTGCGGAGGTTGGGGTCGCCGAGAGTGCTCCAAACAACGATGGCGTAGCCTCCTTGGGCTCAGATTTCTGCTGCGAAGTGGCGCTCTCGTCTTCCATGTCGTCCATCTCCTCAGTTGGCGGGCTGGTCTTGTTGCTGGAAGACATCATGTCATCCATTGACTCACTGAAGCCAAACAATCCAGAAGGCTTATCTGGCTTCGGAAGATCATTGGCAGCACTACCATCAGGCTTGAATGTTGATCCAAGCACGAAAGGAGTAGAGCTCTGCCCGAAAGTACCCGTCGACCCACTCGTCTTCTCAGCGGTAAATGGAGACTCCGCGCCAAGTTGTGTGCCAAACGTCGATGGGCCAAAGGTCGATGTGCCGGACATCTTGGCGAATGGACTTACAGTGGACGTTTGCGTAGTGGAGGTTTGCGCAAATGGCGATCCGCCTGCTGGCTTTGCCGACGCGAAAGCACTGAATCCACCTGTGCCACCTTTGTTGGCAAACGCTCCGAAGCCACCTCCGGAGCTAGAACCTGATTGTGCAAATCCTAGCGAGCTGAGTCCCTTTCCAGGCGTAGATGGTTGCCCAAAGGATCCAGACCCTCCTCCCAGCGAGGCAAAGCCGGATTGTCCAAACCCAGGCTCGTTCTTTGCCAATGCGGCGAGACCACCCTGAGACTTATTACCTCCGAGCAGGCTATTCGTGCCAAAGGAAGGCCCGGGCTGCGACGGTGATGCGAATGATGGCGCACCGAAAGAGGACTGTTGAGGGGTGGCTTGAGCAGATGGACTCCCAAAACCCGGGGCAGCAGAACTGCCAAACGCAGATGATCCTAGAGCCGGTGAGCCACCAAAACCTGATTGTCCAAAAGGTGAAGCTTGAGGCTGAGAAGCTTGCGGCGTTGGCTGAGCTGGCGCCTGCGTCTGATCCGCCATACCCTGGTAAAGGACCTTCTGTCGAATTGCGTCCGAATACAAGAACCACCAAGAGCAAAGAATACCCTCATTGTTGAGTAGCAACACATTCGGCAACGGAGTGGAGCTCTCAGCGATGTCTTCGCCTGCAATCGGAGCAACGACAACTTCCTTGCTAGAGAGATCGATACCCAAACCGATAACTGAAGTTTCATCGGTAGATTCCTTTAGTGGCACATTCGCTCTTTTTGTATCATCTGACACTTCAGTCGTGACAAAGAGTCCAGTAGTGTCCATGTCCATCTTTACCAATGGCTGGTCTGCCCTGGTGATTAGGCCCACATCGGTGGATGCCGTTGAAGACACAATGAGGACATCCTTCAAGTGAGGCTTGTAGTCACGCAAGCGCGCAATGAACTGAAAGGCTGGGGTGCGTTTGACCCCAAAGGGCATGCACAATTCAGGCAACTTTTGAATCAAGAAAGGCGCTTGTTTCCGACGTGTGATGATATAATAGGACGAAGGGGGGTTCTGGCCCATGTCATCCTCTAATGCGTTTGGCGTGTATACCACAAGGAAGACATCGTTCTCCAACCAAGCAATGGAGGAAACTGTATGTGATTAGACAAAGAACAAAAGTTTATGTATCGACAGCACAACATACCGTGACAGTCACCCTCAAGATCAGGAGGGCGCGGGATCACATCCTTTTGCGTGCCATCCGGGGTCATCTGAAAGCCCGTGCAATCTGCCAGCCCGGCCACAAGCTGTTTACCCTTGTTGCTCCAACAGACCGAGCTGACTCCGCTCTTCAGCACTTGACCGTTCGGGCCCGAGACCAAGTTGCCCGCTTTCAAATCTGCTACCAGAAGATCACCGCCTGTCGTCACCAGCGCAACAAGGGACGAGAGTTCCGGCGCCGGATTGGCCGCAATGGTGCGAAACGTGGTTCCATTGGTAGGAATCGACAATGCTGGCTGTGCATTCCCCGACGTTAAGCTCGAGGTGTCAAACACTGACAGTTGTGCGCCATTCTCCGTGGCCAGCAGAAGGGCGGTATCGTTTGAGGCAAAGGTGACATGTGTGGGACGTGCAGGAAGGGGGATGGTCGCTTGCGGCTGGAAAGGCTTGGTTTTGACCTTGCCCTCGGTGGTTGCGCATATAGCGGCTCTTACGGCGTCAGAAGATGCGACGGAGAGGACGTTGGGTCCAGCAGCAACAATTATGCCTTTGGTTGGCGCAACGGCCAGAAGCGAACATGTCGGGGCTGGGAGAGCGTTTTCCGGCCATGGTGTGGGGAGGATTCGGACGTTGGAATCGCCCTCAACGCCTTTGAAGCCGATGTCCTACAAAGAGCATTGCAGAAGTTAGAAGAGCGCTGATGTGAATGGAAGCAATTGCAAGGGGACCTACCTCAGCAGTACCCTCGGGAAGCTCGGGCCCCAGCTCGGGGGGAGCACTACCCCCGGCGGGGTTCGATGCTCCAAAGTTGAAAGCCATTTTATATCGGTCGTACTCGTTCGAGAGAGAACGCGGGTGATCGCCTAACGAGAGTCGCTTGGGAGCATGAGTAGAGGAAAAACGTTGCGTTGAAGCCGAAAAGGAGGGGCGCTGGAGTTGGAGGACTCCGATTGAAGAGCTCCCAAGTGCGCGCGAAAATCGTGGTCAACTCCCCTCAGTGGAAGATAGGAAGAAAAAAGGTGACACAGATCGGTACAGTTGAGACCCTCAAGTCCCAGACAAGGGGGTACAATTCACGTAGGAGACAACACCGGCGAAGGACAAGGAAGCGCCGCGTGGGAAACAAAAAGACAGTCAAAGGAAGGATTAAAGGTGCTGTTTCCAAAAGCCTCCCGGACAAAAACAGCGGCGGCGGAATTGCAAGGGTTCGAGAGCGAAAGCGCGCCACACCGCCTTTCTGCCTGAGGCGGGCAAGATCAGGCGCCCGGAGCTTCGTCACTCCCAGCTCCGTCCATCTCCAGCAGTAGCCGTTGAAGCTTAAGCAACGGAACTCAACCTCTCTCTACTTGATACATCAGCCTAACCCTCCTACCCACCCCCTTTATCCCCCTCAAATCACTGAAATCTTGACAACTGTGCCTTCATCCCCGACACCAAACACATCCATCTCCACGCCGTCATCATGACCGGCTTCGACTTCTCCAACTACAACCGTAACGCGGCTCTTCACGCCAAGGGCGTGCCTCTCCCCAAGGCCACCAGCACAGGTACCACGATTGTGGGTTGTATATATGACAATGGTGTTGTGGTACGTCCTGCCCCCCTCATGATATACGATCCCATCTCTTCGATGGATAGGCGGACAATGAAAGCTAAAGTTCTCGGTGTGATGATTACAGATTGCGGCAGATACCAGAGCTACCAGTGGACCGATAGTAGCAGACAAGGTAAGAAGCCTCGCCGCCTACCGTCCCTATATCGAAACTCACCCTTCCAATTCCACCACAAAATCACAAGAAGACACACAAAAACAAATCCAAAATTCTCAATAAAATAATGGCTAACAACAACGGGGGGGATTTGCGGGAATACTTAGAACTGCGAGAAGCTACACTACATCGCGCCGAAGATCTGGTGTGCGGGCGCCGGTACGGCGGCGGACACGGAATTCACGACCGCGCTGATCAGCTCGAACGTGGAGCTGCACTCGCTGTCGACGGGGCGGCCGCCGCGAGTGATCACCTGCATGACGATGTTGAAGCAGCACCTGTTCCGGTACCAGGGCCACATCGGGGCATACCTGGTGGTGGCGGGCGTGGACCCCACGGGCATCGGGCTCTTCACGGTGCACGCGCACGGCTCAACGGACAAGCTGCCCTACGTGACCATGGGCTCCGGCTCGCTGGCCGCCATGTCCGTCTTCGAGTCGATGTGGAAGCCCCAGCTGGACCGCGACGGCGCCGTCGCCCTCTGCGCCGAGGCCATCAAGGCCGGTATCTTCAACGATCTCGGCTCCGGTAGCAACGTCGACGTCTGCGTCATCGAGAAGGACCAGCCCACCCAGCTGCTGCGCAACTACATCAAGCCCAACGAGCGCGGCCAGAAGGAGCGCAACTACCGCTTCCCCCGCGGCACCACCGCCTATCTCAACCAGAAGGTCATCAGCAAGGAGGACATGCGAAAGTATGTCTCCGTGGAGGAGGCCTCCGGGGACCCCAATCTCATGGAGGTGGACATCTAGACAGGACCAGTTCCAGCCGGGGTTGTGGTCAGCTGGGTGGTGGAGTTGAAGCGCTATGTAATTCCTTTTTTGGAGGGGGTGCAGAATCATGTCTTTTAATTCTGTGCCCGAGTTACGCACGAATAAAGCTTTTTATGGACCAAATGAATATGGGCTACCAGTGAGCCATTAGATATTGCCAATTCCATTCGGATTAAAGAGTCTGAAGAGTATCTATGTACAACCAGGGGTATAATACGTCTTGTAGAAAATGTAGAACATTTTGAGAAAGCGATACAGAATAACCGTCCCAGCATGCCTCGAACCACACCTACCAGGCAATGCGGGATAAGCTCTCCAGTGCATGTAAACCCAACTCGAAGGTAGGTATCAATTCCCAGCAACCGAGTCGCTTCCTTCATTCCTCCACACAAAATTCGGGTTGCTCAACGCTCTCACAACCTCCGGTGACTCGACCTGTTGTACCTTTTGCATGATGTACTTGAACTGCGCCTCGCAGAACATGCCCCTCATTTCTCGTCGGGCGCGCACGACGCCAGCATGATACATAGCGCGGACAATAATCGGTTGCACAGGTGCTTGATGCCTCATCAAGTATACGTACAGCCAACAAATCAATCGATAGGATTGCCGCGGGGTGAGATTTTGTGAACATGACAGAGCCACAGCAAAAGTGTTTATCATATTGAGCGCGGCGTGGGGATCGGGGTGCTTTCTGCTGTCCCGAGGCTCGTAGACCACGAGCGCATGATGGGAAGGATCGGGAGGAGGCTGCCATGACCTCGCCAGGGCAATCTTGAGGGGTACATGCCAGTCGAAAATCCGAAACAACAGTTGGACTTCTGACCGGTTTCCAATTCTGGCCAGCTCTAGAGCACGCTCCATGAAAGACGGCGATTCGATGTCTATCTCCCGCGCTATCTTCGAAAAGGCGCGTGCGAACTGAAGAAGGAGAGTGTAGGGCGTGTCGAAGTCTCGAAACAGATCGTTGAAAGAGACGTCCGACGTCTCTAAAGCTTGCAGAGCCGCCCTAGTGGTTTTGTTGAGGGCATTTCTGGTCTGGTATGAAAGAGCCAAGATTGTGATTCCATTGGCAGGCAGCTCCAACTCACGCGCATCATCTAAAAGACTGCTCACGAGGTCTTTCTTCTTATGATTCGTTCTGCAAGCCTGGTAAAGGCTGAGGACTCGCGCCCCCCATTTCTCAATCGGCCGCACATGGTCAGAATGTATAAGATGCCTTATCCCTATCATGTGAGGCTTCTTATCCCAAGTTGGGCCGGCTGCATGACTCAAGTTCAGAGCACGGAAGACCCAAAGGCGCAGAAGAAAGCGTTGTTGAACTGACAACCCAGAATGACTCGATCCTGATGGAATTTGCGATCGTGCGTCGACCCACGCCCCTGCCTTAGGGATGTCTCTGACCGTGCGGATAGAGGTCAAACAGTCGTGCCACCTGGGAAGCAAATGCTGCTTCTGAGCCAAAACTAGATACTCTGTAACCGATATGATAGTTGCACCTACTGCATTGTAGTGAAACCTTTGGAAGAGTAAAGTTGTGAAGGAGGGAACGATTTCACTCCGAAGCTCGTCCTGAAGTCCAAGCCAGCGGATGATGAACCGGGGGCCCCAGAAGGCACAAGTGGAACGAAGATGCCGAGCACGAGCCAGGATCCTGTGTGCCAGCCTCAACTCAGCAAGTACATTTCGCTCCCAGATGATTTTAAGCCATAGATTGGCTGTATCCTCGTCCAGACTCGGGTATTTACCGCCCTTCGCTGTGGAATCAAGAACATCGCAGATTTTCTGGTATGCTTCCATCACGCCGCTTGGGCTATTGTGTTGTGTCTCGGCTGTCGGCCTGTTCGTCGTGGTGACCACCACATCCGGCAACTTTTGCAGGATCCCGATAACTTCCCGAAGCTCAGACGGAACTATCGCGCCGACTCTGATAGCCCTGAGCATGCTCGCAAACAATACAGTGCGCTCTCGTGAGTCTGTCGCTGGTTGAATAATGTACTTTGCAACAACTGGGAAAGCCCCGGCTCCTGGAGTGTTAAGTGCCCGGTGATCCAGAAACAGAGACAGTTCCTGGGCGTTTGATTTGCCCAGCGCAAGCTGCGAAAAGTAATGATCGAATACTATGCGACTGTAGCCAGGCTCATGCTGAAGATTTATACCCATCGCATTTATCAAATTCGTGACCGCCTCGAGTGACGAGCAGGTTTCCAAACGCTTCGTCAAAATTTCTTTGGATGGAAGGACTTTGCTATCATCCGCCGGTTCTGATAGGCCGTTCAACTCAACAAATCCGTTCTGATCAGTGACCACAGGGTCGCGCGGAGAAAGCGAAGCATCTGAGAAGCGGGCTACATCGATAAGCAAACCGTTCGGGTCAACTAGGTGTGAAAGGTCCCGCTTGGACCGCTTGGGAGAAGACGCGGAAGAGCTAACGAGGTCCTCAAATCCGCTTGAGTCGACCATATCACTATCAGGGTGTGAAGACGCAGGCTCCGCTGACGAGTCAACATAGGTGCCTGGCTTATTTACCTCGCCGCCGCGTGGTTGAGAAAGAGAGGTATAAAACGAGTCGGCCGGGTCGACATATCCACCTAGATCGGAATCCTCGACATCGCGCCCTGAAGAACCAGGCTCAAGCCCAGGCTCGGAGTCTGCCAAGCTAGTCAGGTCCACGAATCCGCCCGTATCGTCTAATTTGCCGTCGGCTGGTAAAGAAGAAGGAGAAGGAAGAGGAGGAGGAGGAGGAGGAACAGCTTCTGATGAGCTGCCCAAGTCGACAAACCCGCCCGGATCTAATGTCCCATTTTCGTCCGACAAAGGCGCAATTGGAGCGCGCGGGGGGTGTAAATCGTAGTGCGAAACCCCTGATTGAAGTTCATGTCCAATTATCCTCGTCGTAGCAGCGCGAGTATGCTCCCCATGATCGGGTTCGACCAAGTGTGGGTTATCATAGGGAGAAAATAGTGGTGAAGATGCGGGCGCGTGATCGCTGTTCCACAGCAAATGTTGTCGGCCGCCGCGCCCAAACAGATGGGGATCCGGTGGCAGCGCACAGGTCACTGGAGCAAAAGCGCAGTTTTTTCTCTTCGCCAGCCGTCGTCGGGCCTCCAATGGGCCCGGGACGCGGCTTGCATGGCGTCGCTGACTCTTGACGAAGCTTCGAAAGGTCGACGCCAACAGATCATCGCTGATCCAGACGTGGTCGATAAACCCCGACGATGATGAGGCTGGATGTACAGCATGCCGGTAGGCATGTCTGCCGAGAGACATGAGGCAATCGACATGTGCGAGAAGGGAGAGCGAACTTGAATTAAGCCCTGCTGAAATTGGTTTGGGACAAGCGGGCGCGGGATTTTGATAGTGAAGGAACCTCTTGGCCGGTAGACCGCGGGCCCGGAGATCGCAGTGCAGCGGCGGATGATTAATCACAGAATTCTGATTCCTCATTCGTTGCCCTGGTAATTGCACTCGCCCTGTTGCACTCGCCCTTGAACAAGCAGAAGTATACATATAACCCTGACCTACCCAGAAGATTGTTGCATTTTTGGCATGATCGTGAGGTTTGAAAGTCTTATTTAGAGCTATGAGCATTCATTTTGTGCCGTATCGGCTTTTTCGACTACGCCGCATAAGTACGAGTGACAATCGAAGCTACCGGCTAAAAAACTCCCCAGTCTAGACTGGCCATGGATACTATAGGCCAACACTGTCTTCTCCTACAGTCGGATACTGCACAAAGCACTAATAATAGGTGAGAATATGACAAATAAATGTCAATATATTTCCAAGTAGTGAATTGACCAAGACACGCCTCCCAATGCACCAAACTCTCTGCCGCAGTGGTATCGTATGCCATACGCTCGTCAGCCAGCGCCAGCTAATACAAGAAAACGAAGGAGTAAAAAGAAAACAATATGCCACAAAAAGAGAAGTAAGCCGAGGATATGTGAGGAGTCATGCCGCTAAGATTAGTGAAGGCAGACCAGAACCTACTCAGCCAGCGAGTGGTTTTCTGCCTGTCACCGCATAGAACTCGAAGTAGGCGTGGACGTTGCGGTTCTGGATGCTTTTCCGAACATCGACCAGGAATACTTCGATCTCGGGCTTCGACCACCCCAGTATGGCGAGCGGCTTGTATGACCATCCCGCGACCGCTTCCAGCAGGTTTGTCTCGCTCCAGGCCCCGATCTTCATCAGGTGTGGATCGGATGACCATGGATTCACAGGGACCATGGACCGATGTTCCTGCACGTCTTCGAATCCAACTTCTCGCATCCAGCGTGCGAGGCGATGGGCCACTCGGAACTGTCGGGGCGGGTCCGAGACCTGGCCAGCGCGGTGGTGCAGGTCCATGAGATCTTGGAGAGCATAGTCGCTGAACTTGTCAGGGTCCTCAGGAGGCATCGTACCGTCATCACATTTGAGTCGGGAGTCGAACTCGTGGCATTCCACATAGCCGCCCGGCTTAAGGTGCTTGTGTGCTTTCTTCAGCAGGTCCTTATACGACGGTAGAGATCCTATCAGATGTCCCGTGTGGATGAAGTCGAAGTGATCCGGGTCCCACAGCCAGTCCTCCTCCGTGGCGTCGTCGACAAGGAAGTGAACATTCTCGGGGACTTCAAGCGGCTGAACAGGAGACAGGTCGGTTCCTGTGATCTCGGCTTCTGGGAAGTCGGATGCTATGGGCGAGAAGCGGCAACCATGTGAGTTGATCGATCGGATGACAGGTAAGTAGGGTAAATCTGAGGAGGGAATTCTTACCAATCTCGATAGGCCATATACCAGAACCAGTACCAATGTCGAGGATCCGTTTTGGGCGTTGGACAGGTGCGAAGTACAAGCGCCCGTGGTTGACTAGCCTGAGCATGTGGTGTTGCATATCCATTCGATCCAGTTCCTGTTCATCGTTCGGGTACAAGTATGCTGGAGGAATGTTGTTAGGTGGGGTCCGTGTCCACATGGTCGATCCTCTGCAGACATACAGCCTTCATGATATTTATGGTATCTTCTTCCATGTTCCATAGGATAGTCCGTCACACTTGCTGTTAACGACTGTGTCTCGCTGCCATAGTCAGTCAACACCGGTATAACTTATGAGAAATAGAACCTCGAAAGGTTCAACCGACTGTCATCGAGTTGTAGAACATGAAATCGGACTTACTCTTCACGATTCGATGCCTGTGCCATTGTTCGTCAGTAGAGGCTCGATGGGGTCGGTTGGGGGCGGGCAAAGTGTAGGTGGCGATTTGACGAGAAAGCAGGTGTGTTAAGGCAAATAGCAACAACAATAAGGACCACAACGGCAACAAGGGAATGAATTAAGTTTCTTTTTCCACATAAAGCTAGAGGGAAAGATATGCTTACGGCCGACCTTGCACCAGCCATTAGACTGGCAGACTAGAGTAGCAAGACTTTTAGGGACCAGGTTCGAGTGGGGTGAACTTGGTAGTAGTAGGAGCAGGAGTAGTAGTAGTAGTAGTAGTAGCAAAAGTAGTTCGCATCCAAGCCTTGGTCTCGGTAAATGTTCCCAGATGATAAACAATCAAGATGAGCAGTGACAACAATCACGTCTCCCTCTCCAGCACGCCGCCATAAAGTTTCTTACGAGAGAAATTTGGGCAACAATGTGGTGGTGGATGGTGAGGAGGGAGTTACGAATTGTCTGTTGTTGTACCGATATAAGGATTTGCAAATCTGGAAGTGAGGATCTAGGCACCTTACCCAGATCTGGAGAAATGCTGGGTAGTATATAAGTTACTCTAATTTTGATTAACTACCTGCCATAGCCTTCACCCTTAATGACGGTAGCTAGCTAAGCAGAGAACGTGAAGGGAGTGAGGGGGGCAATGATGGGCAAGGTAGTAGGAGACATCGGCTGTCTTTTCCTCTTCTCCTGGTAACCTGAACTGACCCGGCAGCCTGGATTAAGTTTGACTTGATGAGGAGGAGGAGGGGTGGAAAGGATTCGACTCCCAATGTTTAACTTAATTTGACAGGAGAAAATGGATGCCAATAAAAATGATAATTCAAAATCATCTTGAATGGCTGTAATATTCATAAATCATAAAGAACGATATTATAGCCCCATGAAATACGTGGTTTTACGAGCTTGATAACTTCCAACGGTAGGTAACTTCTCGTCATCTTCTGGTTTCTAGTATGTATAAACAATACTGTACTTACGACGAGTTAGCGCTCAGGAAGGCCCCTCCCCCCGGTGGACGGGGCGTTATTACACTACGATTACCGCTGCGGCCCTGCGAACCAAGTGGGCGGTTCGGGCGGCGGGACAAACAAGTTCAGCAACCCAGACGGATGCACGCAAAGCCCGCCCCATCAAGAACTTGCTGGTCATTAACACATAACTTTTTGGTTTTTTAAATTCGACTACTGTGACTAATTTAGTACTCCGTGCTCTGCCTATACTACTTACTACCTTGAATGGTGAAAGGTACGATGGATATACGTACTCGTACTTTTCATTAGTCTCGCTCGACCGATGTTTAAACCCCTCCGCACTTGCTACTACGTAGTTACGGATAATTATCTAGTGACTTACAGCTGTAGTAAGAAACCGGGAATCCCCCTTTCCATCTAAGAGTAGAGCCGGGAGTAGGGCCGGGAGGGGCAGACAGAGAGAGAGAAAGAAATTTACTAATAGAGAAACAGGACATAAGAACAGATGAGAGGGAAACAAAAAAAAGACAAAAAAAAAAACAACTATGTCTCTCATTCTGAAGCAAGACAGACTGAAAGAGAGTGGAACCCAAGACATTGATTGAGCCTCGGAGAACAGAACAGAAAAAAAATCCCCCCCCTGCCCGGAGAGATGATAAAAAACCGAGCTTCGAAGTTCCTAAACATCACGGGGAGGGGGAACCCCGAATCAGTCCCAAGCTTATTGCAGGGATCCCTGGATCGTTGGAACAGATATAGACATTCCTCCTAGTATCCTTGGTTCGGGTCCGACGTCGCTTAAGACCAGGATCATGCCATGGTAGAGTTTACGCGGAGCAATTGCTAAGAGTGGGAGTGTTTTACTAGCAGCAGAGAGGGAGGGGTAAAAGGATGAATTGAAGAGGAGCTCAAAATGAACACATTCATCATATCTGTCGATATTCCCCACGGCTCTTCCCTGGTTTTGACTCTCGGTATGTTTACTTTTTTAATTTGGCAGTCCTTATATGTGGCTTGTCTTATCCTTATTGCGTTTCACTATTGCACTACGCATCGGTACTCGAGCACTAAGTAGCCGGTAGAAGAACATCGGGCTAAAAGCGCACGGGCGTCCCAGCCTGTCGGGTGCGTTCTGCAATGGGGTATGTACGTATGAGTACATGGATGGTATTGAATATCATAGTGGAGAAAAAGGCTCATTACACTATAGATTAGATTCGCTAATCAGAGAGAGGAGGGAGTTGAAACTTGAAAGGGGTTCTCTCATCCACCCTAGCTGGGATTTGACCCCAATGGCGCAAGAAAGATATATCCGATATCTGCAACACGATACGGAGGTTTAATTCATTATTGAGACAGTGGCAGTTGTTCAAAGCTGATACATTGTCTTATCACAACACCAGAAGTCTCCGCATCCATCGAAAGGGAAAAGTATGAGAAAAAAAAAGGAAGGGACAGCGGGTACTGTACTTCGGAGAAAGGTAACAAGCTGTAGAATGGTTCTTGTACGACACTGGGAGACAATCAAGGGTGCAGGGAGGTGAGTTTGTGGAAGATCTCCAGAAAAACCACCCGGGATCCAATGGCTGTTGGTGCCACACGACTGGAAAGTCCCATCCTTGGATCGCTCCCACATTATCCGACTGGGCTGAGTTTTGGAATGGTGTGCTGCTTGCTAACTACTACTGAACACTAAGCTACCTCTCACTAATAAGGTCTGTTGCGCGTATGCAGGCTGCATGATCCCCGTAAAACACCTCTGTGTAATTTTTTCAACGACGCGACCAAAGTTTAATAGATGAGAAACGTTTGACTATAGGCTTAGGCCCGGCAAAACCAGACTGGGAGAGCAGGAGAGTGAAGCGACTAGACATGTCCAGTCTTGCGACTTGCGTTTCCGTGTCCGACAATCCTCTTCACCACCCCTCTCATTCAACAACACAAGTCTTTTGAAAAAAGAAATAAAGAATTAAATTGTGTTGAACATGAGCATCCGAAGACACGGCCTTTCCCTCTTTTCCAGTACAATGGCCGAAATAGACAGGAGGCACGGAATTACCGCCGTATCCAGTCTGTCGGATCCTGGCTGTCGGATGCTAGCTGACCCACACAGTATGGTGGAATCGTAAGCATCGCATCCTTCGAGTGGCCTCCCTCGACCGCTCCGTGTTGATGCCTCCACTATTTCAAATCCAAAGGTCAAACTCCACTTGCGGTTATGCCGGGAAGCTCCCGCATCTGGACGCGAAAGCTAATCGTCGTTCACCCTTACCCTGAGCCGGTCCAATGGAGTTTGCTTGTTGTCAATTCTTTGTCCTTCTTGAAGCTTGCAGCGACACAAGAGTCTAGGTAGCAGGAATGGACGAAATAAGATACACAGGCTCTGCTCCGTAGCCTTTACAGGCACGACAATATACCAGATGGTAAACCGGGCGTTGGCCTATGCAGATTATGTTGTACATGCGTAGTTGTATGTACAGTACATACATGTGCACACACACCCTGAGTAGAGTATCACCGGGCGTGTCTCGGCCGGCTTCCATGCCTAAGTTAGTGCTGGTTTCCAAGATCGTACGACAGTCGCAGGCAATCCGAGTTAAGTTTCTGGTCCTTCTTTCAGGTTTCTCGGACCTTCCCAGCGGACACGGTGCGTTTCCACCGCGCGCGCCTACAGGATGCATCTGCGGGGCGGCGATCCAGTTTTTCGAACAGCCGAAAGAGACGGGGAGGAGGTAAACAGAGCACGTTAAGGTACAGTACAATACACAGGTATTCATGAAGTGCAATGCATACAATGAAATTCTGGTCATTTTACGCATAATGCAGCCTCCAGGTTGCTTGTCACAGTCCATATTCACTTCTTGGGGATGGCTGGTGGTCAAGTGAAATCTTGGACCATAGTCCAGAAGGAGGTACTTTTCCCAGCAGTCTGTGGAAACGTTGCCAATGGGGCGATGGCCGCGGTGCAACTTACTCTCACTGCCTTGTTACTGCCAAGAGAGAGCTTGTACAGAGTAGCATAGTTTGAGTCACTGCAAAATGGTGGTGGATCATTGAGGTAAATCTATTTCCGTTTCCGGATCCGAGCAGACGAACCCCCCAAGTACAAACTTCGGGCCTTTAGTACCTCGTTACCATAGTACTGCAATGGCCGGTCAAGCAATTTTTTTTTCTTTCGATACCGAGATCTAGTCTAGACCATAATTTTGCCGATCTGCAAATCAGATCCCATGATTCACTGTCTGTTTTGCAATCCATCGTCAGAGCATCTGGCGGAAGTGAACATAACACAGTTAGACTATAACAACTTATCAAAAAGCCCAGTGTGAGCAGTGAAAGAAAAATAAATTGAAAGTGCTGACTCCTCGCGTCCTAGAGATTTGTCACTGTTTGTATATGAGCTTAGTGAGCTTGTGATGTTCATGGGAGGGGGTTAGAACACTACGGCAGGAATCACTGAGACTCAGGCTCAGCTCAGCTGGAAGTCGTTACTCCCCGATTCGGAGAGTGCCCCCATCTCCGACCCAGGACTTAGACTATGGGGCCTTGCACCATCATCGACCAAGAACCGAGGGGCATAACCTGATGCTGAGGCTACAAAAGGCTTCTGTCTAGGGCTAATTGGTTAGCTCTATGTTCGTCGTGGTGGATACCTCTCTCTTTTAGTCGACTTCAACGGTGAGCAAAGAGGCGAGCAAAGGTCTCCAGGTGTCAGATCTAGACCTCCATAATTTGCCTGACATTTGATCAGCTTTGTCCTTTAGAGTCCTGCCTAATCCAGGTGCATTGACTTGTATAGGTATGGTGGGGTAAGGTAGGCAAGGTGACAACTGTCAACACCAGTCTTGTGAAGGCAACCTAGTCGGCGACCCCCATCGGACGGAGCTTAGGCGAAGTTAATCTGGAATCATCGATGACGGAGTCCATCTGCCATCCTGCTTGAGGATATTTGAGTGATGTCACATCTACTCCCTATAAGGCAATTCGTGTCAGTGTGACAGTCAATGTGCGGAGATGGGTATCTCTGTCATGAAGGCTGGCCACTTGAAGCGGCGATGTTATTCGGCGAAAATCAGAACGATGTAAGTGCTTTTTTGATAGGCAAGTAGGATGCACACTCCGAGGCCCTT